AAACTTAAAGTGAAACAAATTAGCACGAATGATAACAAAAAAATTTCTTCTCGGGACTAGTAGAAGCGAGTAGTGTCGCCCTCTGTCCGTTACAGAAAAAAATATAAAGGTTCCCTAAAGAAGACAAATAAACGTTGCCGGAACGTTTCGGTGGGACCGTTCCATTTACGTCCCACCAACCATAAACAGGGACGTTGCCTGGCAACGTGCCTGTCCTACTGAAACCCGGAACGGTCTTGTCCGCTGTAAGGGAACGATCCAGTGGAACCGACCGAAGGGTCCACCGGGCCGTTCCCGCAACGTTGATGGAACGGTCGGTGTTATTAGGGTGTGAACCGTCCCGCTGCTTCCGTTGTCAGCGATATTGTCACGTAATGGCCCAGTGTCGATCTTCACGGCCCTACTGTGAATACTGCTCGGAAGGCCATTCAACCAACTTCTGTCCTAACATGAATCGAGTGAGGAAGTGTAAAAATTGTAAGGGTAAACATATAGCTTCATCTATGGAGTGTCCTATCTATATATTGGAGTTTGAAGTGTCAAAATTGCGATACGTTGCGAATCTTAATAGGGATGATTCAATTTCCTTCCTTCAAAGAAAGTCCCCAGCATTATTTGGACCTTATCCAGTTGATTCCAACTCTACTGGTCGAGAGCAAATTCCAATTAGTAATGACGAAGATGCTGGTACTTCTAGTAAAAATAAAGATCCCCCGTAATGATGGATGAGGGTAACTCCGATAAGAATTCATTTGAATTGAATGGCTCTCCGAGACCTAATCCTGAACACACCAACAACACTAGCCCTTTGCTTTCCATAATGAACAACGATTCTCGGCCGACGGATGTGATGTCTGTTGGGAGCCTCTCGAAGAGTCTTGAGGGCCTTCCGACGGATACTTCAGACTCAACACGACTGCTAAGTGATGTTTCCACTCCCTATCACCAACGTACTTTAATTTCTCAATCTTAGATCGATGCCGTATGTTTGGTAGAAGTCCCTCCTCCTGAACAAATACAGATCCCAGCACTCACCTTGAGCCCACAGCCTCTTGCTGATCCTATTATGGATACCTTTTCTGATTTAAATCAGAGTCTCCGCGAATTAATGAGTGGTACTAACCCGAACGACAAATGCCAGGATTAATTTAATGCTGGATGAATTTTCAGTCCCTGTGCAAGATAACCTCCTTTATTTGGGTATTTTACTTGACCGTAAAGGTGATTTTATACCTCAAATTTCGATCAGATGAACATTATTTCTAGACCGTGAAAATGCGTGAAAAGTCATTTTCACGGAGGTATTTTTGAATTGTTTTTAACAAAAAATGTTTTTTTAAGAAATATAATATTAAATAATTGTTTTAATATGTAAGAACACTTTAAAATAGTGATAGAAAGATAATTTGATTGAAAAATTTAGCAAATTTTGCTTTAAAACGTTTCTGCTACAAGAAAGTGTAAAATGACGATGTTTGTGAAATGGTTTGTACAGTGTACATGTGTACATGTTTCTTTCAGTTATTCGAAACAATTAGTTGAATTTAAATTTATTTGATAAACATTTCAACTTACCGATTTATTTTCAGCACTCATTATTTATTACAAGTTAAAAAGAACCGACATAACATAAAAAAAACTCTGAGAGACACTCACAAGGAAGAAGCACTGTACAAACCATTTCACAAACATCGTCATTTTACACTTTCTTGTAGCAGAAACGTTTTAAAGCAAAATTTGCTAAATTTTTCAATCAAATTATCTTTCTATCACTATTTTAAAGTGTTCTTACATATTAAAACAATTATTTAATATTATATTTCTTAAGAAAACATTTTTTGTATAAAACAATTCAAAAATACCCGCCGTGAAAATGACTTTTCACGCATTTTCACGGTCCAGAAATAATGTTCATCTGATCGAAATTTGAGGTATAAAAGCACCTTAAGCTTACATGGCAAAAACATATTAAACTTATAGCTCAAAAAGCCCAAAAGTCTGTGAATATCCTTAAGGTGATCGCAAGAATTTCTTGGGGTGCAAGCCCAACTTCCATGTTAATGGTTTATAAAGGTCTTACCAGGGCTCACCTTGAATAGGGTTGCCCTCTCTTCATGTTTGCTTGTTCTTCACATTTAAAAATCCTTGATCGTGTTCAAAATTCTGCAATCCGTGTTATCCTTGGTTGTATGAGTACTACCCCTCGGAACTTTTTGCTGGCTGAAGTTGATGAACCCCCTCTTTCCCTTAGAAGAGCTATGCTCTCTGAAAGATTTATTCTAAGAAATTACTCGTGGAAGTTGAACCCCTTGATTCCTAATTTACAGTCACTGCATTTCAGAATTAGGAATATGAGAAAGTCTCGTGAATACTTTGGTAGATTCCCTCTTGTCTACGTGTACTCCCGATTGGTCAACCTCACAAAGAATCCATTAAGAACTCAGAAACCTCTTCTTCTTGATTATTCCTGGAACGAACTTACGTTTCATGTTCAGGTTGATCTCGAATCTGGATATGCGATTAAACAGAGTCCCTCTCCTGATTCAGAATTTCAAACTATTATAAGTGTGTCTTATCCAAACCATCTAATATTTTATACCGACGGTGCGAAAGCTAAGAATAGCGATAGAGCGAGTTCAAGCTATGTTTGTCCGCGGGTTATTGAATTTGGCGTGAGAATAAACGATTTTTCTACATCAACTACATGCGAAGCCTATGCAATCTTATCAGCACTGAAATATATATACTCTAGTAATATCGCTAACGCGTTGATTGTATCGGACTCGAAAAGCGTCTTGGCCTCAGTCAATAATAGATTTAATAATAAAGAACTAAACCAATTAATTCACGAAATTATTAAATACACAATTAAAATTATAAATAAAGGCTCAGAAATTAGTTTTCTCTGGATTCCAAGCCATGTCGGCATTAACGGTAATTAGATGGCGGACAGAATCGCTAAAAATGCCCTGGGGTTTGATTTTGGTAAGTTTCAAGGCGTTCCAAGCAAGGATCTCCTTGACTCGATACGTGATGACTTTAGATCCTGGCACCGTGATACTTGGCCTCTCTGTCCTGAACTTGCTTCTGGTAATTTATATTTTAGGATGATAGGAAAAAAAAACCCCCGTCCATGGTTCAAAGACTACCACGCAATACGTAGGCATTTGAACCTTTTTACAAGACTTAGATGTGGACACGTATGTACAAGTGAACACTTTGCGAAATTGGGCTGGCAAATTGATGCTACATGTGTATGTGGAACTGGACAAAAGAGTATCCTACATTATCTTAGAGACTGTCCTGTCCTCTCTGCTTTCAGACCATCTCTTTATTCGTATCTAACCGATAAAATGATAAATTTTGATCCTGACATGCCAGATCTCACGCCATTAATTTTTGATCCGGATCCTGGATCGGTTCGTTGTGTCGGGAAAGTCTTTGACGGTGGTGGCATCGTCCTGTAATAATTTCAGTAATGGTCGACATGAACAAATAACATTAAAAGGAAAAAGAAGGAAAGAGGATGATTGGGGGTTGATTGGGGGATTGTTGAACTTCGGGTAAAATGGGTAGGAGAATGATGGTGTAAAGAATTCTGTTATTTTTTATTTTTCTATTTATATTTATATTTTTATTTGAATTTTTATTTGTTTATTTTTTTCTCTTTTCTCCTCTTCTTTTTACGAGCGACTGTATGGAAATTCTACTACAGTCTTTAAGTGTTATTTATACAGTTAACTTACAATGAAAAGGGATTTCGGTTCAAACAGCTTTACGCTGAATGAGAATGCGCATCCTTTTCAATTGAACTATTTATTTGCATGCCAATTGAGTGAAGATATGATTAATAACTAATTTAAATGTATCATTTACACATTTATATTTATTTTGTACATATAAACAAAGAAAGAAAAACCTTATAATTATATGGATTTTGTTGGATTTTAGTTAACCTTGAACAACAATTATGAATTATACTTGCGTTTACTCCGGCTCTCAATATATGAGAGCCGTGTTCTGCATAATATGAATATTTCTATTTAAATTTCCCGCGCAATCTCGTTCCTTCTTCTGTCACGACAGTTATGTGCATTTGACTTTAATGTGTCAATGCTGGACCATGCTACTACATGATTGGTCCTATTTAGAACTACTGGAATATTTATCTGGATCACTACATTACATATATACGTGAAAACACACAGAATTACACTGATGTATCAACCTTACGTGAAATGTATTGGCTATTTGTCCGATTTGGACAAGAGGCCATTTAACCAAAAGAAAGAAAGAAGAAGAAGAAGAGTTGATCATTTTGTTTGAATTCTCAATCGATGAAAACTCATTGGTACGAATTCAATTGAATATACAAAGGGCTTCACTGAATCTTGCTTAGTGACAAATATGAATTGGACTTTGCCAAAACAATTAATTCATTTAAATTTATCTGAATTAGATCTTTTTAACTGAGATACGATATACCGATCAATGGTACTAGTTTATGGAGAAAAATAGTTAGCAATATTAGCTAAAATTTAGTTATCTAGCTAACCCCAATTGCTATTAAAAGGATAGCAATTATTTAAGTTATATTATTTTTGAGTTAAATATTAGTTACCAGAACTAAAAATTCTCTATCCATATATTAGCAAACTCATTTTTATTCGTGTTCTTTTCTTACATAGCACACGATTTGAAAAAAATTTTATTAAATTTACCATTTTAAGTATTTTATTTACCGACTATTTCCCGATTTGTAGACACCCTGGTTTTACAATATAAATTACATAAAAATCTTGAATTTGAAAGGAGTGGGGTATTTTATACTGTATAATATACGTATTTTACATAATATATAATACTGTATTATACGTAAACAATTAAAAGTTACGTGAAACTTCAGAACCATGATGCCTGCGGTTATGAGTTGTGGCCATATTCATATGGTTTATACTGTACAGTGTAAACATTCATTTTTTTTTAAATTTATCAAGAGGTGAAGAACAGATCTTTTTATTACAACCATCTTTTTATTACAATATTATAAATATTTACACAAGCAATTAGATGTATTTGATTGGAGATTACAACTGTTTTGACAGTTATTGTTCAGATTGTATAAAATCATACGTTTTTGAAATTGTAATTTTAATCCATTCCCTTTGATGGAGATAAGTCTGATAAGCGCAAAGAATTGTGTTTTGGTTCTGGACGTGTAAAAATTCCATGCTCTAGTTGCAGCTGTTTAGCTTCACTTGTTAAATATTGGAGCAATTTATTTTGCTATTTGTCTCGCTGTCCAGGAAATTGTCAATACTGTTAATAATTAAATCTTATCTGCATTTTTCAGTAGAATCGAACTTGTAATCTTTTATGAAAAATTTTTTTATTTCTTCTATTAAAACATCAAATTTTTTTTCCGCGGCTCCTGGAACTGACAAATCTATGGAATCAACCGGTTTCAAATGAAATTCTTTAAATAGAGTCCCCAATGCAGAACTGATATTTTCTTTTCTTTTAAAATGTATTTCTTCCGCTTCTACTTCTTCGGGATTTTTCAAAACTTGTTGAAATTCATCCATAGAAGTATGAGAATGGTTTTCCTAAAATTTATATTTTATTGTCACTTAAAACATAAAAAACTGATATAAATTTTAAAGTTACTAATATAATGATAATAACATTTGCATGTTAAAGTATGGTATTAATAAAGTCATATTTTTTTCTCTATTGAACTCACGAATTTCATTCTTTTTTCTTAAAAGAGAATTGACCAAGAAATATGTATTTTTAAAAATTAACTTGGAAAATAGAAATATTGTTTTTTATAACAAAATTTTCAGTCTTTAATTTTTGAACGTTCAAATCAACGAAACTTCTTTTTTGTTTATAGATAATTTCAACAATTACTAAACAATAATGAGAAATAAAAATAAATTAAAGGCTTAACAAGTAAACAATTTATTTTTTAAAATACAAAGCAGTATTTTGTCATAAAATCCAAACTTAAAGAAATAGTAAAAAAAATGTTCATTTTAACGTTCAAAACTTTAGTAACACTACAATTTGATACTTACTGCCAAAACAGAATTGGACTGAAATTCATCAGAAACATTCTCCAAATTTTTAACACGATTTTTTCGTTCCCTATCATAACAAGTAGTTCTGCAACTTGAACAAATATTTTTATGGCCATTTAAGAAAGCGAAACGTTTACACAAAACTGGTGTTATTCCGCAGAGGTTATGTTTTCTTCGACCATGTATCGAAAAGGGATTACAACATACTTTTCCTCTTTTAATACTTTTTTGATCCATTCTGCTGCTCAACAATTCATAAAAATTCAAATCACAAAACAATTGTTCACATGTTTTAAATAATTAAACCGAAACTAATAAAATTCACAATTCTATTTTGATAAATCATGCACGAGAAATTCGTAAACACACTAGTTTGGTAACATGGACTTCAAGAAGAGCTTGATGGACTTAAGGCCTGAGCAGAATAGAAACGAACCGGAATCGTAATCGCAACCGGAAAAATGAGTTAGAAAAACTCATTATTGCTGCATAGACCTTTTCAAGCTGATCATTCTGTCCTCTTCCAACTCATGCATCATTGTATGCGCTAGATAAGGACAGAACGACCAGCATGAAAAGGTCTATTGGCGGTTACGATTCCGGTACGTTTCTATTCTGCATTGGCCTTTACCCACTTCAGTAGTAGTAAGGCCTAAGGCTGTTTCCGAATTGGGATTTTTGTCGTACTTTTGATAAAGTGTATACTTGGGAAGTATGTAGGATCCTTTTTTCGTACGGAAAAACAAGGACACTGCACAGTGATGGGTTGTGACGCGTCACACGAAGTTTTGTACGTATAATACGTTTTCGACGTAATATCGTATAAAATGTATAAAACCATGTAGAAAACCACTGACATTTTGACATATATATCTGATCCTCTGATTTTTGCCATAACGAATTTTTCTTATCATTTTTTTAAGAGCTTTGTTATTGTTTATAAAGTTTTGATTTAAAAATTGTTTATTTTGGGAGATACCAAACGACTAGACTGACAATATAATACTTAAGGCGCTTGTATACCTCACCGATCCAGAGTATGCTTGCGTCGTGTACCATTGGAGTAAAAGAGACGAAAATATCTTTTGTCTCTTTTACTCCAATGGTACACGACAGAAATATTCTCGGGATCAGTGAGGTATACAAGCGCCTTTAGAATATAGGTTATGTTATTATGCACGTGGCCCGGTGTTCACTCTTATCTGTGAAACCAACTTAAAAATAAAACCGATATAAAAACATTTGAATAATTAAAAATTTTGTTTTATAATTGTTAAAATAATTAATAATTACCTAAATTTTGTTTATATTAACAACTTTCTCTTTCAATAGTGTAAAGTAATGAATGATGTATTTTAATGAAGAATTTAAAATTGCCGCTCTTAAATCACGTGATCAAATGTAATATACATCGTGTAGAAAACTTGGCACGTAATATACGTAGTATTATACACGTAGAAAACCACGTATTATACGTCATGTATTATACGTACCCATCACTGCATACTTCCCGAGTATACACTTTATAAGGTTATTCAAGTTGGGTGGGGGAAAGCCAAGATGGATGATGGCTGATAGGTGCACCAGCAAGCAACCATCTTGGATTTCCCCCACCCAACTTGAATAACCTTATACTGGCTTGCGCCTGCGTATATCTGGCCATGACCTGGTGAGTGGATGTTGCTTACTGGCGCAGTGGCGCTTGTATACCTCACCGATCCTGAATATACTTCTGTCGTGTACCATTGGAGTAAAAGAGACAAAAGATATGTTCCTAAATGTTTGCGTTGCGTGACTGACGCGTTGGTTGGCAAGCGCAGTGACGTCATCAAAGCATTGATACCAATCGCGAACAAAAAGTTTGGTTTATGTTTCTCTTATCCCTGTTTTTCAACTTTACAATTTTTAATGCACATTTTTCTCGACGACTTTTAATAATTTTAATTAAATTAAAGAAAAATTAGTGAACAAAATATTTATAATTAAAAAATTCAGTGTCTTAAAATCATAAACCAAACTTTTTGTTCGCAATTGGTGTCAAGGCTTTGATGACGTCACTGCGCTTGCAAACCAACGCAACAGTCACACAACGCAAACATTTAGGAACATATTGTAGAAAGGCCTTAAAGATATTTACTATCCTTCTCTTACTCATTCTTACGTTTCCGTTTACGATTGCATTCCCGTTCAAAAATCTATTCTGCTTAGGCCTTTATTCAACGTTAAAGGCGGTTCTAGAGTAGGTGGTTAAGGTGCTTTTATACCTCCAGTATTTTGGTCAAGCAATCGACTGGATTGAATTTTCACTGTTGTATCACTGAATTTGATTGGCTCTAATGGAGCGGTCACACCTCGCCTGCAGGAGCAGTTGCCAATGGCAACCGTGTAAGAGCAAGAAAGATGGAAAATCTTCTATCTCTCTTACTCTTACACGGTTTCCATGGGCAACTGCTCCTGCAGCCGAGGTGTGACCGCTCCATAAAAATATTCAATTTTCACGGTGGAAATGGAATATTTGTTAGAGCCAATCAAATTCAGTGATAAAACCGTGAAAATTCAATCCAGCCGATTGCTTAACCAAAATACTGGAGGTATAAAAGCACCTTTAAGGCGCTTGTACACCTCACAAATTCTGAGTATCCTCGGAATTTGTCAGAAGTTTCACTAACTTTGATTGGCTTTGCTCATAGAGAATTTCGAAATTTTCCTATCTTTTGGAAATTCTCCATGAGCAATGCCAATCAAAATTAGTATAAAGGTGCTTATATACCTCAAATTTTGATCAGATGAACTTTATTTCTGGACCGTGAAAATGCGTGAAAATTCATTTTCACGGCGGGTATTTTTGAATTGATTTAAATAAAAAATGTTTTTTTAAGAAATATAATATTAAATAATTGTTTTAATACGTAAGAACACTTTAAAATAGTGATAGAAAGATGATTTGATTGAAAAATTTAGCAAATTTTGCTTTAAAACATTTTCTGTTACGAAAAAGTGTAAGATCACGATGTTTGTGAAATGGTTTGTACAGTGCTTCTTCGATGTGATTGTCTCGTTGTTTGTTTATGTTTTGTCGGCGTTTTTTTAGTTTGTAATAAATAATGAGTGCTCAAGATAAATCGGTAAGTTGAAATGTTTATTAAATAAATTTAAATTCAACTAATTGTTTCGAATAACTGAAAGAAACATGTACACATGTACACTGTACAAACCATTTCACAAACATCGTCATTTTACACTTTCTTGTAGCAGAAAACGTTTTAAAGCAAAATTTGCTAAATTTTTTAATCAAATCATCTCTCTATCATTATTTTAAAGTGTTCTTACATATTAAAACAATTATTTAATATTATATTTCTTAAAAAAACATTTTTTGTTTAAAACAATTCAAAAATACCCGCCGTGAAAATGACTTTTCACGCATTTTCACGGTCCAGAAATAATATTCATCTGATCGAAATTTGAGGTATATAAGCACCTTAACTGTTGACAAATTCCGAGTATACATTTCATTCACTTTCGAGTTCCCTAGAAGTTTTTACTAGAAGCAGACGCCAGACGTTACAGGTCTCAACCCTGGGTATGTTGCTCTACGAATATCGTAGAAGAGCGCACGCGCGAAAGTGGTATAGTTACTGTCTCTACTATTTTCGCTTGATTTTTTTCTCCGTGTATGAAGTGATAGTTTTTGGCAATTATCTATTTTGGTCAATTTCTTCCAATTTTCGTTTCATTTAAATAAATTCCAGATGAACTTTTATGTTTAATAAGGAACAAACGTTCGAAAAATGTAATTATTCATAATTTATTATGAATGAAAAATAATTTTTCCCTTTTGTTATGGTTTATTTTATTTCTAAAAAAAAGTAGTGCATAAACAAATAGTAATTAAATAAAGAAACATTGATAAATTTTGTGAAAATAAAATTGAATTTTTTTTTAGTTTTAGAAGGAATCATACCTAGGGCGATTTTCGCTCGAAGGATTAAGTGCAGTATGCTTAAATTGAGAATAGTATGGCTGCAGGAGAGGCCAACGTTACAAAGCCTCGTCAAGAAAAGCAGTACGATTATCTGCTAAAATTTCTTCTTGTTGGCGATAGTGACGTAGGAAAATCAGAAATTCTCAGTGGTCTTAATTCGGAAGAATCTCCATTTTGTAGTGGCAGTGGTAATGTTTATTTTTTAAATTTGAATTTAATAAAAGAGAATTGAGAAATATAATAATTTTTTTTACAGCCTACAAAACAACAACAATTTTATTAGACGGAAAAAGAGTGAAATTACAATTATGGGATACTTCTGGTCAAGGAAGATTTTGTACGATTATACGATCGTATTCACGTGGAGCTCAGGGGATATTATTAGTTTATGACATTACTAACAAGTGGTCCTTCGATGGAATAGATAGATGGCTCAAGGAAGTAGAAGAGGTTAGTGACAATTCATTGTAAAGTTGAATTTGTTTATTACATTTTTTTTTTCAGCATGCACCTGGTGTTCCAAAGGTATTGGTTGGCAATCGTCTTCATTTGGCTTTCAAAAGACAAGTGTGTGAACGAGATGCAGAAACGTATGCAGCTAAAAATCGCATGGCCTTTTTTGAAGTTTCGCCGCTTTGTGATTTTAATATAAAAGAGAGTTTTTCCGAATTATCACGAATGGCTCTTCATCGTAATGGTATGGAGAGACTATGGAGATCTAATAAAGGTATTGTTTTTTGGAATATTTAAAAAAAAATCTTATTGAAGAGCTTTGCTAAAACTGATATATTTTTAGTTCTTAGTCTTCAAGAGCTTGCCTGCAGAGCTATTGTTGCTCGAACAACAGTTTATGGCATTGAACAACTCCCTTTACCAACATCAATTAAATCACATTTGAAATCTTATGCCATGACAACAACAACAACAACTCAGCTTCGATATAATATCAATCGGCCCTTATGTCCTCGCGCCAGTTTAAGTTCATATCATCGAAAACTTCGATTTGTAAAAACAAATCATCACAATGGTTTATCAACTCCAGGTAGTTCGCCCGGTAGTGTTACTGATTCACGAACAAATTGCGTGGGTCGCAATTCATGCGCAATATCCTGAGGCTGCAGTTTTAAATTGACTTATTTCTATAAAAAAAAAAAAAAAAAAGAAAAAAAAACTCGAGTATCCGAAATTTTCTCTAAAACAATGTTTATCTTACAAGAATACGATATTTTAGTAATTAAAAACTAAGGCGATAAAATATCCGCCATTGACGCAATGTCTCATAATTTAGTGTTTACACTATGGCAATTTAGTACATTGACACCTAATGAAAATAATCTGAGAAGCGAAATTTTAATTGACTCGCAATATAATATACTAAATAGCTGTAGTGTACGTTAATAATTTTTTTTCAGGTAAGTAATAAAAAAACAATTTTTACAATAATAAATTATTTTAATAACTTAAATTCCCAAAATGTCATGTTCTTACAACGTTTTCCCCCCTAATTATGAAAGAGAAACGTACATCATTTTTTAATTATCAATAATTGAATCGTTTATTGGATCATAAAATAGTAAAATTATTAAAAATTCGTTTCGCTATTTGTGCTTCTACATAAATATGCGCTCAACCTTAACAACATAATATATCAAAAGTTATTTATATTATTTTTTTACGTTTTAAAAAAAGGCAAAGGAAAATAAAAAAAGAAGATAAGTGCAATCTTTTACTCAACCGTCCTAATTACTTTTAAAATAGTTAATAAATCAGTTTTCTTGAAACCTTATAAAATTGCCTATAGTATTTGTAGATTCCAAAAATGAATGAAAATAATTTTTTTCAAATGACATTGTTAGTAGTGACTTTAGTGAAAGTTCAAATTTAACAAAAAAAAAACATATTGATGTAATCTTCTGTTCTAATTAATATATAAATATTATATAAGAGGAGCTCGAACGAAACCTATTTTTGTATATCTTGTAAAAAGTATCTTAATTATTTAATATCTGAACAACATAATTCAGCCTTCTCAATGTAAACATTTAAAAAAAAAATTTCTTTAAAAATCTTTATTGTTTTCTTATTGATATAAATAACAAAAATCAAAAATAATTTTATTTTCGAAAATAATGTACGAGGGAAGGCTGATGTCTCTAAAAATAAATAAAAAAAAAATGTGTTAAATTACAAACATATTTTACATATTTACGCAATAAGTGGAAAAAGATCTGTATCACAACATTAATTTATTTACTATAATAATAATAAAAATAATAATGACTAACAAAATTCAGTATGCTTTTGTTTAATTCGTCCTCTTTTCCTGTCTTATTTCTTTCAAGACAAAAAAAAAACTAATTCATTAAAAAATTTTTTTTCTTCACTTTGTTTTATAATATATAAAAAATTTTTAAAATGTCTTTTCACGGGGAAGATTATTTCAATGAAGGAAACGATGAGATTTCTAAACGAATTTCAGAACAAATAGAAGAGGTTATTCCATTAACAATGTCAATTAATAGAATTTTGGAAGATTGTAGCATTCAATGGAAATCAACAATTTCTAAAAAGCAATGGAAAATGACGAATTGTAGAAAGGCATCTTATTTTTCATGGCAAAATTCTGTTGTGGCAAGGACCTATTTTGAAAATGAAGATTTAGATAATGCCTTTCAAAATCTCCTAAAATCAAAGTCAATGTTCACTAATCATCTTTCTCATTTCATAAGTAAGAATTTAAAATCTATTTTTAAATTTACATCTTATATGTGCACTTATATATTTTATTTTTGTAGATTTATTAAATGGTCAAACACCTTTAATATCAGGACCAGAAACAAAAAATCAAGAAAAAATGACAATTAATGTACCAATAACAGAGGAAATTAATTCACCACTTATTTCTGCAATCGAAGATCGAATAAATGAAAATATTCATCGTACATTTTCTGAATTATTAAAGGCAAAAATATATTTCGACAAGACTTTATCAAGTTTAAACAGCATAGTAAGTGAAACAGGATCTTCAACAATTGATTTTTCAAATTGCATTTGTCAAATATGCTCCAATGTTGTGGTAATTATATAAATAGTAAAGAAAAATTTTATTAAAGAAAATCTAAAGATGATAAAATAAATTTCATTTAGGAAAATAAATCTGAAAAAAATCCCATAAATATCGCATCTGGTCAAAAAAGAAGAAGTAAGAGAAATAAAATAAAACGTTTAAACAGTGGTAATAGACAATTTACAAGCAAAGGAAAAAATGCTAATAGAAAGGATTATTCGGCTGGAGATCGAAATGAAACTGAAATAATTTAATTGAATTTTTAGACTTTTACAATTTATGAATCTATAATCAGAATAGCAAAAAATTTACAGGTAATTAAAATAAAATCAAAATTATTTTCCACAAGCTCTTTTTATTAAATATGTTATTTCAATTGCTCAAATATACATAAAGATAATTTTTTACATTATATCTTAGCGAATGTAAAGAACTTGACATATGCAATATAAAACCCTTTTCTCCGATGTGATATAATAATTAGCCTTTTTCAATAAGCATTATAATGGATAAAATAATTATATTCTATTATTAAATGCCAATTATCAATCCTTATAGTTCGTTTCTTTTTTTATTAATTAAATCAAAAAATCACAGTCACGAGTATATAACGTAGACACTTAAATTAATATACATGCACTAATTACTTACAAATTATTATTATTATTATTAATATTAATATTATTATTATTATTATTAAAAGATAAAAACTAAAGTGGATCAAAACTTTATTTTATTCTCAATTGTAAAGCAAAAAGTACAAATCACAAACTGAAAAAAGTGTACAAAAACGAAATATTTGTTTTGATCCAAAGATTTTTGTTACAAAATACTTGTACAATAGTATGCAATTGTTTTATGCATATAATTTTTATGCTTAAGACAAATGCAAACTGGGAATGGTGAATTTTGATGTAAAGTACTCAAAACATAATTTTTACGTTCGCATGAAAAAATGTCCATATTATCGATTTTTAATAAATCTTAAAACCGTTTAACGTTAAAATACACAAAAAAAAGAAAAATTAATAAAAATCGATAAAATAGTCCCTTTTACATATATACATGTACCTATACTATCATAAAGAAATATGCATTACAAGAAATTCAAATCTCTTTAACAAATTTCATTAAAAAATATATATAAATATTTCATCAAACAATAGTTTGTCAGAAACAATAAAGACAAATTAAAATTTGTTTCATAAATTAACAAAACTTGTTCTTTCTTTTTGTTCACAATAACACGCAAAAGAAAAACTTGGAAGATTGCGACATTCTTAAGAATAGACTAAAAATATATTTCATGCATTTTTAAAGAATTAATAAATCAAATCACAATCAAGTTTTAAGAATTAAAATTCATTTACTGATTTTAAATTCTTTGAATTGAATCAATTTGAAATTTGTTATTTCACAATATCTGAAAAGAAGAACCTTTTGCTTCCTTTAAACTAAAAAATTCTCTCTACTTCTCATTTTATTTATATCGGTATACTATTAAATGATTTATTTATCATTTTTAATTCTTAAAGATTTTCAAAAGTGGCACGTAAAAAAAAATTCTCAAAGAGAAAATGGCAAAGCATTTTTGAAATTTCACATTTTTTTACTGCATTCTATTAGAAAATAATTCACAGGCCAACCATTTTCTCTTTTATTGTAAAAAGTACCATATTCGAACACCATTAAAAATTATCTAGTTAGATAAACAGATCTCATAACTTATGTACCCGATTACAGATTCTTGGGTACGTAATCATATATATAAAAATATAATATATATATATAGTAAATATTTGAAATGAAAGGAAAATATATAATAAATTATTTTAATTTTCAAAATAAATATATTTATTTAATATTATATGACTCGTTAAAAAAATGTTAAAATATGAAGCATACAATTTTTTTCAATCTTGCAAAAAAAAGACGTTCGTATATTTTTTTTCAACGTATCAAAAAATGGGCGACATTAAAAAATTTAACAACAATGAAATGAAAACTAAAAGCAACACAAATATTTTTAAATAAGTGCTTGCTATATAATATGTTAACGGAGAGTAGGATATTATTTTAATAAAAATACTTAATTTTTTTGTTTATTGGGAAGATTGAGAATAATTGTTTAATAATAACTTGCGTTTTATTATGTATATGAATAGTGTACAATAATTTTTTTTTTTAATATCACTCTTGCAAAAATAAAGTTCCTCTAAACAGAGAAAATCTATTTTTGTAAGCTAACTTGAATATTAATATCGACTTATTCAATTTTTAAATTAAATATTTCTTATGATAAATTGATCTTTGAAAATTTAATAGTATTTACATATTATAATTGCACAATATGTAGTACATTATACTATTTGCAATAACGAAATAATTTTTTTTTTATAATGCAATGTCCGCAAAATAATTATTATTTACATAAATATCTTACATAATAATAATTCTTCTATAAAATTGTTATTGTTGCGAATTTATTTATATTAGTTATTTAGAAACTTGTAATTCAACGTGAATTCTGTTAAAATTAAATCTCAAACCACTTTCATTAGAATACAAAAACATATTTTCAGAATGATACAATAGTTTTTGTAATAATAATAATTTTAAAATTATTCAAAAGAAGGTTAATCTTTTCTAAACAAAATGAGCTTTGATATACTCAACATTAAAAAAATCGTTGAGTGAAGATAAACAGCTCAATAATTGTAATTAAAAAAAAGATTAACAATCGCATTAGTTTAATAATTAGCCATTGTATCACTCCTCGAGGCACTCTTTTTTTCTTTTCTAATAATTATCAAGATAGCATTCCATCTTACAATTAATTAGCCTCTAATATGAAATTTGAAGAATTGTGCATTTAACTTATTTTGTAACATGCGTCAATTCTTTTGCGTCACTCAATAAAATAAGTTTTTAATGCGTCATAATAGTTCCCTACTTTAAAATAAAACGGCCAATATTAGTTGGTCAATAGCAACAATCTATAGTCGGGAACTTTTATGAGATCTGTACTTTTATACGGGATGTTGTGTCTAAAAATAATGGAGGGTTATAAAAATTGAGCAATGCATTTTTCTTTCACCTGAATTCGTAGATTTGTATACTGTGTTCTGGTACGTGGGTTAAATTTAGAGATTGATACCTGTAATTGAAAAGATAATTTACTTTTATTTTTCTTTTGTTATTTTAATTAGTATTTTTTCTAAATCAACTTTGCAAAAAATCATTTTATATTTGTAACAAAACTATTGTTTTATTTTATAAAAATTTAAAAAACTAAATAATTAATTAATTAAAATAATGTTAATGAATTTTAAATAAAATTAACTTACCATTCTGAATTTCGATGATAATAGTAACCTTCGATAGAAGCAGCAGATTTTTGAAAACAAATATAATAAAAACCAGCAAAAGATGCTCCATTTATGTCAGTGATTTTATGATCTGGGACAAGAAAATGTTCTTTCCATCTCATGAAAACAAAGTCCGTTCCCTTTAACGCTTCATAGTCAAAAGTATCGGAATTAAAAGACTTACCATACTGACTAAAGGATTCAAATTTCAGCTGTAATAAAATAAAAACAATTTTTTTTAAATATCAATTTTTATGATTATATAATAAGTATTTTAATATTCTAAATAATTTGAAATTTATGAAAATACCCAATGCTTTTTGTCAACATCTTCATCGGCGTCCCATTTACGCGTTAGAAATGGATATTTCTTTGAAATAATTTCTCCATCGAAAAATGTTGTAAGTGTTGGAAATTCTTCTGTCAAACCTTTTATTTTAAGGTATCCACATAAATAACTGTTTTCTTCATCCACATGCTAAAAATATTTACATAAAAGAAAAATTCTAATCACAAAGTGATTGAAATAATATTTTTTTTTAATAAAACGAAAAAAAAACCAATAACACTTGTAATTTTTATCAAACAATTGTAAAATATTTAACATCTACGCATTCAATGTAAACACAGAACACGCCTTAATCATATAAAAGAAAAGACAAAAAAGATACTTTCAAACAGAAAATTGAAACAAATTTTACATGATTATTTTAAGTAAACTTAAATATTATATCAAAAGTATAGATCTAATAACAAAATCACATGAGAAAATACACGCGCGTCGAACTTTCTAGATGACAAATATTTAAATAATATTAGTGTTAAACTTTTATAGTATGTAAACTTCGATAAATAGTTACCATTTTTATTGTCTAAATGAGATATTATTAAAAGAGGGAAATATTAATTAAGTATTTTTCAAATAAAGACAAAACTAACCTGCAAAACAACTTCAACTTCATAACTATTGCCCTTGGACTTTTGTGACCCTTGAAATCTTGATCCATTATAAAGAAGAGATTTTGTTACACCCGGTTGCTTTGAATTTGCGGGTGGCGGTGGCACAACATCCACTTTTACCGGCATTGTCAAATAATTCAAGTTCTGTAATCACCGCCTTGCGTATACCAACAAAGAACAAGAATCCTTCATTACAAGACTGTCAATAATTGACGGTAATGAAAAAATACACTTTAGAAAAAAATGTCAAGTTTTTAATATTTAATATTTTTGTATTCTTTAATTTTTCTATTTTTAATTACGAATTTTGCATATAGAACAATTTTTGTATAATTTTTTCTTGGTTAAATTGAGTCTCTGGCGTTAAATCACTTGAAGTTTTCTACATCTTTCTACTGTTATGAAGTTAGTTTCAATATGCAGCTACTTCTGCAATAACTAAAAACAAACAAGTACTGTCACATTTCAGAGGTTCTTCTTTAATTCAATGGATGCAACATGTGAACGTGTGTTTAATACAACCTATTGTGGAAAGACCAGTCAATCAGCTGTTTTTTGTTTATCTATCGTAATTTCATATATGAAATATAATATATATATATATATATATATATACATTCACGTTCATAGCTAGTTAATCTCGAAATTAAGCACGTGATACAAAATCATCTATTTTTCATTATTTGTTTTATAAATGAGATTTTTCTGATTAATTAAAACGAAGATGAACGTGGAAGGTATTGAATATAAAAACAATCGTTTAAAAAGTTTTAGAACCGGTATGATAGACTTTGTTGCCGGTTCCTTAGGTAAACATTTTTTATATAGTAATTTAAGAGATTATTTTTTTAAGTAGTTAAAATTATAACAGTCTTTGGATTATACAATTTATACGACTTTTTTCGGCTTATTTTAAATAAATGCGACTTTTTTTTACATTACAAAAAATTTCTAATAAATTCTTCATCAACAGAAATCACTAAAAAATTTCTCTTATTATAATTATTGTCTGAAATTTAACACAATTAATCTTTTAAAAATTCAATTATTTTCAAAAATTTTAATTTAAAAGCTTCTAAAATTTAATTATTTTTAAAAGATTCCATCTAAAATTTTTTGAAATTTAATCATTTCAATGATATAATTATAATTGTCTGCAATTTCAAATAAATTTTTTAGTTTTATTTCAAAAATCTAAATTGTAAATCTTTAAAAATTCAATTACTCTTAAGAAATGTTATTTAAAATTATTTGATATTTTTTTTTAGTTCTGTAAAATTTAATTATTGTCTGAAAATTAACAAAATTTTTTGAAATTTAATTATTTCTAAAAATTTCAACTTTAACTCTTCCAAAATTATTATTCAAAAAAAATTTTATTTAATAATCTGTAAAACTTCAGGCCTCGAATAATACGACTTTTTCAACTTTTTCTGACTCTTTTTTCGAAAATACAACATTTTTCGACTTATTTGAATAAGATGCGAATTTTTAAACATTTTTTTACATTTTTTACAAAATTTTTAAACAAAATACGTATTTTTAATATACAATGCAAATCTTCTTTATTTTAATTATTTAACAAATTTTTTTCTAAATTAATTATTTTTAATAATTTTTAAAAAAATTTCTTCACAAATTCAATTATGTTAAATTATTTTTAAGTTAAAAATTTTATAAAATTCAACAATTGTTTACAATTTTAAAACAAAAAATAAAATTACCAAAAATTTCAATTTAAAACCTTTTATAATTTGCCATCTGAAACTATTTTAAATATAATAATTTCAATTAATTTTCAATTATTTTCAAACATTTGAATGGTAAATCTTTGAAAATTCAATTACTTTTAAAAAATGTCATCTGAAATTATTTGATAAATTATTTTCAATTCTGTAAAATTTAATTATTGTCTGGAATTTAACAAAATCTTTTGAAATTCAATTATTTCGAAAAATTTCAACTATAACTCTTCCAAAGTTCTATTATTTTTAATAATTTTAATATTTCTTTAAAAATTTAATTATTTAAAAAAGTTTCAAATAAAAACACTAAAATTGAATTGAATTGTAAATTTCGAAAAGGGCTCAACTCCAAAAACCGTAAGAGTCATTTTCACTGTGATTCGTTATGCGAAAATGACACTTACGCTTTTTCGAGTTGAGCCCAATACGAAATTTACGATTCAATTGTTTGTATAATAACATTAGTTATTTAAAGTAAAATAACTAATTAAATTTAATTAAAATTAAAAAATCGACTTTTGCGACTTTTTTTAAAATGTAAATCGAGTAAAACGACTTTTTTTGCTCCTTAAAGTCGATTCGAGGTCTGAAACTTAATTAAGTATTGCCTTAAATTTTTTTGACCATCAACATTAAAAACTATGACAAAACTTTAAATTCGAATAAATTGTTTAAATCAGACTTGAAAAAATTATAAAAATGGACCTTAAAATTTTTTTAGTAATTTGTCCTACCTGAATAAAATTTTGAAAATTTATCTTACAATTAGTTCGATTCTGAAATATTTCAAATAAATTTTCTTAATAATATTCATTATAGAATTATTCTCATTACAGAATTAATAAAATGAATTTAATATCTAATAACATTAGTTATTTAAAGTAAAATATTCATTAACCAATTAAATTTTATAAAAATAAAAAAATCGACTAAAACGACTTTTTTTGTGCCTTAAAGTCGATCCGAGGCCTGTTATAAAATTTTTTTACAACGCTAGAGTTTTTAAAAAAGGAATGTCTAATTTTTATTTAATTGAATAGAAAGGATTTCTGTTTTTTTATTATAGTAATGATATATTATTAATTATGAAATTGTTATATAAATTATAATTTCAGGTGGTGTCGCATTGGTTTACGTTGGTCAACCTCTGGATACGGTAAAAGTAAAAATGCAAACATTTCCACAATTATACAAAGGAATGATAGATTGTTTTATGAAAACCTTAAAAACTGATGGAATAATGAGAGGCCTTTATGCAGGTACCATACCAGCAGTTGTGGCAAATGTTGCTGAGAATTCAGTTTTATTTGCAGCTTATGGTTGTTGTCAAAAAGCCGTAGCCAATGTAACAGGTGCGCAAGAAAAAAAAATTCAGTTATAGGAAATAAATTACCAAAACTGTCCAATATACAATATTTGTTTTATAGATAAAATTTTTCAACAGGAGTACAAAATGTGGAGAATTTAAATTCTTTTGGTAATGCATGTGCTGGATTTTTTGCCGCATTTTTTTCATCACTAACATTGTGTCCAACAGAATTAATTAAATGTCGATTACAAGCCATGAGGGAAATTGAAATTCATGGTGGTTCATCTGCAGTAAGTTAAATTTTACATAATTTTCGTTTTTTAAAAGAAAACAGTGGAACATCTAAAATATTGTTTTAGAGTTTAATTGGACCCTGGCAATTGACTAGAAAAATTATTCGCGAAGGTGGACCTGCTAGTTTATTCCAAGGTCTTTCTTCGACAATAGCTAGAGAGATGCCGGGATATTTTTTTTTCTTTGGTGGCTATGAAGCAACAAGGGAACTTCTTGCAAATCCCGGACAAAGTAGAGATGATATTGGCTGGCAAAAAACAATGGTTGCTGGCGCTGTTGGAGGCTCAATTTTGTGGCTTGTAATATTTCCTGCCGATGTTGTGAAAAGTCGAATACAAGTTAGTTAAAATTTAAATATTACTTTAACGAGAAAAAAATTTGATTTTAAATTTTTATTTACTTTTTTCCAAAGGTACAAAATCTTAAACAGCCTGCACTATTAATTGCAAAGGAAATAATAAGAACAGAAGGTATTTCTGCTTTATACAATGGTCTTAAACCAACTCTTATAAGAACAGTTCCTGCAACCGCAACTTTATTTGTCACTTATGAATATTCTAAAAAACTAATGCAAAATTTTCTATCCTAATTTAACGGCAATTTAGGAACTATTTTGTTAAAAAGAAAAAATGAGTACTATTTTTATACTCTTACAATTTATAGCTAAGCATTTATTGACTTCTTTTATAAAAAGAAATATTTTATAAATTATTAGAATTATATACAATTGTTAAATAAAATAATGTAAATATCAAAAGTATGTTTTGAAAAATATCATTTTTTTGTTTTTAAATTAATAGAATTCAATATTCTCTCCTTTAAATATTCCTTTCTTTCCTGATTGTTACACTTCCATTCGAAGCACGGTATCTGAAATATTAATAAAAAAGTTCAGTATTTAAAAAAATATTAATTATTTATATTTTAAATTACTCACTACAATTGGTATGTATCCAATTTTTTCTAATTGTCTCACGTTTGCACAAAGATATCCAGTGAAGTTTTTTGTATTTCTGATAATAACAGTTTCCACTGCCAAAAGAATGGCTACCCAATGATATTTTCTTTTTAATTCAATTGGTATCCATTTAATGTCACTGTCTACATTTTTTAACATTGGCAAAGCTGAAATTGCATTATAATCATGATCAAAGCAAAGTACAATATTGTTTTGTGTAAAATGGGGTAATATCCTGTAAAGAGAAGCAACGTCTTTCTCATATATCTTCTGCAAAGAAAAAAAAGATAATTGAAATATTTAATACAATTGCTGTTATATGTATGGTTAGTACAAAAGTTTACATTACATTAACAATTTGAAGAATTTGTTGATTGGTCCTATTTGCAAAAGTACTGTCATTTTGCATGTCATTATACTTCTGTAAAGAATCAATATTACTTTCAAATATTTATATATTTAATTCTAAAATAAAAATTTTAATTTGTATTTCATTACATTTAACATAAATTTAGAAATTTTGTTGTCTAGTTCTTGACCAATATAATCGGGACATTCTATTCTTAAACTTCGATCCAAAACGTAATTTTCTATTCCCATATTCCTGGACTCCTTTTCAAATGGTAATATCTCGTGTTTTTTCTCCATAACATTTGAAATTAAATCCAATGGATAGATATTTACTGTACTCAAATGCCTTAGTGCAAATCCATATTCTTTTGTAAAACTGTAAATGGCAAAATGTAAAACATTCACTACTTTTATATACCGAATTTCCTTTTTATATTAAGTTCAAGAACGACTGACATCACAATATTTTCGTTTTCTTAAATAAATTATTTACAGTTTTTCTTCAAATTTTAAATTCACATGCATAACTTACTTATGGGCGATTCCACGTGAGATTTACCTATGACATTTTAAATTCGGTAAATATAGTTTTTTCGATCTTTATAGAAAAAAAAAGTTTACTTATTTTTTTATAAGTGCTCAAATTTTCGAGTAATGAATTTTTAAAAATTTGATTTTTTCGAATTTTTTAAAAATACACCTAATTTTAATGACATCAAACTCTAAAAGTATTAAATTTAGGAATTCTCACCAAGATACAAAAAAGTTTCAGTTTTTCATTGACTTTCAAAATATGTTAACAAAAATTTTTTTTTAAATTTGTTTAGAATAAACAGCGATTTTTAGGGTTTCGTGGCCCATGGCCGAAAGCCTTATAGTTTCACTTTGGCGTCCGTCTGTCCGTAGTATATTTTGGGGCACCACAGCTCCCAAAATCAAATTTTAGGGCACAGATTCCAAATTAAAATTTTGGGGCACCACAGATCCCAAATTCAAATTTTGGGGCCCCACAGATCCCAAATTAAACTTTTGGGGCACCACAGATCCCAAATTCGAATTTTGGGCAAACATAGCTTCCAAATTCGAATTTTGGGCAACCATAGCTCCCAAATTCAAATTTTGGGGCCCCACAGATCTAAAATCTCCATTTACTGAATGGACATTTTCCCGAATGGACATTACATGTCCCATTAGTTAACATGCCCCTACAATTGACATGTCCCAGTAGTTGACCTGTCTCAGTAATTGACATGTCCCAATAGTTGACATGTCCATATAGTTGACATGTCCAAGAGTTGACATGTCTTAATAGTGGACATTATCGAATGGACATTTTACCTAATGTTTTAGGTAAATTTATAAAATAAATTTTATTATTTATTTCTAAATTATTTATTTTTGATTTATTTTTTTTTAATTAAAATTTAAAGCGCCACGAAACCCTAGATGTAGGCGCAATTGCGCCTAGTTCTTTTCCTATTTTTTATGAACAAATTAAATTTTTTTAAATTTGGGCGCAATTTTTAAAAATAATATAAGAATAAATTGTATAAATAATAATAAGAAAATTTTGTAATAAGTTTTGGAGTGGGCCTGATGATCCTTTTGTTTATATAATTTGTTTAAAAAAAATTCTTTACTTTTTTTTCGTTTTTTTGTTATTTTTCAAAATAAAATATATTTTAATTTGCTTTTCTATGAGTTTACTAAAAGATCCAAGTGCCCAAAACACTTTTCATTTCATAAATAAAAAAAAAAGTAAAAATGTTTTTTAAACAAATTATATAAACAAAAGGATCATCAGGCTCACTCCAAAACTTATTACAAAAAAAAATTTTTTAAATTGCGCCAAATTTAAAAAAATTTAATTTATTTATAAAAAATCGCTGTTTTTCTAAACAAATTCAAAAAAAATTTCCGTTAACATATTTTGAAAATCGATGAAAAACTGAAACTTTTTTGTATGTTGGTGAGAATTCCTAAATTTAATACTTTTAGAGTTAGATGTCATTGAAATTAGGTGTATTTTTAAAAAACTTGAAAAAATCAGGTTTTTAAAAATTAATAACTCGAAATCGCCCATTTGTATTCGAAAAAGAACATTTTTTAAAAATTTTTTTGCATTAATTGTGTAAAAATCAGAATCTAAGTCATTAGACATGATAAATTTGTTTTAGTACATTAAATAATACATTAATTGTAAAAAAATTTTAAAAATTAATTTAAAATTTACATTTTTATGAATTATTATTTGATAACAATTGTCATTTTATCTATCAATAAAAATTATGAAAATCGAGACTTTTTCTATACAATAGTAATGAAATAATAATTTAAAACATAAAATAAATATACACATGAATAAACTACAATACGTAAAGAACAAAAAGTACAACTTCAACCGAGCGAGCGAGGAATCCATCGCTAGTATTTAATTAAAACTCACTTTTTCTTTTCTTCTCTTCTTTGTGAACTCCTAAGTTCTTTGATAATTAGACTATAAATAGCTTCATGTGAAGGATAATTAAAAGTTGTTAAAAGAAAAATAACTCTTTCAATGTCTTTTATTCTTGAAGTTGTTAAACACTCTTCACATCTGTTAAAATTATTATAAATATAGTAACAAAAAATTTTACTAATAAAAAATTTTCTATAATTCTCTTACAATACATTACCTTTTTATAATAGCAGACATTAAAACAGAATTATAAATCATAGTTTTAGCCTTTAAATGTGAAATTTGTGTCAAAACTAAAGTATTTACTCGTGGAACTATTGGAATTAAACTTTCAAATAATTGTTCGTATAATTCAAGGAATTCAGGCTTTGAATTAAAATTGTATCTGTAAAAAAAATAATTCACTTTTAATAAAAATTACGTTTCTTTACTATTTTTTTCTAGTTAAACTCACCGGAATAATTTACAAAATGCACTTAGATCATTGTCACTAAAATAATTTACATTATTTATAAATTTCCTTAAAAATTTTTTTATCAAATCTTTATTGGTGATTTCCATTTGTGAGGTAAAAAAGGCTAAACAAATTATTTGCAATTCTGATATTTCGTAATTATTGAAATAATTGTTAACGCAATATTCCAAATGTAAAAATTTTTCTTTTGGCAATGAATAAACATAAAGAATACACATTATATGAATAATTTCTTTTGAACTTAATTTTGAACAATCTGAGGTTAATTTTTGTAAAGAAATTGTTACAAAATTAGAATAAAAATTACATAAATTGCAAACAGTACCACAATACATCATTGTCTTTTTGTTAGACCATAATTTTGAGCGTTTAATTAATTCATTGTCTATTGTTATCAAAAGATTACGTACAATTGAATTTCTTGTGTCAGAAATTTTTGGCCATAATTCCAAACATTTTAACAATGTAAATAATTCATTATCACTAAAATTAACTATTTTTGATATTAATGTTAAAATAATATGGATATAAATTTCTTTAAATAAAATGTCATTGTTTATTAAGGCATTATTAGAGAGAATTTGAAATTTTTCAACACATTCAGAAATTGAATATTGTTCCCAACTTTCTCGTTTTATAACATCTATTAATTTGAAATCAACTGATTTTTTTTCGTTTTTATTATAAATTCCTTTTTGTGTAAAAGTGTTGTATTTTCCAGTTTCAATCATTTTTCTTCGCAATGCCTTATATCCTTTTAAATTGTCATAGTTTATATCTTCGAAATCACGATATTGTTTACTGTTAAAAGCAACACTTGAATATGTACTCTTGTTTCTTTGGTAAGTATAAAAAGGTTTTGTTTCATTATAACAAGAGATGTAAGAATGTTTTAATATATTTATATTATTAAAATACAACGTTCTATATAATAGATTTAAACACATTGTCATTATTTTTAATATACTTGAAAATTATAAACTTATTCAACTACTTCATCTCGCACGTGTTGGTAAAGGTCGTAAAGGACTAGTTCACATGTTGAGTCTGAGACACGAAGCATGAGTCTATTGTGCATTGACCCTAATGTATGTTAGGTTAGGTTAAATAAGTGTAGTATATATTTAAATTTAAGAATGCAGCGTGGTAAAAATAGGTTATAAACTGAAATAAATAAAAATTTCATCATTTACAAGAATACGTTAATAAATCGTTTGTAAAAGTTTATTGTTTTTTACGTTTTGTTTAAATAAATGCTATATTCTCGTTATGTCATCCGAACATCATCAAATATTTGTTGGTTGTCTATCTGGAACTTTGAAAGGTAATTTAATTATTTACAATTTGTTTATTATTTCTGTTTAAAAAAAAGAAACTAAATTATAATTATTATTGCTAAAAGACAATTCAATTTTTATGTTTATTTGTAAATTATAAACTTGTACGATATAGAAAATTTAATACTATGCATGTAAACTGATTTAAATTTATTTTCAATAAAACGTTTTGAAATTGATTAGTCTTTTTAATTTATTTTTAAAAATAGGTATTTCATTGGATGGATCATTAAATGTAACCAATTTACAAAAATATAACACCATAAATCAGACGAAAGTGTTAGAATTATTATGGAATGATCCAAAAGAAGTAGATATCTTGGTAGCATGTGGTACGAAGGAAACGCAAAGGTTAAATTTTTCGCAAAAAAGTTACCATAATTTATTAATACAGATTATACGACTTTTTCCGACTTTTATTCGAAAATACAACCTTTTTCGACTTATTTTGATAAGATTTGACTTTTTTTTTACATTTTTTACAACATTTTTAAACAAAGTACTTTTTTTTAGTATAAAATACAGATCTTCAGATATTTTTTATTTCAATTATTTAACAAATTTCTAACTAAAATTCATCTCTAAATTAATTATTTTCAATAATTTTAATGAAATACCTCACAAATTCAATTATCTTAAACTACTTTTCAATTTAAACATTATTTACTTAAAATAAAATATTTATTAACTAATTAAATTTAATTGAAATAAAAAAATCGCCTTTTTCGACTTTTTTTGGGAATGTAAATCGAGTAAAACGGCTTTTTTGCGGCTTTAAGGCGCAAAAAAAAATTACTGTATTAATATAAAAATATTTTCTTTTTAGTGTTCAAGTTTTTAACACCGAAGCATCAAAATTTACAAAGACTTTCAAATGTAATAAAGGAGAAGGAAATATCGTTGGAATTTGTAATTATTCCAAGTAAGTGTTAATTTTAATCATTTCTTTTTTTTTACTAATAGAAAATATTACAACTACAAAATTATATTATTTTAGCAATTTGATAGTTGCTAAGCAATCAGGAGATATAATTCAATTGAGTTCAAATGAAAACGAAGAGGAATGTTGTATAATAAATAATGGACCTGGTTTACATAAAATGCGACAAGTGGATAAAGAAAAAAAATTAATAGCCACCGGAGGAGTAGAAAATCCATTAAAATTATTTGATTTAGAAAAAAGAAAAGAAATATTTGTTGCAAAAAATGTGAAAAATGATTTTTTGGGTTTAAAAGTTCCCATTTGGGTTTCAGATATAGGATTTATTTCTGAATCTAATGTTGTAACTGCTTCTAAATATGGCCATGTACAATTGTATGATATACGTGCACAAAGAAGACCCGTCATTAGAGTTGAAATGAAATCAGAAGCTTTAGGCTCCTTAACAGTACATCCTTCTAAAATGTAAGTTGAAAAATAGAAATTTTTTTCCTGCAGTTCTGATTTATGTAAAAAATATTGTTTTCAGGCAAGTAATAGTCGGTTCTGGAAAGGGTAGAATGAATCTTATAGATTTAAGGAAGGAAGGAAAAATTCTAAACACTTATAAAGGCCCGGTTGGTAGTGTTACTGGAATTGCCATAAATAAAGATGGTGACAATGTCATTAGTGTTAGTTTTGACAGAAATTTAAGGATTCATGATATAAATACAAAATCACTTTTAAAGAAGGTAAGTTGACAAAAATTGTCACAAACTATATTAAATACTAAAATTACCTTTTTTTAATTTCAGCAATATCTTTCTACAAGATTAACTTCTTTATTAATTCGATCAGAGCTCGCATTTTCAAACACATGAATAAAAGGTAATGAATTTATAAAAATTTATTTATAGAATTATTTTTGTAGTTGTAAATTATTTTGTCTACAAAGAAGAAATTAAAAATGTCGAATACTTTTTTATATCATGAAATAATTTAAAACAATTTTATTACTTGAATCTTTACGATTTGAATTTTATTTCGCCCACAATATTTGTAAAAAAATAATTATTACAAATTTTAAAATTTAAATTAATTTTTAATTTTAATTTTCTGGTTTAAAGGAGAAAGTTAATAGTAATCAAATGACAATATTTATTTTATATTTATTTGAACTTCTATTTATGTACATTATAATTACAGATGCTTTTTGTGAATAGCTAGTGAGTTTATTGAACTCTCAAAGACTAAAATGGTTTTATGCTAACGCAGTGTACAATATTATAACGTCAAAATGCCTATAATTTAATTTACATTTCGCACTACTTTGATAGCTATGATAATGAGAAAAAAAATAGGAATTTAAATTTAAATTTTCTCATTCTTTCTTGATCTTTCAATTTTAGATTGTAAAAAAAAATTTTTTTATGACACATGCGTAAAATCTAATTGATTTTACGCATTTGCAGCATAAAAAACCTACTATTATAATCAAAGTATAAAAAATATTTTTACATATAAATTTTAATGCCGTTAAATAGGATTTTCAGTATAGATAAAAATTTCAATATACATTAAAAATAATTTTAAAAAATCATTAACAATTTTGCGTGTATTCTTTTTTTTTTTTTTTGCTTTAATGAAATATATTTATAAATCTCGACAAATTCGTCCAATATATAAATTTACAAGTGTAGAATGAAAATATTATGCTATTTAATTTTCTAATATTCAAAATGTAAATTGATTAAATTAGTCTAAGTTGTATTGTATTTAGAAAATATAATATTTGCACAAAAATTGATTTATAATGCAATAAATTGATATATTAAAAGAAAATATTTGGTAATCACTCTAATTTGAGTGTGTGTTTTCTAAATATAAATAGATTTACTAAATTTTTTCGCGCAATTATATTCATTTTCATTCTAACTAAAAACAATTGATGATTTTATCTAAAGCTTTAAAATTTGAGAATATATAAAGTGACAAAATTCTCGAAAAAAAAAAATTATTGCATACATTGGATTTTTTGGGAAAGGAATAAGCACGCATAAAGCTTCTTATATTAAAGTCACATTTGGCTTATTCACCTCCTGAAACAGTAACTTCACGCCATGATGATTCTTGAGTTTGACTAACAAGATTATCAGATGTAGTTGGAGAACTAGACGGTACTAATGTTTTTTGTACTTTATTTATATTTATTACCTCATGATCTGCTTCTACTTCAATATCACCAAGAGATGATTCAGAGCTAGGGCCTTTTGATGTTACTGAATCTTGTGCACGCAAGGATATATTACTACCTTTACTACTGCCATTTTCTTCTCCTTAAATAAAAATATAATTATTTACTTTTTTAAGTAATTTGAAAATTTTTCAATTTAAAAAAAAAGTAATTTTCTGTTTAAAAATTCATAAAATATATACGTACCGCAAGGTCTGAGAACAAGATGAAAAAGCAAATCCGATAAAGATATTATGCCAATCACCTTATCATCGTCGTCGACTACAACCAATCTATGAACCTAGGGGAAATTAAGTAATTTGTAATGTTTATTGCTTCCTTATGGAGCTAAAAGAGATTTTAAAATTTCGAAAAATCGTTTTCTGCCCATAACTTAAAAAGAAAAGTATTGACACCAATGGATATTTATCTCTAGTTTTGTAGTTTTTCAAGACGCATCTTTTGACCTATTAGCGAATATCCTACTGTTATATTATCCAGAGTTATTAACATTTTGAAATTAAAAAATTTTGAAAAACCTGCCTTTTTTGCATTATTTATTAAAAAATCTTTATTTAACTTTAAAATTATTATGAACAACTTGGAAAATATTTAAAAACAAATTAATTGACCTATTATTGAACCTTTTATTTTAAAATATTACCAAGTTATTGATATTAAAAATCTATCTCTGCAAACACCCAAAAAATACAACTTAACACCTTTTTAAAATTATTATAATTTTAAAAAGTATAATACTAAATAAGTTAAAAAATGTATAAAAATTTAGTGAAACTTACTTCTGCTCTCACAATCTTTTCCATAACGGTGAATAAAGTTTCGTCTAATTTACAGCTCTGAACACCTTCAAACCATTCATTCCTATGTTCATTTGCTTCGCGAAGTGAAACATCTAAATTATTATACGTCTTCTCTGCTGCTAAATTCTAAAATAAAATTTAAATTTAATTTCTCTTTAATAATTAAAATATTCATTTAATTAATACTTACAATTACATCAAATTTCGAATAAATATTAACCAATTTTCCTTCATTGTCTATTATTGGTAAAGCAGAAACTCGCCTTTCAACAAATTTTTTCAATGCCAAAATTATACTAGTTTCTTCAGTTGCTGTTTCAATATTGTCAAATGTACCAATCCTCAATTCTTTTAATGTTTTATTAACAAAACATGGTTTAGGTAATTCATTAATCTGAAAGTAAATATAATTTTATAAATAGTACATTTATAAAATTATTATTTACAAAAAAACAAAATTGATTTAAATTTCATACTCACATAAAGAAAAAGAAATCTTAAAATTCTCTTATGAGTTAAAATGTACAAAACATTTCCAGTATCAGGATCTATCACAGGCAAACGGTGAATTCTGTTTTGTATTAATGTTTTAATAGCATCATAAAGTGAAGCATCAGGACCTATACTAACTAATGGATGTACTTGATCTTTTAATACTTCTGCAAAAATAAAATTAAATATATTATTATCAAAAGTATTTTTTTAAATAAAATTACTCAAAATTATATTATAAAATTAAAAAATTACTTCGCCATGTATCAAGTTCATGCTCTTCTAATTCGTCCATTGTTACTGATGGACTTGTATAATACATTTGAAGAATTTTTATAAAGTCCGTTATTGTTAACATTCCTACAAATTGTTGACGAGAACTGTCCCACAAAGGCGCTGCTCTAACACCTATAAATATAAATAATAAATATAAAAATTCCATAATTCAACTAAATTATTAACATATATCGATATATAACTAACCATTATAAACAAGAGCGAAAAAAGCTTTTTTAACGAGCAGATGTGTGTCGAAAACAACGAGCTTTGCACTAGTTGGAATAAGATCATAACATTTATGAAACTTGAAGAACTTTACAAAAATTTGCGTTTCATCTTCTTCTGCAACAGAATTTAATTTTTTTTTTAGTAAGTAACTATTTTCTTTCTTCTATTATTTTTAATAATGAGATAATAGTTCTTTGAAATAACGGATGTTGATAACGTTTACAAATTATTATTATTATTATTAACTTTACTCGGAGTGATCGATATTTTATATTATTATTATTTAAATTTATCATCGAACTTTTGTCAAATACCTTTGGACAAAATCCAAGCTAATTCATCTTCAATTGGAGGATTTTCAACTTCAAATTCTTTTATAAGATCCTTTGAATAAACAGGACAATCGACTTCCTGGGAAGCCCAGGATTCTACGATTTGCTTAAAAGCAGTTTGTAAACCCATTGAGTTTGAATAATAGTGTAAAGTTATCATTGTATTCAATTATTGTTATTATTTTACCAATAAATTTTATTAATATTATAAAATGTTTTAAAAAAATAATTTTTAATACTTTTTCTGTCTCTTTGAAAAATATAAACAACGTTTCACATAGCTACATTATAGTTCATCTGAATATTTCGAATTAAAAATGGTAATTACTACAATACTTTGTTTCATTATTAATTGACATGTTAAAAATTGTTAAAAATTCATTTTAATTTGACACAATTATTTCTTAACAACGTTTTACTCTGAATAGTAAATAAAATAAACGAAAATTATTCTGAGGACGTTTTTTTTTTTTTGTAGAATCAATAGTACGTAAACTTTTTATAAAATTCACAAAACTATAAACGAAACACAAATTTAATTTTTTTTTGTTTTTTATACTGTTCTTTTACATCTATACGTAACCTTCGTCTCACCGTTGAAACTAAGCGCCAAAAATAGCTTATTCATTATTTTAAGATGAGTGCAGGCTGCCAAAAAATATTAGCCACCTTTCCCCACTCTTTGATGATGTTTAGGTATTCGAAAATTACGCGAACATAGTAAACTTTCAATAATAATAATAATAATAATTCCACAAAATGATTTAATAATAATAAAATATATCTACAATATTAAGTTAATAAGTCGTTATTTTTATGTAAATCACATTTCTGAAATATGTATTTTTAAAATTGTCATTTAAAAATATATCAATGTTAGTATCAGAATGAATAAATTTAAAATAATTATTAAAACTCAGGCTTCGAAGCGTAGTAAAAGACTAAGAAAAGTATTAAAAAGTATCTTTTTTTTCGAGTATCCCCAAAATTGAATTCTGAGGAATAAAATTAACATCATTTTTCTCATTTAATACAGAATTTTTTTTTAAATGAATGTTTACTCAACGGAATTTTAAAAGTACCGAATTTCTATTTGACAGAATTTTTATTTTACAAAATTTCTCTTTACCTAACTGTTTCTTGAATAGAATTCTAATTTAACCAATTTTTAATTTATTAGAATTCTCATTCAGTAGAATTTTAAGTAATTCGAATTTTTAAATCCTAGAACTTGGAATCGGAAGCTTATATAAAATATTTAGTATTTTAAAAGAACAATTTTAATTAAAAATCTCCAAATATTTAATTAAAATTAAAAAAAAAAATAAAATTAATTAAAATTCTTTGCTAAATTAATAATTTCAATAAATTTTATACAATTATTACTGTTTGAAATTTTGTTAATAATTTTCAGCAATTCAAATTTACAAAAATTTTAATTCAAAATCTCCTGAAATTCAATTATTAAAAATTTTGATTCAAATTTTTTGTTAAAATAATTATTTCTAATAACTTTAATCAAGATCTTGGCATTTCAATTATTTAAAACATTTTTCAATTCAAAATACTCTAAAATTCAATTATTGTCTGAATTTCAGTTAAATTAGAATTATTTAAAAAAAACGGTTAGTTAAATAGAAATTTTGTAAAATAAAAATTTTAGGAATAAAAAAATTCGCTAATATTTAAAATTCTTGAATTCAGTCATTTTTTAAATTATTTTTTTAAAAAAGTAGCATTTAGTGGCTCTTGGCCAAAATTAGTTGTAAAAAAGTAGTCTTATCAAAAAAAGTATCAAAAAAGTGTTTCGAAGCCTGAAAACTCATTGAAATTTAAGAAGATATAATATTTTGCAATTGTTTATAGATTTTGTACACTTACCAAGATCAGAAATATTGACTTTTTCCAGAAAAGGATCAACCACTGGTAACTAAAATATATAAATATAATAATAGTAGTAGATAATCAAAAATTATTAAATTATAAAAAAAATTAAATAAAAAATTTATTGATTTCATTTATAAATAATTTTTAAAGAGGAAAGTATAAATAATTATTTAATACTTAATATTTAGAATAATATTTTTAAATACTTTTATAATAATTAGTCCTGTAGATAAATTTATATTTTTTGTTTTTTATAATTTAGATAAACAGATAAGAAATAAATTTAGGATTTTATAGATAAAAAGATTCCGGATAAATAGACAACAAATTATGAGATTGTAAATTTATTTTTTTTAATACTTACTCCACGAGCGTCTCTAAAGAGTATGGCAGCATGAACTGGATCTAGGCAAGCATCAGCAGCCCTGTGAGGAGCCACGGGAGTTCCAAGAGATAATCTCCTTGTACCTGGATCCAATGAGCTTCTCCTTAGGGCACCTGCAATTGTCAAATGCATCCATAAATTACATTTATGCATTTAGAAGAAAAATCAATAGAAAACCTATCCTAATAGATGGTAAATAGGGTTTCAATAAAAAGATTAATAAGGATTCTCTTATTTTTACTTATGAATTGCTTTCATATTGATTTGACGATAAATTTCTAATAGAATTCTATTAGAATATTTTAATTGTAATACATTTATCTTTAATACAATAAATTAATCTATAATATAATATATTAATATTTAATATTATATAATATTCTTATATTTTACACATACAAACTTTTATCATTTGCTTAGGTGTTATAAATTTTACTTATCCCATTTTTGTTTTTGGCATTACCTTGTCGTAAAATGCTCTCATATATTTTGTATGTAGTTTCGCAATCTACATCAAAAGTAGGATGCTTTACTGCTCCGTCCAAGCTTTGACTTCTATTACGGAAGTCTTCCTCGCGTTTTTTTGGACTTTCTTGACATTCACTTTGTCTTCTTATATGTCCAAGTCTTTTGCCCAAATGTTTTATCATTTCTTGAATACTGTGATGATTATGATGATGTTGTTGTTGTTGTTGTTGTTTCTCGTGATCAATATTTGTTGGACTCGATGAAAATGGTAATGTTGTGTCACTTGAATTATTTTTTTGACAAGTTTGATAATAACGATGGCCAGAATGATAATTATAAAGATGATTATCAAAACCAGAAGGAGGACAGTATAATGAGCAATTATTACGATTTATACCGCGTGTTGTTTCATAAGAAATTATAGGTCCATAAAAATATGTTGAGCTTACAGAACCACGTGAAGTTTGTCTTTCGTGAAGACAAAATTTATCATTTGGAAGTTGTATTTTTTGATGATTTAACATTTCTTGAATTAATTTTTTATCTTGATATTTTGAATATGATGTGGTAGGCAATGGTGATATTTTAGGAAGATTTTTCGAAGTATGAGAACATTTATCGCTGTTTTGTAATGTGAGACCGTGTTGAGCAAAAAGATGGTTAATACCGTGCATTTTTTTAATTGTTTCGTATCGTTCATTTCTATACACAACATATAAATAGGTACGTAATATGTAAAATATCAATTGTCTCTATTTTTTTTGTAAACATCTTTTCCAATGAACTTTTCTCCATTTTGATATTAGATAAAATTATCGTTGATATTTATTCTGAATTCACATACAGTAGATTGAAAAAGATTCTGAAAAAAATTATGACAATCTATTCATATTATTTTTTTTTACAACTTTAATTCTAATTTTCTTTTAGTCCAAAAAGTCAATTTTTGAAATTCGCAGTTTCTTAAAAGTTAACAATCATTTTAGAAAATAGTTATTTACTCGCGTAAATTATTGTCAGTCTGCATTTGTTATTTGTGTATTTCACATTGTCAATTTTAGGTGACAAATGTCTTAAAAGTCGCTCGAGACCCTGAGAGATACAAAATAGCGCATGTATACACTTGACTAAAAATATTGTATTTTCTAAATGTATGACACTTTTTTGTTTAAAGAAAATCTTTTTAAAAAATTCCACTACACGATTCTTTATGACATTAATAATTAAAAACTTATTTTCTTCTAAAATTTATTAAAATCTAAGTTTGCGAGTAAATGGCTATTGACTAAATAAAATATAGAAAACAAGCAAATTTCTTAAAGAATCGAAAAAAAAAAAAAAAAACTATGAATAATAGAGATTTTTCACTGGAAAAATCGAATAATCTCCGGCTACATCGAGAACAGTGGTAACACTGGTTAACTTATTTGTGATTAATGACAAAAGAGGCGTAGATTCATCTTTGTAATATTACTCCTGATTAATGTTAAAATAATTCACATTATTATTATTTCTGAGCGAGTAAAAAGAATATTAGAAATATGTTTCCTTTTAAAAAATCAAATTATCTAATTTAAATTTAACTATTTTGTTTAACAAATATAAAATATCTCTGATATAAAAAAAGACAACTCCTTTGATCTTATATTTTTTGGACTCATAGTTTTTAACCAAGTTTTGTCTTAATGTATCTTGTAACTCATTTTTACTATGAGCACCTGTTTTAATGCTTTTTTTTAAATGACTGTAATTAAAAACACTCACCAATAACAAGTAAAATATTCCAATTAAATACCCATAATTATATGTTTATATATTTTTCCGAGCTCTTTTTAAACTTCTTTATCACTTGTGTATCAAGAACACTTTTACGTCATGATGAACTTATACGAATATAATATACTGATGAAAATTAATATTCACACAACTTTCATTACAATTCCTTGAGATATAATGTAGAATTATAGATGTTATTCATAAAAGTGTATTGTAGTAACTACGTGCAATGCGTCACATAATAACTGTATATAATGCTGTACAGTGGGTGTTTGACAATAAAGGTACTTCTACAATAAGTGTCAATACAAGTGACAGTGCCAATTCCATGCGAAAAATCATGGAATTGTCATTTATTGTAGAAGAACCTTGAGAAACTAAAGTTCCTTAAGGGCTAGCGCACAATAACTTCGCGAAGGTAGTTTCTGAACACAAAGCATGAGATAGAAAAGGAAAGAGATACAGTTGTGTCCTTTTCTATCTTATCTATAAACGTCAGGGCTAGGTAGCTTGAAGAAGTTGAACCCTTTTTCTAATCTAATCTTAAGGCTGCTATCACAACCTTTCTTGAATATTTTCATCTTTCTCAGTTACATGATTTGGATATTAGTCTGTCTTTACAATTTTTCTCGGACAATATTAATAAGAATTTATAAATAATTCTTGCAGCTTATAATTAAATATAATACCTAAATATTTAACGATAATATTTACACAAGTGGCTTAGAAGGAAAGCAGCACAAGTCGCATTGACTTTTTTTTATATATTAATAAAATATTAACACAAAATTTAAATATTTAGTTTTAATTAATAATCTTCGAATATATCAAGAATCAGGATTTTAGTTTTATTCTTTTTGACAGACAATTTGATAAAATGTCTATAATATAATATTTAAAGCTTTTTTACAGCTGTCAATTTTTTGGAGTAGTTTTGCATTAAGGGGAGTCACCACCTTTATTTTGAGTCCTTTAAATTTTAATGATCGCAAGAAGTTATATTTTTTTTCTTACATGATTTGGGTCCTAAAAACATACAGGATGGTAAAAAAAATGAAATTTTAATTTTTGACCACTAGAAATTAAAGTCTTAAAAAAATTAATATTTTAAATATCTATCTTCTTTTACAATTTTGACTATTTTTCATCGAGAATTTTTTTCCACACTTTTTTAATGATTCTTAAGAATCTCTCGCATAGATTTTGAAAAATATTAATTTTTCAAAAAATAAAAATTCTGAAATGGTCAAAAATTAAAATTTTCTTTTTTTGACCACCTTATACATATGATTTTAGAACCGAAATGATGCAAGAAAAAAAAATAACTTTCTGCGATCATTAAAATTTAAAGGACTCAAAATAAAGATGGTGACTCAGATTAATGTAAAATTATAAAAATTTCCACGTTTTTCCTCATTGTTTTATAAAAATAATTTTTATAAAAATAGTAAATAATTGAAAAACTTACTATGTGCCGCTAGATGTGACTGATGTTGAGCTGCTGTTCTCTGAAAATAAAATAAATTTTTATTAAACAATTGAATAATACTTAAGAATACATTGAAGATAATTTTTATTTAAATTTCGAGTTTGTTGAATTGTATAAAAAAATTTGAAACTTCTTATGTTGAGTGTTTATTTGGATACAATTTCCGCGACTCATTTTTATGCATTGATATCCTATGAATCATTCATGATATAGGAATAAGATCGTAGTAAACTAAGTATTGTTTCAGGTCTTGGTCTTTTTCTTGCAAAATCTGCAAGAACAAGACAAGACTGCAAAATTGAAACCAATTTTTGCTCATAATTTCAAAGAATTAAATTAAATTAAATTAAATTTACTTTAATTTAAATTTTCTTACTGGGATTTTTTTTTAAATACGAAAACAATATGAATAAAATTTATAATTTGAAATTTGCTTTATATAATTTGAAAGCTGAAGATAAATATATACATTTTGCAGAATGTGTCGTATACCGGTAGCTTCTAAACTCTTGGAATCAAGTGATCGACTTCTAGGTTTTGGTGCAAAATAGTCATAATCCTTTTTTCCATTTTTTATCCATCGAAAGTAGGAAGACATAGTCTAAAGTTGTTTGTTCTTTCTTAATAAAATTTAAAAAATTATTTCTTTAAAGAACTAATATTTTCTTCAAAATTTATTGGTATCTATAAATACATATCAAATGCTCATGTTTTTGTTCGTCAATATTTTGTTAACTACTAGAATGACATTTAATGACTTTTCATATGCATATGCGTTATACATCGTAAAAAGCAGTAGATCAACTTTCCAATGATTATTGCGATGCCGGTAAATCGACATATATTGTGATACATGTAAAAAATTTTCGATATTTTGGTATTACAATTCTCGAGAAAGAAAAAAGAATCTTTAAACATGCAGGAGAAGTATGATCTAGTTGATTATGCTCGCATTTTATAAATCCGTCTCGTTTATTATAATAAATATCCAAATTAAAAATAATACTTGATTTGTAAAAATGAAATAAAAATAATTGTCGAAAAAAATTATTGTTCAGAACAGAAATGGAATAATTTTACGCTAATCGACGTTTTCACTTATTTTACAGAAAAAGACCTTTGACGCTTAGGTAAAAGTCAAGGCTAAATATATCCATAACAAACAGCACGTTGGTTAAAAATTTCATTATTGAAAATTTGGCCTTTTATAACATGCTTAAAAAATTATATTTGTTTCATAGCTAAATAAATAATCATTTAACTTTTAAGAAAAATATATTTTTATTTAATTTAAATAATTTGAATATAAATTGTAACACATGAAATTTAACGTATCCTTTAGTTTCTGAAACTGTTTTTAAAATTGATAAAGATATAATAATTTAATAAAATTTGCACTATTTTTATTTTAAACATTGCCTTTGATTCTTAAATGAATTTAAATTTTAATTTACTTTTCTCGAATTACGATTTTAAAAAAGAAAAAGAATGCCTGAGAAATTGTAATTATTTAATAGTTACAATTTTATTAAGTCATATTTCTCATCATGGGACCAAAAAGAAAACTTTTGTCTTGAATTAACATAATCTACTAACAGAAACCAGACATTTCATGTGATACAATCTAATATATGATAAGTATATTATTTCAATATAATTCCCTACTATCTGAAACAATAATTATTATTTTCAATATATTCTATTTTCTATTAAAAAAAGAGAAAAAAAGATAATTCTACAATAATACAAAACTTTTTTTTATGCACTTGATTACATATGCATACACATATGGAGTTAATCGTACATTGTAAATAACTATGTACTATATATACATATTCGTAAAGAAATAAGTTTTTTTCTTTTTTTTTTTTTTGAAAACTTCGAAAAGTAAAATAATTTTTTTTTACAATTAAATCACAAAACAAATAACCGATAAACTCTACATTTCAAGTGAATTATTAAAATAATTGAAAAACTACAAAATAGAAAAAATGAGATAAAATGTGAACTGAAAAAAAACCCGAGTTTTAGATAAATAAAATCCTCGAGACTGTAAGTTCAACGAATAACTGAATTGAAAGCGCACTACTCGTATTTCTCCCCCTCTTTGACACTTGTAAGCCTCCTTCTCCTTTTATTCTAACTTTTATTGCTACACTTACACGGCAACAATACATACATAGATATGTGAGTCGTTTATGACGATAACACCCATCTGCAATTTTACTTTTCTCACTCTACGTATTTCAATATCTCAGGGTCACTTGCTTTAACATTGTTGCGTTAAATGGATGTGAAAAAAAAGAAATGACGAAAAAAATAATATTTATTTTACTAATCTTATAAAAAAAATTAATAATAGATCATATCAAAATTAGTTTTAATATTAGTTTATTCAAAGTAGGAGCATAATAGCTTCTTGACAAAAAAGAAGAGAATTTTTAAAAAAAACTTTGCGATTTTTAAATAAAATTAGAGATTACTTTTTTTTAAATATTTACATTTTGAGACACGAATCGAGGAACAGATTGTACTCGCAATCTAATAACTATTTTTCATCAGCTGTATTTTTCATCTCCATGAAAAGCAGATTTCTTTATACTTGTATTTACATATTTTAAATTGGGTTACAGTTCAAGAATTTATTCAAAAAGTAGTCTAAATATATAAATAAAATTTAAATTCCATTTTAAATTAGAGTTGAAAAGAAAATTAATTTTGAATTCGATTTTCGTAGAAGATTTAAAAAAAAGTAATAAAATTAATTTACTTACTGCTTTCCTTTTATCTTCTGCACTAAGAGCACTATGACTACGATGCCTAATTAGGTCCATGACTTTACTAACAGGATTTCTGCTACTTTCAGATCCAGCTCGAGGTCTTGAATTGTGATCTTTATTTTCCTTGTGATCCTTATGATCCTTTTCAGTATTGATATCCACAGAAGAACTTCCAAGTGCACTTCTATATAGTGAATGCTAAATAAATTGAAAATATTTTAAGTCGTTTTCATAAAAAATTAATATATCGTTTTTAATATTTTTTTATTTATAACAAATTTTATCAAAAATTTATCTTAATTTCTCTTTATAAGAGAATATATTCTAGCTAGTAATTCAGTATTATTTTAAAAGACAAACGTACCTGCATAACATTTTTCATATTAGCTATAATACTGGGTTTTCTTGTTTTACTAGCATCTGATTTACTTCTTGGTCGGAAAGCATCAAAAAGTGCAGATTTCCGCGTTGGACTAGCAGTTTCGTCACTTCCACTTCTTCTACGTTCTGCACTATTGCTGCGACTAGTTGATCCCGATCGAGTTCCAATAAATTTTTTCGATCCTTTACTAGAATTTAGAGAATTCGATGTCGATTCTAATTGTTGTGGTAATGGTGTTGATTTTCCCGAATTAGGAGCACTGCCAGACGCTGGTTTCCTTATGTTTCGTGAATGAGAACTCCAAGTTCCTATTATTATTTATAACATAAAAAAAATAATTTTTCTTTCACTTCTGTGTTTATGTATGTTTCACGTAAAGAAACAAATAATTTAACTCCATTTCATTTAATATCGATGAATTTTCAATAAATGAAATTTTTTTCTAGTTTACCTGCTCGTGGCCTATGATTCTGATCTTGGGAAAATTGATTTGTATTATCGGTATCCTCAGTTACAATTGTAGGCAAAGGCTGAGAACCAAGCTCCTAAAATAATCATCGTAAAGAAAGATTAAAAATATAAATATAATTAATTTAATTTTACAATTCCGATTATTAAATTTCAACTTGGTTTTTTTATTCAATTAATCAAATTCAAATTTGTGAACAAAATTCAAGGTTTTTTTTCGATTTTAAAAAAAATTTCAAGGTTTTTCAAATTATGATTTTATCACATAATTTTAAATAAGTATTAAAACGTAGCTTATTTAAAATGTAAAACAATAATGTAGTACTAAGGAAAATATATATTCTTCAATTCTAGTATTAAAACGATAATTTTAATATCGTTTCAAAGTTATAAAATGTTTTTTTTAAATGTCTATTTTTATACTGTAAAAATTGCGTTAAAAAACTTAGGAACTTAAAATAGCAAAAAAAAAATTATGGCCTACATAACAATAGACGTAAAAGATAATTAAAATTTTTTTAAAAGTTTTGAGAAATTCAACTATTGACAAAAATTTTAACAGAAATACTTTTGTTTCTATTTTTAAAAAAATTAACATTTGTGCTGTATTGTTCCTGGTAAATTAATTCTTGAAAAAATCAAAATTTCGAAAGCAAATATTAAAAAAGATTTTAGAGATTACAAATTATGAAAAATATGTTATATAATAAATTTTTGGAAAAATGTTATATAGCAAAATTATGTAGCACAATTTTTACTTTATCAAAATTCTAATTTGAAAATGTTGTAGGTTAAAAATTAGTCCTACCTGCTTTTAAATCAGAAATTATTATTTTGTGAAATATTAATATTTGAGAAAATTTTTTAGAGAACTTTTAGAGCTTTTCTAGTACTGTTTAAAATTTTTAATTTTTAGAATTCATATTTTTTAAATCAATCAGTTGAAATTGAATTTGTTTTCACAAATTTTTAATAAAATTTTCAAGACACGTTTTACTTTGAAGTAGACCAAAAATTTAGGATAATTCATCGCAAATTTCAATTTAAAAGAAAATAAAAATGCGAATTTTTAAAAAAATTTGAATTAAAAATTCAAGGTAAATTCACGATTATTTCAAAGCGTTACTAAATCCCGGTTTTCAAGGTTTGATGGCCTAATTATTTTTTTCATTTATTGTTAGTCAAACTGCTATTGTATACTGCAAAATAAATTTCTTATACCTTATATTTTCCACTATATTCCCAACAACGATCTAAATAAGGCACTAAAGAATATTTTCTACTTTTTCCACCATTTGTCTGATCAAAATATAATAGTGAATATTTTCTAGTTTTCTTAGTCTCTAACGACATAATTAGAAATAAATTAAATTAAAAATAAAAGCAATAACTTAAAAACACTCAGTTGAAACAATTAAAATTATTTACAGAATGACTCGAATTTGTCATCCATTAACAGAATCATAGCGGTCTGATATAATTTTTTTTTTCTGAAGTATATCGCGATATCCCCGATAAGTTATATTCAATCAATAAATGCAATCTGATTTATAATATATAACATTAACCTTGAGCTTTCAGAAATGTCATTAACGGTAAAAGAAATAATTTAAAAAAATTGCTTCTTCTAATTTTTTTAAATTATGAATTGAGAATAAATATAATTTACAATAGTCTATTTCTTTTTGTAATAAATAAAACATATCTTACTTTTCGTCTTTTATCTTGGCCTAAATCAATTCTCCGCACCCAAACTTCTTCCGTTGAATCATAATCAAGAGTACTTGAACTACTGGCTTGACTTTTCATTTCAATTAAACTTGAATCGAAAAATCGTTTATCAAGATGAGGACTTGGTAATGGACTTGTTTTTAAAAATGTCATACTACTTGAATATGTTGGTGGATCAGTTGCAGGAAATGTCATTCCAGGACCAGTGGTATGTCTTCGACGTAATGGTGGTTTTGTAGCCGTTGGCGATGTTACTGTTGATGTTGTAAATCTCGAAGAAGTAGGCAATGTTTTTGGTTCTGATGTACTTGATGTCGTTTGATTTGATTTTTGATCAATTTTTTCTGAACTAGAATTTTCTGAAGATAAAGGACTCGCAGTTTTCGAAGGAATATTTTCCGATGTAGACTCCTGTGACTCTTGAGAACTCAATAATTCCTCTTTACTTTGTTTTAAATTTACCTCTTTTTCTTCTGGACATTCTAAATTCTTTCCTGTAAAAAAAGAAACGAATTTTAAACATTTGAGCAAAATATATATTTATTTTTTAATTTGTTTACCTTCTTCAGTTTCATATTCATCTTCCTCGCGACACTCTGACAATCTTCTTCCCCATGGATATGGACTGTGTGTTTGATTTCTCGATGGCAGCCGATTAACGTGTGATAAAAAATAATGATGAAAAAAACTATCGACACCATCAGAATCTTCGCCTGATGATTGAAGCATATCTTTTAATGCAGTCAAGGATGTGATAGTATTATAATTAATTGCCGATACTAAATCATCTTCAATATCACTGTCGTCAGTAGTATCGTCATTTTTTGTTGTACTACTTTGTTCATCATTCTTCAATTTCTCAGAGGTTTGTAATACTTCCACGGTTTTATTTGTTGGATCAGTTTTATCATTTGAACTTGTTTCTGAATCTTCATCAGAAGAATTAACAGTTGATGTGGATGATAAAGATTCTTCAACCTTACTTTCAATATAATGCATTTCATCTTCATCTGAACATCTTTCTTCGTCTCCCTCAGGATCATCATCTTGTGACACCTCTGGTTCATCTTTTATATCTTCCACAATCATTGTAGCTGTATTAATAGTTCCACTATATGAATGTTTTATATTTTCTGAATTTTCCTCCTCTAAATTGGTCTGTGAATTATTTTTATCAAACGTTTCGATACCAAATTGTTGACTGTTTTTATCATCATATTCATCAGATTCATTTTGTTTTTCTTCACTTGAACTCTCCATTTACACTTCTAAAAATTACTTTTAAATATCATTAACGAAGCTGAAGTACGCAACGTTTATGATAAACGATTTTTAAAGAAATAATTTTTTAAAATGAAAAATTCTATAAATTTCGCCGAAAAAATATTTCTTGTAGTTTTCATTAATCAACAAATTATAAAAAAATATTTTTTTAAAAATCGTTTATCATAAACGTTGCGTACTTCAGCTTCGTATATTATTATAAAATGTTATTTTAATAATGTACTTTCTACAATTTATCTATATATTTATTAAAATTATTTCTTACCAAATTTTTCGACAGTATAATTAACTATTTGTTTTGTGTTTACAACACACGTCGTTTTTTCCTTGCATCATAAGATCGAAATACAGATAGGCTTCGAAAATTTGAAACTGTTAAACTATTTACATCCATAGCTATTTTCCTATTTACTTACGGCCAAGCTAAAAATAATAAATAAAAAGTCTATGATAAAAATAAATTTCTTATCTATTCAGAAAATTCCTTCCTAAAAATGTGCTTTTACCATTTAATTGGAGGGGTTAAAAAAATTTTAAATATACTGAACAAAAACCTTAAGAAAACTTATCGGGAAAATATAAGTAAAATTTTGTTTTCCTCGAATATTACGATTACTTAGCCTATAGGAAAATATAAGTTTTTTTCATTCAATTTCAATAGAGGAAAAAAATGTCTCACTTACAATAAAAAATTCAATTATGATTCCTTGTTAATAATACAGTCAAGACTTGTGGACCATGTGAGGAGAACGACACTAAAAATTAGTAAAATGCATTATATTGCAAATATTTATAATCTTATTAAAATTGAAAAAAGATGGAACTTAACAACACACACACATATGTATTTATGCATACATATATATACATATATTATATATACTACAAATTAAACTAGTTTTTTTTAATCTAGTAACTGTTCTACTATTTCGTCTTTTAAGAAAAATAAAAGAGGAAATGAATATTCGATTTTTGTTAAAAACTTTATAAACACAAATTTATAATAAAAACCAAATTAAACACATACGATTATTGAAAATTTAGTAAAGAATTACGCATAACTTGGCATAACTTCCATATTTACTACTGTAAAATACAACATTATACGTAAAAATGTAGCCATCCCATCAGCGATGGGCAGTGACTATTTGACAAACTTGGACATTCTACAATAGACGTTTGAAACATTTGGGACGTTTCACTTTTTATACAGTGTGAAAGCACCCTTAAGTGGTTATTTTCAATAAAACTCGAACACTCTTTGTTCTTATATATCTCTGGTTGAAAATTATTGGGATGGTAGCTCTATTTTATCAATTTGATGATGACAGTAGTCCATACATCATGATTTGATGTGTTAAGTTGTTATAAACAGTACTTGATTCACAGAATTCTTTACAATCAATGATGGAGAAATTATTTGTTGATATAATGTGTTACATGTGAGATCATGTGTGCTATAGGATGCAATAAAGATTCGTAAAAATCTACTATGCTTTAGGCCTTTCAATAAATGCTTGTGTTTAGCTTTGATTTTAATGTTTAAAAAAAATTATGAAGGAGCCATGAAAATAGTAATTTAAAAAATATTTGTTTAATTTTAAAAATAGTTTATGGTGCTGAATATATCAAAGAAAATGTTGGATGTGCAAAATTTTAATGAAAAAATAAGAGATCGTGATTTTTGTTAGAGCTTAAGGCGTCAAGGGGTTGACAGATTCCAACGGTTTTGAACACATTACTTACTTACATCTAAAGTGTACAGTGCGTCACCGCCCATATGCGATGTCTTCCGTCCGTAAAAACGAATGAATAATCATGTATTGTCAAGACAAGAGCTCAGTGGCCTCTAAGAGTAAAGAGGGTGAGTTTCTTTTCATTTATTTGTTTTCTCCTTCACGCATTTAAGCTTTATTGTTTCATAAATAATTCTATTGTACATATAATTATTTAATTAAAAAGAAATTAATTTTTTTTATCCTTATTCTATCAAGTTTTCAATTGTATTTTCTACTTTTGTAGTTTACCGAAGTTATTGTTATAAATTCAATAATTAAAATTAAAGTAAACATAATTTAATTCTTTACACCCTTATTTGTAATGTTTCATTTTGAATTTTGTATTGGTAGTAAGGAATATTTTTTGTGTCTAAAATAATGCAAAAAAAAAAAAAGAAATCCTTTTTTCAAATGACATAAAAATGTCAAACAAATTGAACTAAATTTGTGGAGTTAAAATTTACTTTTACACGGCATATTTTTACAATTAGAAAATCTTGTGAAATAAAAGAAAATATCTATTATTTTACTGTATAAAAATTAAATGCAAATTGTTATTGTGTATAAGAATTTAACTTCATTGGAGAAAGTATAACGTTTTTGAGGTCGCTGAATGCGAATCTGGTCAATATTTAAAAATTCAAAATTTAAATAAAAGTACTTTAAATATTCTTATAAAATTAATTAATCATCTGCTATTGCAAAGGCAGTTTTTCTTTTTTTCTCTTATGAGAATTATAAAATTTTCTGAGAAATTATTTGAAAAATAAAAGATTATTATTAATTTACGTTGACGGAAATATTTGTCCCATTCTGTAAATATTCATAATTAAGAGTTAAAGTAAAATTTAATTTTTCAAAATTTTTCTAAAAGCTGATAAATATTTGACTTTTCAAGGAAAATCGAACATTCTAAACTGACAAGTTTGTAGATATAAAATTTATAAAGTATATCATTTGCCCTGTAATTTTGCTGATTTTACAAAATTTGATTGACATTTTTCCTATTAGCATTTTTTATAAAACAGAAAATTCGACAAAAAAATAGACTTGAAAAGAATATTGGAAGTGCAAGTTACTCTAAGCTCAGCGTTACTTTTAGTACGATTGCGCAGCTCTCATTTTGGGCGACAAAGGCGACCCTTTTTAGTTGAAAAAGGCGCCCCATATTGGTGGTGAACTGTCAATGCCATGTAGCTCAATCAAAAAAGGGGCGCCTTTTTCGCCCCCTTCCCAAAGTGAGAGAATTATGTTGCCCAAGACCCTACTAATGCCGTCTAGTTAAAGAGTAAATTGTGCTCCCTATATTTATTTCATGTACATTCTTACCTCTTATTATTAATAGGTTCATTTTTGCTTCTACTTTTTCAAAAGGTACGTTTTTGATTTTTTTTTGTTTAATTAATAATCATATAAAGTGAAAAATAATAAAATATAAATATAAAATAATAAATAATAAAATAAAAATAAATATATAATTGTTCTCAAATGATATTAATATTTAATTAAACGAGTGTGAAAAAATGATTAAATTTAATTTTTTTAATTGTTAATAGGCGCTGTCACTATGCGAGATAAAAAAGGTGGTGCTCTTAGTAGGGTACAAAAATTGAAAAAACGTCTCAGTCACAGTTTTGGAAGATTATGTGAGGAAAATTTCTAAAATTGTTTATATTAAATAAAAATGTTTTTCAGATAAACAAAAATTTTATTTAATTACAGCTATATCGAAAGAGGAAGCTGATGATGTTACAAATCGAAGTCAGTTACCTTTTAATGGATATTCTGAAGAATTCCTAGATCGATTGGAACCAAATGGAAACATACCATCTGATAAAGGTCATAGATATGGTAATATTATTTCCATTTTTTCTTTTTTTTTTTTCCTCTAATTCAACGCAAGATTTTTGTTTTTCTTTTTTTGTTAAGATTTTTGTTCATCCGCAGAATGGACTGGTGTTGGTGATCATGACAGAGTACATAGACAACTTTCAGTGTCGAGTGACTCAAAATTATTAGACGATGATATACGAGAGGAAGCAAAAGTTATATTACGACCACGTCGACCACCTCGTCCAAAATCGGAAGTATTTCTTGGTCCTGATCCACCGATGAGAAGAACGAAAAGATTTTCTGCATTTGGAGTAAGTAGATTCTTTTAACAATAAAAACAAGTTGTTTATTTTTTCACCATTTAGCTTTCTCATCATGATAAATACTTATATTATTAGTTTTAAAAAAATTCAATATTTCAATTTTTTGTTAAAAATAAAAATAGCGATTAAGTTTATAAATATTGGTAAAATGAAAACTTTATATATATATCAATCGATTTTTTTAATGCCAGGAATACAATTTTGATAAAAATTAATTAAAATTTCTATATAGAAAAAAGTTATTTCAAAAAATACAAAAAACGATTTTTTTTCAAAAATTCATAAACATGATTTAATCTATAAATTTCAGTAAAATATGAACTTTATATAGGTTAATCGATTCGTTTTAATGCATGTTTTTTTAACAAACAAAATTAAATTTACAATGAAAAAAATTTATTGAAAAAAAAATTTTTTTTCAATATATACACACACATACATCTGGACATTTACTTAGAACTTCATATACAGGCCTCGGATTATATGACTTTTGCGACTTTTTTTTACATTTTTAAACAAAGTACTTTTTTTTGTATACAATACAGATTTTCTTCAGATATTTTTTATTTCAATTATTTAACTAATTTTTAACTAAAATTGTTCTCTAAATTAATTATTTTCAATAATTTTTTTGATATTCCTCACAAATTCAATTATTTTAAACTATTTTTCAATTTAAAAATTTTATAAAAATTTAATAATTATTTAAAATTAAAAAAAAATCATCAAATAAAAGTATCAAAAATTTCTATTCAAAATCACTTGAAATTGAATTATTTTCAAAAATTTTAATTTAAAACCTTTCAAAATTTAATTAGGGTTAGTTGGGGTAAATGGGGACAAGAGGTTTTGGATCTTAATTTACAGTTTTAAAATGAAGTTCAACGTCAATATTTTATCCTCAGATCACCTGCAAGAGGTTTTGAGTATTGTCAAGCTTTTATCTTGAGAATTGGCAGCAAGATAAAAAAAATTTATCGCTCAATGCATAAAAACTTGAAAATCAATGTCAAACTGTTTCAGTATTTTGTCTCGCATTTCAAAGAAAACAGACTTAAAAATCATACCAAATTTTTTTCTTATTCCTTATGACTCCTTTAACAGAAATTCACTTGAATTTTTGATTTTTGTCAATTTGGTTAATAATGACAAGCTGTCCCCATTTACCCTGAGTTTTCAAATTTTTGGGATAAATGGGGACAGCTTGACATTATTAACCAAATTGACAAAAATCAAAAATTCAAGTGAATTTCTGTTATGGGAGTCATAAGGAATAAGAAAAAAATTTGGTATGATTTTAAGGTCTGCTTTTTCAAATGTGAAACAAAATATTGAAATAAAAAAAAATAAAAAAAATTTTAATTGTACTACAAATTTTTTTTTCAAGTTTTTTCATCCCTTAATACAGTAATATACTTAAGGAAACATTTGTCTTAAAACAATCTTAAATTTTATGAAATTTTCTAAATTTTGGGGTAAATGGGGACAGTCAGTTTCATGCGTTTAAAGCTTATCTAAATTTTTTTCTGCTCCATAAAATTAATCCTGGGAACGTAAATAACAACTTAAAAGAAAATAAACCCACAAATATTACCCTTTAAAGGAAGAAACTTACGTAATTTGTGAAAAATAGCGATTTTGTCCCCATTTACCCCAACTGACCCTATTTCTAAAAAAAATTCCATCTAGGGTAAATATACTAATTACGGTGCGATTCGAGCCAAAACACCTTTCAAATAGAAAATTCGACATTTCTATTGTCTAAAGTCAATTTAAGACTTATTAAACTAAAAGCTTATGTTAATATGAGAAATTAAAACTAATATCGTAATCTTCTATTACGGCGCGTTTGTATCAGTTTCGGTGTATCAATTACGGTGACCAAAATTACGTGTATTTTGAAGACACTTTGCCCGCCGTGATTGAAGCCAATGGAAATCTTAAACATGTTTCATTTACGGCGAGGGAAGAAATTTGATTTCAAATAATTAAATTAATAATTGTTTAAATGTGCATCTTTATTAGTAATTGTATCAAAAAAAGATTAAAATAATTTTTTTTTAATCATTTTGCAACAGTTACATTAAATATAATAGTAATAGTTATTTTTTATGAACGCACCGTAATTAGTGCACTTACCCTAATTTATTGAAAAATATTTTTAAAATATTTTACAGAAATTTCAATTCTGTAAAATTTAATTATTGTCTGAAATTTAACAAAATCTTTTGAAATTCAATTATTTCTTTAAAAATTCAATTATTTAAAAAAATTTCAAATAAAAACTCTAAAATTGAATTGTTGTCAGAAATTAAAAAAAAAACTACAGTAATTTAAATTTTGCAGAAAATTTATTTAAAATTAAAATCCTTTGCAATTTAATTATTTAAAAACAAAGAATTTAAAAATCTGTAAAACTTAATTACTGTCCGAAATTTGTTTGATCATTAAAACTAAAAACTATGACAAAACTTTTAATTCGAATAAATTGCTTAAATACGACTTGAAAAATTTTTTAAAATTGAACTTTAAGAATATTTTTTGGAAATTTATTTTACTTAATTAAAATTTTGAAAATTGGTCTTGGTTCGATTCTGAAATAGAAATAAATTTTCTTGGTAATATTGTTATTAAGAAATTAATATAATGAATTTAATATCTAGTAACATCAGTTATTTAAAGTAAAATATTTGTTAACTAATTAAATTTAATTAAAATAAGAAAAATCGATTAAAACGACTTTTTTTGCGCCTTAAAGTCGATCCGAGGTCTGCATATATATTAATTCTAGATGAAAATGAGTCCATATAACCTTCTTTTGAAAAATTGAAAATCGTCACGAAAACTTCATCATGAGGAAGCAAAATATTAGTTGATATCTATTATTAAGAGGAAATTATTCTTTTAGGGTGATTCGCCATTTGGAAAATCGGAAGCATACATCAAATTAGAACAGCTTGGCGAAGGATCATACGCAACTGTATTCAAGGGTTTCAGTCATCTTACAAATCAAGTTGTTGCTCTTAAAGAAATTAGATTACAAGAAGAAGAAGGTGCTCCATTTACTGCCATTAGAGAGGCGAGTCTATTAAAAGAATTAAAACATAATAATATAGTAACACTACACGATATAATACATACGCGAGAGACGCTTACATTTGTTTTTGAATATGTTCACACTGATTTGTCCCAATATATGGAGAGGTATGGAAGTGGAGGTGGATTAGATCCACGAAATGTCAAGTTATTCCTATTTCAACTATTGCGAGGTTTAGCTTATTGTCATCGAAGGTGAGAAATTAATTCTTGAAATTTAAACTTATTTTAAATATTTTATTCTTTATTTATATTACCTTTTTTTCAGGCGTGTATTACATCGTGATGTTAAGCCACAAAATTTGTTAATTAGTGAAATAGGAGAACTAAAATTAGCTGATTTTGGATTGGCGAGGGCAAAATCTGTTCCTTCGCATACGTATTCACATGAAGTGGTAACATTGTGGTATAGACCACCGGATGTACTTTTAGGATCAACTGAATATTCAACGTCACTTGATATGTGGGGTGTGGGTTGTATATTTGTTGAAATGTTGACGGGAATTCCAACATTTCCTGGTGTTCGCTGTCCATACGATCAACTAGATAAAATATTCAAAATTTTAGGAACTCCAACTGAAGATACATGGCCAGGTGTAACACATCTGAAGGGTTATAAACCTAATAGATTAGTATTTTATCCAATACGAAAATTAGGTCTTTCCTTTCCTAGACTGTATGATGTAATTGAAGGCGATAATATGGCATCATTGTTACTTCAATTAAATCCAGATCAACGAATTGGCGCAGAAGATGCACTACGTCATCCATATTTTGACTCTCTTCCTAGAAAACTATACGAATTGCCAGATGGTAAGTGATTTTGCTTCCTCTTTTTTTTTATTTATGATAAAATATATTTATTTAATTAATTAATTGCAGAAGTATCGATATTTAGCGTTGAAGGATGCCATCTATACACAGAAACACGACAATCGTATTCTGATCCACGGCACACATCTCTTAAAACTTGAGGTTTGAAATACATAAGTATAGTAAGAAATAATTTATCTGCTCAGTGACAGAAAAATTTTTTCATTAGGAAACAGATGAAAAAGAAAGTTGTAAAACAAAGACTTAATTACAACCACTGCGCCTTGACGAACCTATCATCATACACTTTTCAATCTAAACAAATTTTGTTATAAAATTATAAATTAAAATCTAATTTTAAGTCATACTTTTAAAAAGTTTCGAAAAAAAAATTAGTGAATGATTTTTATTTATAACAAAACTTAGAGTAAATTTTAAAAAAATCTGCGGTTATTTCATCCAAATATTAGTTTTAGATCCATAAGAATCAAAAATATTATGTAGAAAAAAAAACATCGTACCCTAGTTTTTAGAGACTCGTCAATATTGAATCTATTGATAATTATAGACATCAAGGCAATTGAATTGTTAGTAGAAAAAAAGAACATTTCGCTTTTAGAATTTTAAAGAATTTTTAAATGAAAAGCTAACAAATTTTTTTTTACAAAATGTTAGAACAATATTTATTGAAAATTTGTAATAATGTTTTTGACTTTTTTTTCGTTGAAAAAAAAGAGTCAAAAACTAATAATAATTTTTGAATATACATATTTTCTTCATTTGTTAAAAGTGCACATTTCATATTGTATTTATAAAAAATAATTTACTGTGGATAAAAGTTAATGCTCAAGAATCCCTTATCAAGTGCTCAACACTGTTGATAATCCCTATAAAAAGTAAATTAAATAAAAAAAAATACAATCTTTTTTCCAGTGAAAGAGAGAGTGAGAGAGAGAAAATACAAAAAAAAATATTGTGAATGTAAACATTAACATTTCTTTTTTTAGTTATTTGGTTAAATATTATGTTTACTTACTGCTTTAAATGCAGTTATTAATTATTATATATAAAAAAATAATCTTATTTATGTAATAGTTGCAATTCTTTTACGTTTTTTCATAGAAAATGATTTTTCAAATATCATATTAAGCAAAATTAAAGCTATTATGGCATGGATTTTAAATAGAAAAATTTTTTACAATTTTGCATTTTCACGACATAAATAAAAATGCCAAATAATTGATTAGTATGTAATCAATTCATAAATAAAAGAAAGATAATAAAAAAAACATTTTTTGATTTTTAAGGGTAAAGATATAAATAATTTTGTATTTCCTGGTATCCTTAAGGACTGTGGCAGTGTAAAGGTGTCTCTACAATGGATTTAACGTGAGTTTCAATAATTTAGACAGAGATAGATAATTACATCCCATCCTTATCTAACTCGCGGAAAGAGAAAGGCATAAAGGAGGTTACACATTTACGTTATTTTACCTAAATTTATCAGTAAAAATAAGTAATGCCATCTAATAAGAAATTGTGGTACTAAATTAGTATATCTTCTAACAACATGTTCCATGGCATAAATTTGCCATTGCGGTTCAAGTTACATTCCCAGCGCTGAATAAGACATGTCTAAAAGGCATCTCTGTCGTTTTCTACAAAGACGATTTATAAATATTTAGGAGTAGATGCTTGAGTGATAAAAAAATGGCATCCGCGACAGTGTCGCAAAATGATGTTTTGCACCAATTCCCTGTTAATAAACTGATTCGAGTCGGATACTACGAACTAGAAAAAACAATCGGTAAAGGAAATTTTGCTGTTGTTAAAATGGCTACCCATGTTGTAACAAAATCAAAGGTATGTCTTTGAAATGAAAATTTCTTTTTTAGTTTGTCAACTTTTTAATTTCGTTCCTTAGTACAATATATATGTAGACTTGTAAATATTTGTTTTTACGTCAAGTATTCGAGTTTTTAGATAAATGATAAGTTGTCAGTAATTGTAAAATTATACTATTTAGTGTGTAAATTTTTCATATAACTAATTGTTTCTTGTGTTAAATATAAAATTATTTAATATTTAAAGTACTTTCATTTATTTTCTTTGTTGTTTCACTTTTTTTATAGCTCAGTTCATGTTTTTACTAAATGTCCAACGAATGATTGCTTTGGGAAGATTTTTAATATTTGTTGATTAATAAACACATGATCTAGCTTACGTCACAATTATAATACTAAAAAACTAGCTACTATTTATTCTCTGGACATGAATTATTTTACACTTTTTTATTGAACAAACAACCCACTGTTAATAGTTGATAAATATTTTGTTTTAACTTATTTCACACCTATTAGTGTTATAAAAATAATTAAATTAGTAAATTTTGTATTTATTGACAGTGTACGATAATTCAAATAAGTTTATTTTTTATTTATTTATTATTAAAATCTGCTTATAGGTTGCCATAAAAATAATAGATAAGACGAAATTGAATGAAGAAAATTTAGCAAAAATTTTTCGTGAAGTTCACATAATGAAAAAATTACGACATCCACATATTATTCGACTCTATCAAGTTATGGAAACGGAAAAAATGATTTATTTGGTCACTGAATATGCACCTGGTGGTGAAATATTTGATCATTTGGTTCGTAATGGTAGAATGGTCGAACCTGAAGCAAGACGAATATTTCGTCAAATAGTTTATGCAGTGCGTTATCTCCACCAGCAAAGAGTGGTTCATCGAGATCTTAAGGTAACTGATTTTTAATGTTTCAGTTATAGAAATAAATAATTTAATAAATCATAATTAAATCATTTGTGTTTTTCTTTTAAATTTAATTTTAATAGGCTGAGAATTTACTACTTGATGCAGACAATAATATAAAATTAGCCGATTTTGGATTTAGTAATGAGTACACACCGGGTGTACCATTGAGTACGTGGTGTGGATCACCACCTTATGCTGCACCTGAAATATTTGAAGGTAAACATTATGATGGACCCCGGGCGGATATTTGGGTAAGTACAAAAAATTATTAATTATCAGGGTGTCTAACGGTCAGGGAAAAGTCAGAAAATGTCAGAGAATTTCATTCAAACTCAGGAAAATTTGTATAAATTTATACAAAAATTAAAATTTTTTTATGAATTAAAATAATTTTTTAATCTAACAAGACTTAAATGGTTTTTATCGCCATTTTTACTATCATTAGAAATTAACAGGGTTGCCACAGACCTGGAAAACCTGGAATTGTCACGATACTGAAGTACGCAACGTTTATGATAAACGATTTTTTAAAAATAATTTTTTAGAATGAAAAATTCTATAATTTTTTGCGTGAAAAATATTTCTTTTAGTTTTTATTAATCAACAAATATTATAAAAAATATTTTCGTAGGTATAAATTTAATAACTTTCCGTGTTAAATAAAAATTGATTTCCAATCGTTGATCATAAACGTTGCGTACTTCAGAATCGTGAATTGTCATGAAAATTTTTTTTAGTCATGGAAAACCTGTAAAATTTAGGGAATTTTATGAAATATCGTTTTGAAAATTGTACTTTCTGTATTTGAATGAAGAAAATCTCAAGTTTACAAGTTGAAATTACAACTTTTCTGTTTTAAATTTAGTGCTTAAAGTTGAAATTAACATTAGTTCATTATTTCAGTAATTTCATTATGTAGTTTAAATTTTCAGTGGAACAAATCTTATAATTGCATTCATTTTTATTCAGAAAAATTTTATAAAGTGGAATTAATAAATTGATCGATTTATTTATTGAATTTTTATGTGATAAAGAAGGACATAAACAAAAAAATTAGTTTTGAATAATTAAAAAAAATTTTTTTTGCATTATATTCCTGTTTAAAATTTTTATGAGTTAAAATCTTTAAAATTCTACTAAATTAAAAATTATTTTCATTATTTGACTCAAAAATCGCCCTGAAATTGACCTTAAATATAAGTTTTTATAAAACTGATTTTCAAAGTTTCTGACAATTTCAACTCAAAAATTTTATTGAAAATCTGAAAAAATTGTATAAATTTACTTTAAATTAATAAACAAATAAATAAAACTTAAAAAATGGTTCAGAAAAAGGAATCTTAAATTTATTTAATCTAAAGATGTTGAAAATTTTTCTCAGTTAAATTCTGAAATATTCTAAATAACATTTTTTAAAAATTATGACTTATTAAAAGAAAAGGACAAGTTTTTTATATCAAATATTATTATATTTATAAGTCAAAACGAAAAAATACATCAAATATCTTCAAAAAATTTTTTAAAATATTTTCATGAATTATTCTTAATAAAGAATTCATCACAAATACTTGGTTTCTTATTCAGTTTTTATATTATAAAGTAGAACATAAAACAAATTTAATTTTGAAAAATTTTTGATAATATATTTATTTTAAAACTTCTTTTAATTATTTGACTCAATTTATGAAGAATTGGCCTTAAATAAATTTTTTAAGAGACTTTTTTGTTTCTTAAAGTTGATCCGAAGCCTGATTCAATCGAATTTTCATTTCGTACAGAGTTTTTATGTAAGCGAATTCTATTTATTAATTGAAAATTAGTTGAAATAAAAATTAGGCTGAATAAAAGTTCTGATAAATAAGAATTAAGATAAGCGAACATTCGATTAAATAAAAATTCAGATAAGTAAAATTAAATCAATACAAAAATTCAATTAAATAAAAATTCCATTAATTAGAAATTCTTTGAAATAAATATCTGTTAAAATTCTGTTACATATAAATTTTGTTAATAAAAAATTCTGTTAAATAAAAATTCGCTAAAGTAGTTATATGAAAAACAGATAAATAGAAATTTCATTAAATAAAAAATCAATTAAACAAAAATTCTTCGGTAAGAAAATTCCATTTATTATGAATTTTACTTTATAAAATATGGTTAAATAGAAATTCGATCTTGTTGACATCGAAACATGGAAAAAAATCATTATATTTAATTTGAATGATTTCATTTTGCGGTTTTATGCAAGCAATTAATTTACAGAATATTTTATTGTTAATTCAATTGAAATATCTTGTATTTTTTAGTGTAATTAGCTAAAAATTCATCAAAATTGATTTATATTTGGGTCTGGAATTTTTTTTAAAATGGTCTGAAAAACCTGGAAAAATCAAGGAATTTTAAAATTAGTCTTTCGTGGCAACCCATTTTTAATTTTTTGTTAAATATATCGGTAACCATATTTTTGTCCCAAAAAGGCAGAAATAAAGTTAATAAAAAGACAAAAAATGTAGAAGTCTGGGAATTTTTTTCTCAATCCTTGTTAGACACCCTGATTATTTAAAAAACATGTTTTATAGAATTTTCAAGTAAAAATTTCTTTATAACAAATAGTATAAGTAATTAAAAATACTATTACAGAGTCTTGGAGTTGTTTTATATGTACTTGTTTGTGGAGCTTTACCATTTGACGGTCCTACTATGCAGTTACTTAGATCAGTGGTTATAGCTGGAAAATTTAGAATACCGTACTTCATGTCTGCGGGTAATAATAGATCAAATTAAAAAGTTGCTATTATCTAAAATTTTTTTTTTATATTTAAAATTGTTGATTTTTTTTAAATTACCTTCTTTTTCTATCTAGAACAATAAGTTTTCTAGTTAATATCATTTTTATAATTTCTTCTTTAAAAAAAAATAAAAATGGTATATAATGGTTTCGGATAATTTTTACATTTCAGATTGTGAAAAATTAATTAGACATATGTTGGTGGTTGAACCAGAACGTCGTTTAAGTATCTCACAAATTTTACTGCATCCTTGGATGTGTGGCGATAATGCAAAAGAATCAAAATCAGGAAGGTAAATTTATTTCACATATTTAATTTCAGTTTAGAATGAATTGATTTTTTTTGAAAATTATATTTCATTGATAAATTATTATTTTTTATTGAATTTTAGAAATAGCCCTGAAATTATAACGCCACAAATAAATCAGATAGTCATTGAGAGTATGCTAAGATTGCCTGGTCTTAGTGCTGACACATTATTACAATCAGTGCAAGGAAATGCTTTCGATCATGTTTCGGCAATATACAATTTATTAGCAGATCGATTGGAAACAGCTTTGCCCACCATACAGAGTATTCCAGTGGATTATGGAGATGATGACGCGCATCAATTAGAAAAGGTACAATTACTATTAGTATTATTAATATTATTATTATTATTATAATTATTAATGTTATTGTTATTATCATCAAGAAGTAAGTGAAATTAAAAAAAATGTAAATTTTTAAATACAGTTCGGTGAAACAGAAGCTGAAACAGATGAGAGAAGTAATCTTCAGTTACCTGTTTGTACGCCAGATCATGCGATAAGGAGACATACCGTCGGTCCAGGAGATACATCCTATCAACCTCCTGCAATATATCCTTATTCTTTCAATTGTCCATCGGGTTTTCCCCCCTCACAACTCCTTCCTGCATTGCATTGCAATAATGATCCTCAAGTATTACCCCACACGAATCTCCCACTAAATCTTCCTTTAGTTCAAAATCAACCGCCACAAAACTTTCAAATTAAGGATCAACATTTATTGAAACCGCCAACTGTTATGGGTGCCAGTAAGTACTATCAAAATTTATATTTTCTTTATTGTTATATCTAAAAAAAAATTTTTTGTTTACAGCCAGTAGTTTTGGAAGAAGAGCTTCTGATGGTGGCGCCAATTTGCATGTATTTTATCAACAACAACAACAATATGGTAGCAGTTCTGGTAATGGAGAAGAAAGTGGTTGGAGTCATCCTGGTAGTAGAGAACATTTACAACCAGTAAGTTTAATTATTCTTTATGCACTTTAATTCCAAAATTCAATACCTGAAAAATTATTGAAAAAAACCGTGAATTCGCATTGAATTTTTAATTGATTTTTTTTTAAATTCACCTGATTTTCTTTTAAATTGAAACTTGTGATGAATTATTCTAAATTTTTGATCCATCTCTAAGTAAAACGTTTCTTCAAAATAAAACGAAAAACTAAAAATTTGTAAAAACAAATTTTATAACTGATCGATTAAAAAAATACGAATTCTAAAAATTAAAAAATTGTAAACAGTACTAGAAATGTTCTAAAAATTTTCTCCGTGACATTTTTTTTAAATATTAATATTTTCTAAAATAATTTCTAATTTCTGATCTGAAACCAGGTAGGATAAATTTTTAACCTTCATCAAGCCGTTTTCGAGATATGAATTTTTCAAAATTTAAGAATTATAATGTTTTTTTATTTTTGAATCCTCATAACTTTCTTATAAATGCATCAATTTTAAGTTTTTTTTTAAATGTCTATTTTTAACTGAACTTTCCAACAATTTCATGCAAAAATTTATACAATTAAAATTTATTTTATTTTTTATAATTTAAACGTTAAAATCTTGTTTTTAAAACTGTATTCCTCCATTTCTTTTTTTTAATTTTCAAAAAAAACTAATTCCTTTTACAATAATTTTAAGCCTGGTCTGGTCGTTGGAAAACAATTTTTTCAATATTTTCGAAATTTAGAATTAAAATACATTTTTTATATCTTATATACTTTTTTGAAAATTTTGCACATTTTTACCCAATAAACAAAAAAAAAAAAATTTAGGACTTTTTTTATGGTTTTCACAATAAAATCAAATTTTTTGGGTTATTGTCATTATCATTTTCGTAATCAGCGCATCAAAATACATAAAAGTACGTAGTACAAAAAAAAACCGGAGATATTTTTAAAAAATGCAAAACTAAAATTTTGAAAAAATCGTTTTCCCACGTCCAGACTTATGTAATTTGATTTATTGACTTTGCTGTCAAAGTCAAATTCCGTTTTGACGTCAAAATCAAATTTATTTTTACGAATTCATTTTTTTTATTGCAATTTGACGTCAAATTGCAATAAAAGAAAAAAATGAATTCGTAAAAATAAATTTGATTTTGAAATCGAAGTCAAATCAAATTACATAATCAACACCCAGGAAAAAACTGTGAAAGAGCCTTAAATTTTTTTTGGAAAATTTTTGTTATCTTACTAATTTAAATTCAATAATTTTAGGCAGGTAGTCCAACCAATGTACAATGTACTCAATCGTTAACCGTTGGAGTTAGTGGAAACAATGCTGAAAGTAATGGAGCAAATAATTCAAATACATCAGGAGGAAATGATCGAAGAAGACGCAGTGGTTTAACAGCTGTTATGCAAAGACCAGGTATAATTCGAATTATTTTTTTTGTCTCTGCTTTTGGTGTGAAAAAAAGATAGAATTGTAGTTATTTGTTGTATAAATATATATTTAAGTCTAGATGTTATTCCATATTAATCATTGTTTTTTTCCAGCAAAATTTTGTTATAATTTCGTTTATTTTTTTTTTGGCAAAAAAGTGTCATAGGTATTTTAATTTATTTTTTTTTTTTGATTTATTGAGTGTTTTGTTTTGATTTTGCATGATTTTTTTACGTCCACTGCACTCCTACGCCTCGATCACTGGTAATTTGCATGTAGTTATAAATCCGGAACTCGTTATGGAAGTGGAAGCTAGGATGAATAGAGCTTATCTTCCATCGAGATTGCTGCCCTCACATCTTAGGACGTCAACGCATTCTCATAGGAAATCCTCTTTATATCCCATTTCTGGTAATTTTTTCTATTTTTGAGCTTTGTTTTTTTTATTTTAAAAGCTGGTAATAGAGAACTTCTTTACTTTTCGATTACTGCGAGGATAATACTTTAAATTAAAAACAGTAATTCAGCATGCGGTAAGAAATATTTTTGTATTTGATTTTTGTAACAAAATAACATTAGCAGGCCTCGGATAGACTTTCAGGCGCGAAAAAAATCGTTTTTTAAAATTATTGAAAATAATTGAATTTTGGAAGAGTTACAGTTGAAATTTTAAAGAAATAATTGAATATCAAAAAAAAAAAAATTTAATTTCAGACAATAATTAAATTTTACAGAATTGAAAATAATTTATCAAATAATGTTAAATAACATTTTTTAATAGTAATTGAATTTCTAAACATTTACAATTCAGATTTTTGAAATTAATTGAACTTCAAGTGATATTGAATTGAATTTTTTTGTGATTTCTGTTGCTGAAGAATTTATTAAAAAAAACGCTGCCAAAAATTCAAATTTAATTCTTTTCAAAAACCCTTCGTTCAATCACGAGCCATACTCACCCACTAACAGAAAATATTTTGGTTTTTGATTTTGAATGAAGCAGTCCAAAAATATCGTGACCACCGCAAAATCAATTTTTTCAGAAGGGGCCTCAAAGAAACTATTGCTACGGCCCTGTTTTTGAATATTTTTTTTCAAAAATTTTATGAATTATTTATATTATAGTGTATTTTAAGAAACCAAAATGTTAAAAGAAAAAAATGATTTACTATATGAAGAAAATCATTTTTTTTAAACATACTTTTTCTGAAAGTTTTGACCCATGTAACCCCTTAAATAATTGAAGTAAAGAAGATTTTAAAAAGATCTGCATTGTATACTAAAGAAAAATGTATTTTGTTTATCAATTTTGTTAATTTATTTATTAATATACGGGACTAAAAAAAAGTGTTCCATTTGTACATATAGTACTTAAATTGTAAAATAACAATTATAAACTTAAAGAGTTAAAGCTGCGTTCTTATTATTAAATAATAGTTTGCGAAGAGTAGTGACAAATTATGATTTGTTAAAAAAAATCGAAAAAGTCGCATCTTATTAAAATAAGTCGAAAAATGTTATATTTTCGAAAAAAAGTGAGAAAAAGTCGAAAAAATCGTATAATCCGATGCCTGCATTAGCTATTAGATATAGATAGTATTTAGCAAAGGGAAAATATACAGTCGACAATCGTCTCTTACGTTAATTTTCATTTATTAGGATCCAGGGACTCGTATAAAGAACCAACCGCACATGTAGCTTCAGAAAGATACTCACCTGTTAGACGCGCTTCAGAAGGTTCAGGACCTCCAGGACCAGGAATTCAGGCGCTTCAACAGGAATATCAACAATTACAAAAGCTCGCTTCTCCGTCTCATAGTCCTGTTAGCATTCCTGGTTCTCCTGTTCACGAGAGAGGCGTAGCTGCAATAACACAAGGTATGAAAATTTCAAGAATTCTTAAAATTGTAGATTTTGAATTTGAATTTTTATCGTCTCAATAAAATTTTAGGACTCAGTGGACTGACTACAACCTCAGTACCAGGTAGTATTGTTCATGGTACTCCAACTCAACCACCGGCGACGCCTTTGGATCTCAGTCCATTACGACATCATCGATCTCCAGCAACAACTCCCGTTAGTTACTCCCCCAGTAACAGTCCAGCGTTAGATATGATTCAAGAAGAACATCACGTGGACTTTCCAAGGGTATTAAAAATACTATCGAAATAATTAATAAAAAAAAATAAATAAATAAAATTGGTTTAAATGTTGGAATTTTTTTTTTACAGGTACCACCTCAAATATCCGTAACGGATGTTTTAGGAGGACAAGTAGTTTTAGTTGGATGCTCACCATCACCTTCTCCATCACCTGATTCGTTAGAAGACGTATTACCGGAATATAATCCTCTTCCTCGTTTTATAATATCGGAACTTTGTGATCCATCATTACCAAGTATCACACGTGGAATTGGTAGACCTCTCAGTACGCCAATACCAACGGAAGTTGAAGTTACATTGTCTGATGAATCAAGTAGATTAAATTCAGAAACAATATTAGGACGTGTTAAACAAATTATAGACGCTAGAGCTCCACCAAAAGGTTTTATTTTTTCACGTGAAGAAATTGAAGGAGGAGGATTTAGTTTAGAATATCCTGGTGGTGTACAAATTGAATTAAGGGTATGTGAATCAGAGGAGAGAGAAGTGAAAGGTATAAAAATGCGTAGAATCAGCGGGGACCAAGTGCAATATAGTCAATTGTGTCAGCAATTGATTTCTTGCATTACCGTTTGACGACAACAAGAGCATTATTACACCTTATTCTTATTTTATTTTCTTACATTCCTGGTGCCACACACACTCACACACACACCATATGTTTACAGTATTGCACAACATTTTTCCCAATGTTGAGTAATTCTTTATTCTTCTTCTATATTTTATACCGGATTGCTTTTTAAAATATTATATTAATTTAGAAAATTGGTAATTATAAAAAAAAGTTAATGGTAGACCTTAATAATAAGGTGCAATAATCTTTTTTTAGGTGTATTCTTTTTCTTTATATTTATCATTTTAAAAAAATAGATATGAAGTCAAGAATAAAAGTTTACAAAAACTTTGTTATTCTGATGTCTTAATAATTATGCTTTTTTTTAATGAAAAAGAAAACGATGCTCATCGATTTTAATTCGCGGTTTTTTTTTATTAAATATTATATCTCTTTGAGGCCATGTACTCTGAGCTTCAATATTGTTTTGTTATCAAGTATAATGTAGTAAACGATATTTAGTTTGTAATAATTCGTTAAAACATAATTAATTATGTGAAGAAAAAAAAATATCAGGAGGTAATACATGTCTATAAATAGTGTTCGTAATATTTAATAATGCAAATTGTTTGCATAAGCAAAAATGTATTAGCAAATTAGAAGAGGGTGTGTTCTTTCAAATTAACTTTCAATTACCGATTTAAATGTTCTAGAAATTAATTTCCTTAAAGCTGCATTGCGATATTTGAAAAGACATAATATTCACATAATAGTGTATTCAATAAGCTTGATTTATTTTTGATATGTTCAAAATAATTTTAATGGATGAGTAATTATATTTCATTCAAAACAGTTGCTTACAATATGTTTGGCAATTATTTTTCTAATTTTTTATATTAAATTCATTAATTTAGATTTTTAGGTTTTATAACTTGTAAAAATTACGTGACGTATCGAATGTACGTATTGAATAGAAAAATATTAAAAGTACTTAAAATTAAGTATTATTTGAATTTAAAACTAAGACTTTCTTCAAAGAATTACATTTTTTAACTTACTTTTTAAATTACTTTTTTAACTTTTAAAAATTTGTTAAATTGATTCCCCCGCATACAAATCAATATTAAAAATTGAAAATGTAATTGTATAATATTTTTTGAAAATAATTGCCTAAGGAGATTTAAAATAATTTCTATAAATTCGAATTTAAAGACCGCGCAACGTTTATGAATGAGGTTTAATGAAATCATCGTAATTATTTAAAAATTTGACAAAAGAAAATTACAATTTGTGCTTTACTAGTTAGATTCATATTTCTTAGAAACTCCATAACAATTATTAGGAATATCAATTTTTAAAATGTTTAAAAACAAAATAAATAATAATAGCTTAAAATCGTGTAACGGTTTACATTACAATTTAGAAAAATTAATTTTAATATACATCTTTATTAAAAGTAAGAAAATTTTGAATGCAATGTAAACCAAACGCATTTTTAAGCGTTATATATTTTTTTCATTTAATGCAGCTGTTAGTAATAATAATTTGAAAATTTTGCTTTGAAAGCTTAACATTATTCCGCGAGAACGGTTAATAATAAACAAATTTATGTTACATTTGACCTTTTTAAATTCAGTGGTGTAAAAAAGTTTAAAAATTTACTTTTCACATTTTATAATTTAATTCCAACTTATACATAGGTCTTTTTATATAAAAAAAATGAACATATTTAGGCAATTTGTGTAAGTGACAATGCGAAATAGAGGAAAATATGTGAATTATAGTGTAATTAATATTCTTTATATTTCTTAAGTTCATACTTACAGTGTTCATGAGAAATTAATTTAACGAAGCATTTAATTATATTAATGAATATTTTAAAATTATAAAAAAAATTATTCAGATATAATATCAAATACATTAAATTTTTACATTAAATTAAAATAAAGGCATGAATCAATAAAACATTTTACCGTTAAAAATAATTAGCATGTTATTAGTAAATATAATTTATGTAATGTAGTTACTTTTTTGTGAACTTTAATTATAGGCAAATAATAACAATATAATAACGGTACTATTAATCAAAGTTTACAATTTACAGAATATAATGAATCGTGAATGGTAAATTCTTTAACAATTTCAAAAATATTCGAATGTATTTTATAAAGTATACTTTTTTCTGCGTAATTGTTAAATGCTTCGTTAAATTAGACTGAATGTATAAATATTATATGTATGTAAGTGAGTGAGTTCTATATATTTTAACGAAACAAAAAAAACACTTTCAATTTTAATGATATGTAGAATATTATTGTCATTAACATAAGACAAAGGAAATAATAGACTATTACTTTTTTAAAATAAAAAAAAAATAAATAAAAAAAAGTGAAAGTATACACTACAAATATAAGGCTTTCGTGTCTGAAAAATATTATTAGATTAATTTTTGCAATCGTCTTTCTTCATGTCTGTCAAAATACATAGTTTCAAAAAAAAAATTGTTGATGAACTTTGTAAAGCACAACAGAAAAATGTATAAAAAATACGTGTATATACAAATATAAAAACAAATATTGTAAATATTTCGTAAGAAAAAAAAAGAAATGTACATATAAAATAAAAAGCAGTTTAAAGCTACTTGAATCAGCATTACAATTTATTTTTTATGGAAGAAAAACGATTGAGTGTATTTCTGTAAAAAAAAAAAAACAAAATTAATAGTAAGTCAATAATTAGAACTTCTAGTAGGAAATAGTATAATTTTTTCTGAAAAAAACCACTTAACTGTTCTAATTGAATTGAAGTAGCTTTAAATTAATTCCAGATAGTATGTACAGTTTTGGTTTTATCGAATGTATGAAGTTAAAACTTTATGTAATTTGTAAAAATCAGTAATTTTTTACCTAATAATTGTGATTAGTTTTTCATGTTAATGTATTTTTATCATTAATTTGTCACCATTCCCAACTGACGTTTATAACTTCCATATAATTTTAATTATTTTATAGTTATTCTATAAATTTTTAATTAAGAATTTTAATTCAACAAAATTTTTATCTCTAAGGAAGAAAAATTTTCATGAAATGATAATAACTTGACAGCGGTTTTTTCTAATGTTTTAATTGTAATTCTTTATAAAAAATTTTTTATAAAAAATTTAATATAACTTTAGCTTCTTTGTCGTCCATAAAATTAAATGTAGGGGAGGATCTCTGGACCAAGTTTTAGAGATTACGATCCAAAATAAACAAATGATTGGACGGTAAGTAAAGATGAAGGAGGAGACTAACGTATATGGAGGAGGAAGAAAATGAAGAAGAAGAAGATTAAGAAGAAGTGGGGAAATAAAACAATTAATGCTCCGCCCGCTCTCAGGACAACACCAAAAATTCATTCATTCAACTTTAAATTATTCTCTAGTTTTCTCCCGCCCGTGTTCATCTTTGTTAAAAATCTAAAAAATTAATCAACAATTTTTTTAATATGTTTTACATTAAATTTTAAAGCGTGTATTTTTTTTAAATAAATATTTAAGGAAAATAAGTGAAAAGTTCATTAAACAATATAAATAATAATTCATTTTACAGTAAGTTTGTGTTTAATTTATTTAATAGTTTTACTGAAAAAACAGACAATTTTTTTTGAAAAACTAAATTATGTGATAAAATTGAAAGTAAATTAATTTATTAATTAATTAATAAATAGTTGGAAGAAAATATTAAATATTTTTTATGTATATTTGCAGAGAAATGCCACGAAAGAAGAAAGTACCAATACCTTCTTTTAGCAGTGAAGAGGATTATGAATTTGAAGAAAATTATAATAATAAAGAAAGATATAATAGTCGAGCACCAAGAAATGCTGCTAATGCACGTGAAAGAGCAAGAATGAGAGTATTGAGTAAAGCATTTTGTCGATTAAAAACAACTTTACCTTGGGTGCCTGCTGATACAAAACTTAGTAAATTGGATACTCTTCGTTTGGCGGCAACTTATATTGCCCATCTTCGAGCAATTTTATGTGACGATGGAAGTTCTGAAATTTCCAAATCTATTTCTTTGACTTTGGTGAGTATTTGTTTAAATAAATGAATTTTATTAGACTTTATAGTTTATTTCGAAAGAGTAAATCCAAATAGAGGAGAAAAGTGGTATTTATTTATTTAAGCCAAAACACGCTCTCAAAAAGATATTATAGCCATTTTGTCTTTTTATTTAACGATTAATTTCTTATTTTTGCGATTGCAATAAATTAGCACAAATACCTGGTATACATTTTTTCTAAATTACCATAAAAAAAAAATTAAATATTAATAATTTACATGATATTGAAAAAAAAGAAAATAGTTTCATTATTGTTCCAGATGAATTCAATCTAAAACCTTAAGATATATACTTATACCGAGTTACAGAATTTGCCTCTTATTCTGTTTATTCTAAACCAGGTGGCTCAAATCAAATATGACTCGTTCGTATTCTCGTATGTTCCAAATTTCTTTTATTTTGTCTTTCTAGCACACAAGACTTAAATTTTGTGTTCTAAGTGCCAAAGTAATAAAATCATCCTATGATTATTTTATGTAAAAATACATGACTTCTTGCATATTGAGGATTAAAGGGCTTTTCCATGAAAAAGCGGACATTCTGTTCGTGCGTCACGATGACTCAATTTGTCTATAACTTTTTTTTTTAATTATTATAAAATAATAATTTTTTGTTACATGGGAAAAATAAGAAAATAGAAACGTGTCTTGTTTTGGATTTTATAAGAAAATTGAAAAAAGATACAGCCGTTTTAGTCATCGTAACGCAAATTCAATTGTTCTCATGAAAATGCCCTAAAGTAATCGAAAAAAGTAGAAATTTTCTCTCTATTGTAACAGCAAAAAATAATAGATGTAAATTTGAATTAGTGATTTATTGAAACTAATTTTTTTCAGTCTTGGCCGTTTGTTGTTCAGAATGTCAGTCTACCAATTTTAAGTAACAATAGTAATGATACTACAACGGAAACTTCTATTTTGGACAGCAGAGCCAATTGTTTATTTAAGAATATTTAAATTTAGAATAAAATCACAAATTTTATAAATTGTGTGAAAAAACTGAAAGCCAAATTATAATATTATAAAAATTATTTTTTAAAAAATATTATTAGAGTTAAATAAATTAATATAATGTTTAACATAATATATCCACTATTTCAGCATGTTAAAAACTATTTATAAATCGCAAAATATAAGTTACCTTTGCCAAATTTTTTTTTAAAAATTATATTATAACGACAAAAATTATTCCATGTTTTAAAAAATACGAAATAAAAAAATTTTTTAATTTTTATTATTTCTTTTAAATTATTATTACTAAGGGTTGAGAATTTTCTTTTTGCATTAAATCGCAAAACAATGGAACTTAAATGGTACGCCATGTATATTTTTCTTTCGGTTTAAAATATAAACAAATCTTTATCCCCATTTATTAGAAACACTTATGCAGGAAACAAAAAAAATCTATTAACGGATATAGAATATGAAAGGTACTAAGTAAAATAAATAAAAATTTAGAGGAAGGAAAGGACCCTGCTTCTCGTGAAACGGAAGCTAAAATAACATATCGAGTTCCACAGTCATAGCAGATAAGAAAAGGAAATCCAATCGAGAAGATTCTTTCCCTTATTTCTACCGTTTTTAATAACATCCGTTATTAAAAATAATAATTCAAATTTAAGATATAAAAAGTTATAGTATTTGATAAAAGAAAAAAAAATGTCTATTTTTATGTAACCATTTAACAAAAATGTTTTAAACTTATTTTATAAATTTCCAAATTTATACTTTTTTTAAATCTCATTTAAATAAAAAATTTAATTCATGTAAATGAAAAAAGTATTAATACTTTTAGGTTTTTAATAAAAAAATATATTTAATAAAGAAGAAAATCTGTTTTGTTTTATTTACAAGTAAAAAAATTAATCAAATAAAAATTATGTCTACACGCAGAAAACAACCCTTTCTTTACTGTGCCTATGGATTTATATAATTCCTGAAAACTGGCAGTTGTCAAATATTGATTATTTTATGAGTTATTAAAATAAAAAAATGTTAACGTAGATGTGCACAGTCAAAATCAATAGGTATATTTTAATTTAAAAGTCGATTTCTTTTTAGTTTTATGTTATCACGAATTAAGTTTTTAAGTGGATCATTTACATAAATTATGTAAAGATTAAATAATTGATTAAAATAATTATCGATTACTACGTCGTGATGAATTTCTCATTTGTTTTTCAATTTCAAATTGACGATAATCAGCTCTTTGAAGAAAATCTTGTTTTTCTAAATATCCCTCTTTACCTCTATTGTGAGTATTTATTTCATCTTCGATGTTCTCTTGTTTCTTAAAATTATCCCAATCCATTTTAGATTTTTCTAAGGTGTTAATTTTTGTTTTCTTTTCAAGACGACCCAAAACAGCGGAAATGCCACCCATACCAATTTTTTGGGTTCCTTGATTCTTTGACACATTGTTTTTAATAATTGAAGGTGTATTAATATTTTTTGTATTTTCAGTTTTTGTTGTTGAAAGTTTGTTTTCCGTGGAATTTAACAGTGTCTTATTTTCCACATCAACTTTTTCACCAGCAAATTCAAAAATCTTCGACATTGTTATTTTATTATCGATTTTTGATTTTATTGAACAATTATCAGACTTTCCTGATAAATTATCATTTGTGACTTTCGATTTTGGTTTAGAAATAAGTGCTGTAATTCAACAGAATTAGATATTTTTATTATATTATTTTCACTACCTATATTAATAAAAGTTCAGGGTTGCCACGAAAGACTAATTTTAAAATTCCTTGATTTTTCCAGGTTTTTCAGACCATTTTAAAAAAAAATCCAGAACCAAATATAAATCTATTTTGATGAATTTTTAGCTAATTACATTAAAAAATACAAGATATTTCAATTGAATTAACAATAAAATATTCTGTAAATTAATTGCTTGCATAAAACCGCAAAATGAAATCATTCAAATTAAAAATAAGGATTTTTTTTCTATGTTTCGATGTCAACAAGATCGAATTTCTATTTAACCATATTTTATAAAGTAAAATTCATAATAAATTAAATTTTCTTAGCGAAGAATTTTTGTTTAATTGATTTTTCATTTAATGAAATTTCTATATATCTGTTTTTTCATATAACTACTTTAGCGAATTTTTATTTAACAGAATTTTTGATTAACAAAATTTATATGTAACAGAATTTTCACAGATATTTATTTCAGAGAATTTCTAATTAATGGAATTTTAATTTAATTGAATTTTTGTATTGATTTAATTTTACTTATCTGAATTTTTATTTAATCGAATGTTCGCTTATCTTAATTCTTATTTATCAGAACTTTTATTCAGCCTAATTTTTATTTCAACTAATTTTCAATTAATAGATAGAATTCGCTTACAAAAAAACTCTATACGAAATGAAAATTAGATCGACTTTAAGACACAAAAATGTCTTTTAAAAAATTTATTTAAGGCCAATTCTTCATAAATTGAGTCAAATAATTAAAAGAAGTTTTAAAATAAATATATTATCAAAAATTTTTCAAAACTAAATTTGTTTTATGTTCTACTTTATAATATAAAAACTCAATAAGAAACCAAGTATTTGTGATGAATTCTTTATTAAGAATAATTCATGAAAATATTTTAAAAAATTTTTTGAAGATATTTGATGTATTTTTTCGTTTTGACTTATAAATATAATAATATTTGACATAAAAAACTTGTCCTTTTCTTTTAATAAGTCATAATTTTTAAAAAATGTTATTTAGAATATTTCAGAATTTAACTGAGAAAAATTTTCAACATCTTTAGATTAAATAAATTTAAGATTCCTTTTTCTGAACCATTTTTTAAGTTTTATTTATTTGTTTATTAATTTAAAGTAAATTTATACAATTTTTTCAGATTTTCAATAAAATTTTTGAGTTGAAATTGTCAGAAACTTTGAAAATCAGTTTTATAAAAACTTATATTTAAGGTCAATTTCAGGGCGATTTTTGAGTCAAATAATGAAAATAATTTTTAATTTAGTAGAATTTTAAAGATTTTAACTCATAAAAATTTTAAACAGGAATATAATGCAAAAAAAAATTTTTTTAATTATTCAAAACAAATGTTTTTGTCTATGTCATTCTTTATCATATATAAATTCAATAAATAAAATTGATCAGTTATTTTTTACCCTATAAAAATCGAAATAAATATCATTTTATCTGAAAAAAGTCGAAAAAAGTTGCATTCAATGAAAAAAGTCGAAAAAGTCGTAGAATCCGAGGCCTGTTGAATTAGTATCAATTTATTAATTCCACTTTATAAAATTTTGCTAAATAAAAATGAATTCAATTATAAGATTCGTTCCACTGGAAATTTGAACTACCTAATGAAATTACTGAAATAATGAACTAATGAACCGTATTATGTTAGAGAACATTTTTGACCAATACAGACAAAGATTTAAAAACTTTATGTTGATTTCAACTTTAAGCACTAAATTTAAAACAGAAAAGTTGTAATGTCAACTTGGAAACTTCAGATTTTCTCGATTCAAATGCAGGAAATAAAATTTTCAGAACGATATTTCATAAAATTCCCTGACATTTCATAAGCCAAAAGTTCTGAACGTTCAAATCAACGAAATATTTTTTTCAATCTGTAAATTTTTAAAAATTATGATAGTAATGTAAAATTAAACAGTAAATTTAACAATTATTAAATTTGTAACTTCTTTTTAGATATTTAATACAATATTTTGTAATAAAATTCGTACTTAAAGTTGCAAAAAAAATTTTGTTCATTTTAACGTTCAAAACTTTTGGCTTATGACATTTTCCATGACAATTCCAGGTTTTCCAGGTCTTTGGCAACCCTGAAGTTTTGTTAATTTGCAAATACAAAATTAAAAATATGCTTACCTGAATCTTTTAAAAAATCAGCCCATAAGGAATCGGCTCTTTTCTTTTGCTCTTCATCATTAAGCACTTTTAATTCATTATCATTTTCAGTCTTTACATCATCTAATTTTTCATTTGAAAGAGATGATTCTTGATTTTTTTTACGCTTCGTAACTCTGCTTTTTGACTTTTTCGAGCGCTTTTGTACTTTACCATCGCAATTTTTATCATTCTCCAAGGCATCTTCAATTTCCTCTCCATCAGATCCTTCTTCAGATGCACTGCTTTGTCCTTCTGGTAAATAATCTTCGTCATCCTCATCCGATTCAGAAAGTTGATACTTTTCAGACATACTGAAATAATATATTGTCAAATTTTATTTTTTAATGATTTTTTATTTATTCATTGATTCAGAAGAATTTAATTCAAATTTATTTAGAAATATAAAACGGAGTCAATATAAAAAATGACAGTAAATATTCCGATTAAAATTTTCACGTAAATATAATTATTAAATAAATTATTATTAAATATCCGGATAAAATTAACTGTAATTTAAATAATACCTAACAAAATATACGGTTCCTTTAGTTTTTTTAAGATAAAATAAAAATTGAAACCATCAACCACTACAGCTTCGAGTCTTTTGAGCATGAATTAAAAATAGAGTAGAGAGGCAGCGTTACAAGAAAAATACGAGTGTTTGCAAAGTGTAGGCAAAACGTGACGTCACTAAGCAGAGAGGAGCATGTCATCGTAAATAATGTGCTAGAAAAGGATAGAGATATATTTTTGTTCTTTCCACAATTGTTGTTGTTCTATTGAAAAGAAATTTCCCTATTGTGCAAAGGCCTTTAAAATATTGTTACTTCCATCTATTTGTTTAGGTCATTTAAACCGTAGAGAAAGAAAAAGTTTGTAAAAATCCAAATAATTTATAATAAACAATTTTTTTTTAAAAAAATTTTTTTAAACAATAACTAGACAACTGAAATACTCAATTGTTTAAAATGACGACTTCAAAAGAATTAAATTTAGCTCGAAAAAGTCTTGTCATGTCCTTGGGTGAGAATGCTAAAGTGTAAGTTCAAATACTATTTTGTTATTATAATACAAATATAAAAATATCTTAATAAAAAAATTCATTTATTGCAGTTACTTTGAAAAAATGAAACTTTGGTTCCAAATGAAGGTATTGTTTGACTATTTTTGAATTAATTATTATTGAATGAAAATCATTACAAAAAAGCACAATAATTTACTTTTTACACTAAAAATATATTACAGACTACAAAGGAAGAATTTGATTGTGAAGCTCGTAATATTATGTCAGAGGATCAAGTTCATTTACACAATGAATTTCTTTTGTGTTTATTCAATAAAGTGCAAGGTCTTGCTACATCAACAACAATTCGACCAACAAAAATTAATAATAGCTATAGCGTTGTGCAAAATCAAAAAGAGAAAAAATTACGCTTAAAACGCAAATATAAAACGGATAAATCTAATTTTGAGGTAGGAATTTTATTTTTTGAAATTTTTTTTTCCATTTTAGAATGTTATATTGCAATTTTGATTATGTGCAGCCGGCAGATATGTATGTGGAAGTTTTAAGTCAAACATCGTCGCCAGTTGGTGATGAGCCTATTGGAGCTAATCGTTCAAGTGCTCAGGAATTAATACTTCCAGATAGAACTTTTGTTTTGGCACGATTAATGTTAGCAGCTTGGGAAAATAATATGGATGGAGCTGAAGAAAGTACAGCTCATATAATTATTGCTGCCACTCATATTTTTCTTAAAAACATTATTACTGCAATTATCACAAGAAAAAAAGGCTTCTCAGTTCGTGACAAAACTTTTATTTACAATATCGGTGAACCTGTACCTAGTTCATGGAAACGAAACACTACTTTTGCTTCTAATACATTAAATTGGTAAGTAAATTCGAAAATTTATTCTAATAAATTTGCATTAAGTTTCAATATTTCAGGCTTCCCCTATTTTTCCTATATTTTAAAAAATTCCCCTTTTTTCACTCATTTCTCCTATTTTATGTTAAAACTCGAATAATGTGATATTTCATAAAAATACAAATTATGTAATTATGTAATTCAAATTCTTCGAAAATCATACATAATTTAAAACATGTTATAATTTTTACTTAAAAATTCTCTCAAATTCAATTTTTGTTTAAAGTTTGTAAAAAAAATTTTATCATTTGAATTTGAATCATAATTAATGAAAATTTCAATTTAAAATCTGAAAATCAATTATATTTAAAATTTTTAACTCAAATTCTTCTAAAGTTAAATTTTTTTCTAAAATTTTCTTCGCTAAATTTATTATTTTTAATATCTTTGATCAAAATTTTTTAAAAATCTTATTTTAAAATTTTTAACTTCAATTCTTTGTTGAATTAATTGTTTCTGATAACTTTAATCAAAGTCTTCAAAAATTCCATTAATTAACACATTTCTCAATTAAACATTTTTTTAAATTCAATTATCTGCTGAACTTTGTAAAAAATCTTCCTCAATTCAAATTTACCAAAATTCTTTTTGTATATCTCCTGAAATTTTAATTACTTCTGAAAAACTTAAATATATCTCTTCCAAACTCGACCACTTCCAAAATTTGTATCTAAAATTCTTCGCTAAATTAATTATTTCAATTATTTTAATTCAATTTTTCAAAAATTCAAATTTTTTTATTAAAAATTCTTTAAAATTTAATTACTGTTTAAAATTTTGTCAATAATTTTCAACAATTCAAATTTACAACAATTTCAATTAATAAATTAATTTTTTTCAATAATACTTTAATCAAGTTCTTTAAAAATTTAATTTTTTAAAATATTTGCCAAAATTCTGAATTCGAATAATTTGTACAATACCGTAAAATGGGGTAAAGTCGGCGTTTGGGGGTAAAGTCGGCCGGCGCTTTAAATCATTTTAAAGTTTAACTATTACTTTTTTCCAGAAGAAATCCGAGTTTTATTAAAAATGTAGTTAGAATTAATGTAAATTAATAAATGAAATACAATATTTAAGTGTTTAAAACGCCGGGCGACTTTACCCGCAAACGCCGACTTTACCCCATTTTACGGTATCTTGGACTTTTTTCTTCCTTTAAAATAACTTTAAATTATTATTTTTCTAAATTTTTCTAACTGAATAAAAAAAAATCCATGTAAATGTTTCTGTGAAACATTCTTATTATATAATTAGAAAAAATTGATTTAATTTCTAATAATTAATATTAATAATAATGAAATATTTATTAACTAATAACATTTATCAAAAATAAAAAATATCGACTTTATCGATTTTTGTTGTAATGAAAATCGACTTCTTTCTGTTTCTAAAGTCAATCTTAGGCCTGAATTAGGAAAATTGGAAATTTTTTTTTATAAGAAAATTAATTTGAAACATTTTTTAAAAATTTAATTTAAATATTTCAGTTTCTTTAAAAAATATGAATAAAATCAAGTTTTGTATATTTTACAAGACGGTTTTCGGTTTGATAAAATAAAAAATTACTTGCATTTTTCAAGAAAAAAATTACATTACAAGTAATTTTCATTCTTTGGAAAATTAATTTTAAAATAAGTTTAAAAAATAAAAACCGTTTATTTATTAGATGTATGCAATTCACATTTTTATAAAACATTTAAAATAACATTAAAAAAAAGAATTAATTACTATATTGGGAAAATCTCTCCTTTAAATCTCAATTTTCTCTATAAATTTATCATGTTTTAAAAAATGTGGAAAAAAATTTTGGTTTCTATACTTTCTATATTTTAAGATGTTTTATACTCATCAAGAAAATGGGTGGACTCAAAATTTTCACCGGTAGTGTAATTTAACACAACTTTAAAGCATTTTCGTTAAGAAAAATATATATTTAGATTTTACCCTATTTTTCCCATTTTTTCGAACAAAATTTCCCCTATTCCCTTTTTTTAAGCAAATTTTATGCTGTGAAACCTGAAATTTATTATAATAAATTTGCATTAAGTTTCAATATTCGGGTTTTTTTTTCATTAGTACACCAGCGACACTTAGTGACAATGAGGGGCAAATACCTGCAGTAAAACCTAATTTAGAAGAAGCTGAACAAGCAGTAGCTCTTTCATTAGCATGTGCCACTCAAACTATGCTTCCATGTCCACCTTCAGTTTCTATTGCTGACTTACAAACAATTTTAAAGGTATGAAATATTTAAAATTTTATCAACTTTTTATTTTATTTTGTAATCCATTCTATCCAAATAGAAAAAAGTCTCTATTTAAAATATAAATTTTAATTTATTTCTTAATTGAATTTTCATTTTAGGTGTATAAAAATCTTGTTAACAATCATACATTGTATGCCACAAATGTTGAACGTTTGTTTACGTATAATACTCATTCTACTTGGGAAGATATAGAATCACGAAAAATACTTCGTCGTAGTTGTAAAACTTAAATGGCATTTTAAGTGTTAAACTATAAATTTATTTATATAATGAATATAAATTAATTATATATAGAATTAGTTATGTACTAAATTGATAATGTAAATAGAAACATTTGCTAATAAAAAAAGATAATAGTATAAAATATGTTAATTTTATTGACTATTTTATGACATATATAACAATTTTTTTCATATAATTTTTACATTCGAATTTGAAATCTTCCAGCTTTTGTAATATATTTTACTCCTTTAAATGGTTTGTACTTTTCTCCATACATATCTAATCTATTGACTTTTAGTCCAGAGACAGCTAATTGATTTATGGTAAAGTGAACCTAAAATATTAAAGAATGTAAAAACTATTTTGAATTTATTATAATTATACGAATAAGAATATTTCTCCTTACGTTAATAGCAGGATTAGATTCTGCACTTGAAGAAGCATTTTGAACAGTAATCTGCAAAAAGAAATTATTTTTCAATTACAAAAGCAAGTAAATTTTAGAAAAAAAGAAATTAAATAAAACTCAGTTTTACCGATCCTCGAAGATTTGGTAATTTAGAAACATCTATTCTACCAATATCCCAAAATAGTATTTTGCTAACAGGATCAAAAGAATATTTTCCTTGATTTGGTATCAAGGTGCAATTCAAAACAATTTTCGGCATTGGAATTTCCAAACTCACATTTTCAACCTGAAATTATAATTATTTAGAAGTGAAAAGAAAATAGTTAAAAATAATTGTAAACTTACAACTCTTCCTACAGTTTGTTTCGGTCCAACTGTTATATCCAATCTTCCACCACCCGATTCTTTGAGATTAATATTATGTTTCACATAAATAGGTATCGCAACAATACTTTGTGATCCTATATGATATGATAGAAGCCGGAAATTTCCATCAGGTGGAACGAATGATAATATCCTTTCAGACTAAAACAACGCAACTTAATAAAAAGATAAATTTTTTTTTTGTGAATTAATATTGCAAAATAAATACCTCCCATCTTTTAAAACGAACACATGGATGAAAGCTCACGTCATCAAATAATCTTGGATTGACAAATGATAATGTTAAATCTGGCATTCCACTAAGTTTAATACAACAGTCAATCTGTAAAGAAAAATAATATTTAATAGTAAAAAGAAATTGTTGACTAAAAATTCCGTAATAAAATAATTACATAGCCCTGTATTTCTGCAAAAACTGTTGCACCAGTCCTGTCAATTATAGCATCCACTTCCTCCACAACATCAAAGTAGGCTTCATTATTTGTATATTTAACACCAGTTCTTCGCCATGGAACATTGGACAATTGTCCACTCGGCAAAATAGCACTTACACTACACAAAATAAAATAAAATTAAAAATATTTCATTAAGTAACATAGAATTGGGTCAAACCACTGAAAATCATCTGAGAGTGGTTGGTGGCATATTTTTAAAAAAATTTAGTTTTAATGTATGTGAAACTAGGTGAATTTCTAAGTTCATTGGTCATAATATTATCGTATAAATTTTATTTCGTTTTAAAGTATAATTTATTAAAAGTAGGAGGTTCACGTTGTAAATTTTTAAATCTTGCACTTTTTTGCAAACATTATTCAAAAACTATAAAATATTAGATATTATTTACTAAAAACATAAATTAATTTATTCTACATCAAAAAATGATGGAATTATTATATAATTATTTTATTTTTTGATATTAATTCGAATTTGAAAATTTTTTTTAGTAAAAGAATTTCCCAATTTTTCTAAGTTTGTAACTTTTTTTTGAATCGAATTTACTTTTTCAACTTTTTTTTTCTGTAAGCTTCAAAATAATTGGAGTTTCACACATATTTTAATATTGATATAATTTAACTTTTATAAAAATTTGATGAGGGTTTGACATCTCTTTCTATTCTCATAAAAAAAGGAGAGAGATGTTTGTTAACTTCTAGTCCTAGAATTAAACGTTTTAATTAACAAATTGTAAAATTTATTAATTTTGAAACGAAGCAAAATACCTGCATCAAATTTCCATAGCAGGTAAATTATATCAATATTTTAAAGCTTCCAAAAAAAAGTTACAAGCCTCGAAAAATTGTGAAATTTTTTCCCTGAAAAAATTTTCAAATTCAAATTAATATCAAAAAATAAAATAATTATATAATAATTCCATCATTTTTTGATGTAGAATAAATTAATTTATGTTTTCGGTAAATAATAATATCAAATACTTTATACCTAGTTTTTGAATACTGTTTCCAAAAAAAGTGCAACATTTAAAGTTACGAAATCGCAAGGTGAACCTCCTATTTTAAATAAATTATAATTATAATTTAAAACGAAATAAAATTTACACGATAATATTATAATCAATGAACTTAAAAATTCACCTAGTTTCACATATATTAAAACTATTTTTTTTTTAAATATGCCAGCAACCACTTACAGATGATTTTCAGTGATTTGACCCAATTATAAAAATTATATTTGTAAATACTTTGATTTTCCCGTAACTGTATTTGCAATTGTTCGCAAAATATTTGGTGGTTTAATCAATTCTTTTAAAATATTAGACTCTGTAGCTAGAGGAAATCCATTGTCAAGCATTTCATCCAATAATTCATAAACTACAACATTATTTTCCTTAATTATTGTTTCTGTACATTCATTAAAATAATCTTCAAACGTATCAACCACTCTGTGCAGGAATTCAATTACAAACAATGGTGGTACTGCAAATTCAATAAATTATTCGTAAAAATTCTGTTAATTTTGTTTTATTTAATTCTTAAATATTTACCTTCAGTCATGCATACAGCGACAAAAAACATATTGCACCGATAAATACTTATTAAATAATGATGTGGGGTTGCAATGACAGGTGGTGTATCCTCTGGAGTTAAAACTCTTCGTTGTTGATCGAAAAAATAATCACACAATGAACGTGCAACAGCACTTTTCCAATGTTTCTCCATAAAAACATCTCTGAATAATAAAAATAAAAGCTTTTACTATTTTTCTTTTTATTAACAAAATATTAAATATTGCCTTACTAACCCTGATAAGTTTATGATAAATAGACTGTTAATCATGATGAAAGAAGCATATGTTTTCTGTCAAAAATTATTTTTTCACTATTTTTGTCTATCTTTCAATTAAAAGTGTAACATTGAAGATATCAAAACACTATTATATTACAAAATTTAATATTTAAAGTAAAAAGAAACTCAAATTTTTTAAATTAATATATATATACATATCAATTAGGAAAAGTCTTACAGCTTTTATGGTCATTCCACAATAGACAATTTTAGGTGCAAAAGTATAAAGGTTGTATCAGAGGTGACATATTTCGGAGTCTCCACCTAAAACTGTGTATATCTACTCATCCCTGGAGCCAACTAAACAAAAACAAAATATACCAAAAAAAAAACAATAAAGACAATAGTAACAATCTAAATCATTTTCTTGAACATTAACAAAAATACCAAAAACCATTGTTGTACAATCCATTGTTTGACATTATTATTCTATATTTAGTTGTTATTTCCATATTTTCAAGGAAAATATTGGAATCCATAAAATTTGATCACTTACTACAGTGCATAGACAATGTGCAATGACTGACAAGTCCTAACCATCCAGATGAATCTGATTATTCCAGCTGTAAATTCGGTAAATTTCTTTTCTTAATTATAATTAATTATTGACATTTTTATTTCCATTAATTTGTTATTGGACTCTAGAATAACAAATTAATGGAAGTAGAATGAATAGTGTATGATGTTAATTACTTTGTTCTCTCCGAGAAGAAAAAGAATGGGATTGTTTGAAATATTTTTTTTTTTTTATTGAGGTGACTAATAGTACTATTTTACAAGACACGTGTCTTGTAAAATTTACAGATTGTAAATACACGGAAAATTAATGCATTGCTTTTATAATTATTAAAAGATTGTTAATGAATAAAAAGGGATTTCTTTATTGTAGCAAAAATGCGTTAAGGCTCGTGCTCTTTTTGATAACATTGCTGAGGCTCCCGATGAATTGGCATTTCGAAAAGGTGATATACTTACTGTTTTAGAACAGAACACTGCCGGTTTGGAGGGATGGTGGCTTTGCACATTACGTGGTAGACAAGTGAGAGCAAATATTCATTTTTTAATCATTCAAATTATGTTAAAACAATATGATATTTAAAGATAATTTTATATTATAGTTATATCAGGCTTCAAAGTGACATATTTTTTTCAACAAAGCTACTTTTTTACTACTAATTTTGGCCACAAAAACCACTAAATGCTACTTTTTTCAAAAAATAATTTTTCAAAATGATTTTACAAAATTTCTCTTTACCCAACTGTTTTTTTTTTAAATAATTCTAATTTAACCGAAATTCAGATAATAATTTAATTTTAGAGTATTTTGAATTGAAAAATGTTTTAAATAATTGAAATACCAAGATCTTGATTAAAGTTATTAGAAATAATTATTTTAATAAAAAAGATGAATCAAAATTTTTAATAATTATTGAATTTTAAGAGATTTTGAATTAAAATTTTTGTAAAAAAATTATGAAATTATTAATGAAGTTTCAAATAGTAATTGAATTTTACAGAATTTTTAATTAAAAAATGTTTTATTTAATTGAATTTTTGAATAATTGGATAAAATTTATTGAAATTATTAATTTAGCAAAGAATTTTAGATACAAATTTTAAAAATAATTGAATTTTTGAAGATTTTTAATTAAAATTGTTTTAAAATACTAAATATTTTATATAAGTTTCTGATTCCAAGTTCTAGAATTTAAAAATTCGAATTACTTAAAATTCTACTGAATGAGAATTCTAATAAATTAAAAATATTTTAAATTAGAATACTTTTTAAGCCGTTGTGCCAAAAACAAAAAATTAATAAAAATTTAACAATAGATAGTTCTTTAAAAATAATCAGAAGAAAAATGATGTTAAATTTATTCCTCAGAATTTTTCTTTCAATTTTTTTAGACAAGAAAATATTTACACTTTAACGTCAAACTTATAAAACTAATTTTACTTCATTTTAAAGATGCCACTTTTTTGATACTTTTTTTCAATTTTGGGGATACTTAAAAAAAATGATCCTTTTTCATACTTTTCTTAGTCTCTTACTACGCTTCGAAGCCTGTAATATATTTTAAAATTTCTTTATGCAGTGAATTTTTTTTTACAGGGAATATGTCCAGGAAATAGATTGCGTCTTCTTGTAGGCCAATACGATAACGAAGGATCTTTTACATTGGATGGCTCACAAAAACAAGAGAAACGACGAAGTTGGCATGTTCAATCAAATAGAGTGATAACTCCACAAAAATATGGAGATATCTTTCTTTATGATCTTCCAACAAGTAGATGCAGTATTGCCCCATCTTCAAACGATTGTTATTTAAATGAAAGAAACGAACACTTGCGCATAGGTATATATTATATAAAATAGAAACCAAAATTTAATTATTTTAAGAAAAAGAAAAATTTATCTAAATATTAATTTTTTAGATCGAATAATAGCAAATATGCGTAAGACATCAGTAACTGAGGATTTTGACAATGTTGATTGTTACGATACACCACCGAAAGCAATTCCCGTTGCTTCTTCGCCAACAAGAAGTCCAAGTCCCATTTCTCTATCAGGTTATTCTGTGCCAAAACCAACAACCAGCAAATCTGGTGTAACGCCTCTTGACAGTTATGATGTTCCACGATCTTCTCAACCATTAACACCCAGTAGTTCTACATCAAGTCTTACAAATGACGGCTCATCTCTCAGTGGATCAAATAGGTATGAATAATTCTCAATTAAAAAAATTTCATAATTTTTACATTTTTGATATTTGCCCCAGATCAAGTATAACAGCTGCAGATTATGACGTTCCGCGATCTCGTTTTTCGTCTGCTATGTCTTCACATCAAATAACATCATCTAAAATCTTATCATCATCATCAGCACAAAATAATCAACAACAAATTTATGACATTCCGATGAATAAAATTCTACCATTAGAATTGGATCCAGCTTTAATTGATTTACAAAAACTACAAACTGAAGCGTCAGCAGCTATTACAAAATTATTGAGTTTTATAAATCCTGGATGGAGGCAATTGCAAAAATTGGAAAAAACTTTAATGGATATTAAATTTGCTGCACAACGATTGAGAACATCATTGCATGATTTAACGGAATTTGCAGAAGGTTGGTGAAATTTATATTCTTATTCAGGCTTCACAACATAAAATTTGCTTAAAAAAAGGGAATAGGGGAAATTTTGTTCGAAAAAATGGGAAAAATAGGGTAAAATCTAAATATATATTTTTCTTAACGAAAATGCTTTAAAGTTGTGTTAAATTACACTACCGGTGAAAATTTTGAGTCCACCCATTTTCTTGATGAGTATAAAACATCTTAAAATATAGAAAGTATAGATACCAAAATTTTTTTCCACATTTTTTAAAAAATGATAAATTTATAGAGAAAAGTGAGATTTAAAGGAGAGATTTTCCCAGTATAGTAATTAATTTTTTTTGAAATGTTATTTTAAATGTTTTATAAAAATGTGAATTGCATACATCTAATAAATAAACGGTTTTTATTTTTTAAACTTATTTTAAAATTAAATTACCATAGAATGAAAATTACTTCTAAACTAATTTTTTTTCTAGAAAAATGCAAGTAATTTTTTATTTTATCAAACCGAAAACCGTCTTGTAAAATATACAAAACTTGATTTTATTCATATTTTTTAAAGAAACTGAAATATTTAAATTAAATTTTAAAAAAAATTTTCAAATTAATTTTCTGACAAAAAAAATTTCCAATTTTCCTAATTCAGGCCTCGGATTAACTTTAGAAAGAGAAAGAAGTCGTTTTAGTCGATTTTCATTACAACAAAAATCGAAAAAATCGATATTTTTTATTTTTAATAAATTTTATTAGTTAATAAATATTTCATTATTATTAACATTTACTATTAAAAATTAAATAAATTTTTTCTAATTCTATAATAAGAATATTTCACAGAAGTATTTCCATGAACTTTTTTTTAAACTTCAGAATTAAACTATGACAAATTTTCAAAATTTCAATTCAATAGGACAAATTTTAAAAATAATAATTTAAAGTTACTTTAAAGGAAGAAAAAATTTCAAGTCATTGTACAAATTATTCAAATTTAGAATTTTGGCAAATGTTTTAAATAATTGAATTTTCAAAGAACTTGATTAAAGTATTATTGAAAATAATTAATTTATTAACTGAAATTGTTGTAAATTTGAATTACGGAATATTAGTAACAAAATTTTAAACTGTAATTGAATTTTAAAGAATTTTTAATAAAAAAATTTGAATTTTTGAAAAATTGAATTAAAATAATTGAAATAATTAATTTAGCGAAGAATTTTAGATACAAATTTTGGAAGTGGTCGAGTTTGGAAGAGATATATTTAAGTTTTTCAGAAGTAATTAAAATTTCAGGAGATATACAAAAAGAATTTTGGTAAATTTGAATTGAGGAAGATTTTTTACAAAGTTCAGCAGATAATTGAATTTAAAAAAATGTTTAATTGAGAAATGTGTTAATTAATGGAATTTTTAAAGACTTTGATTAAAGTTATCAGAAATAATTAATTCAACAAAGAATTGAAGTTAAAAATTTTAAATAAGATTTTTAAAAAATTTTGATCAAAGATATTAAAAATAATAAATTTAGCGAAGAAAATTTTAGAAAAAAATTTAACTTTAGAAGAATTTGAGTTAAAAATTTTAAATATAATTGATTTTCAGATTTTAAATTGAAATTTTCATTAATTATGATTCAAATTCAAATGATAAAATTTTTTTTACAAACTTCAAACGATAATTGAAATTTAGAGAATTTTTAGGTAATTTTAACATGTTTTAAATTATGTATGATTTTCGAAGAATTTGAATTACATATTATTGAAAATAATTAATTTTGCAAATAATTCTTTTAAATAATTCAATTTTGGAAGAAGTATATTTTATACTAAAAAAGTTATATTTTGTTCAAAAAAGTCGAAAAAGTTACATTTTATAAAAATAAGTCGAAATAGTCGCATTCATTGAAAAAAGTCGAAGAAGTTGTGCAATCTGAGGCTTGTATTTTTTTGGTTCAAATTTGGATTTTTATAAAATATCCCATTATTCGAGTTGCGACATAAAATAGGGGAAATGAGTGAATTAAAGGGGAAAAAGGGGAAAAGATTCATAAAAAAGGTGAATTTTTTTAAATAGAAGAAAAATAGGGGAAACATTGTGAAGCCTGCCTTATTACTTTTTTTTACTAACGATAATAATTGCAATATTTTTTAGGTGTTCTTGGTAATGCTGGAAAGGTGCCTGACAAAGGATTATCAATGAAATTACGACCATTAGTTAAAGCACTACGCGATACTGATAAACTAATTGAAAAAGCTTTTTCAGAATTAGAAATCATTAAATGGGACACAACACAGCTTTGTCGTGAAGAAAATGAACCATCGTCAAATTCATCAGTTTCCTCGCTATTGTCTTCAATTTGGCCTGCTGATCCATTAGATCAATTAGTTGCTTGTGCTCGAGTTTTAACAGAAGATGTTCGACAAGTTGCCAGTTTTATTCAGGTAAGATTTTGATAGAAAAAATTTCTTTTTTCCTATATTGATTGATTAATAACAAAAATTTGAAATGAAATATTATTCTAGGGTAATTCGACATTATTATTTAAAAAAAATTCAGCTACAGTTTATAAAAACAATAGCACCGAGGCCGTGACTGAAGATTATGATTATGTTAATTTGGATTCACGTGATGCAGTTGTAAAACAAAGGGAAGAATTGAGAGAAACTTTACCGCAGGAACTGAGAAAAAATTACGATCTTGTTGTATCTGAAGCAGATCAAGCTGCAATTCAACTTTCAAATGTTATATTATCACCAATGGATCCTAATGATAAGCAGGTTTTATCATTTTATGCTGCTCAAGCAATTACACATGGATCGCATTTAACTCATGCAATTGATGCTTTTTTACAAACAGTCGAGCACAATCAACCTCCTAAGGTATTTCAATTTTTCTCTTTATCAATTAACTATATTTTTTAAAAAACTACAAATTGTTATTAAAAAAATTAGTGCAAAATCTGAAAATATCAAAAATTTAATAATTGACAATTATATTTTTTTTAGGTATTTCTAGCTCATGGAAAATTTGTCATACTCAGTGCACACAGATTGGTTCATATTGGCGACACTGTTCATCGTAATGTATCGCGAAATGATTTTCGAACGCGAATTCTTCAAAGTGCTAACACTTTAAATGATGTACTTGCGCAGACAGTTACTAAAATTAAACAAGCTGCACAATATTTTCCTAGTGTCACTGCAGTTCAAGAAATGGTCGACAGTGTTGTTGACGTTTCTCATATGGCCAAAGATTTGAAACTTGTTTTAATTCACGCAGCCCAACAACCATAAAATTAAAAATATTGCTAAAAAAACATTATTATTCATAATATAGCTGAATCAAATTAATATTCTATCTACTAATTAAGTAAAAGAACTTAATTACTATATTTAATTAAATTACTTCAAGGTTAAACTGAAAAAAAAAATTTTGGTTATTTTATGCAAAAAATTGATCTACTTAACATTCCTTTTGATTAGAATAACCAGACTTTTTTTTCATTAACGTAGATTAAGAAATATTGACAATTCTTTTGAAATTGTCCTTTTCGATGTTCTTAATAAAAAAAATAATCTTCGCTTTTAATAGGTACTACTACCTATTTAAAAAAAAACATTTTTACAAAAATCCATTATTTAGTATTTATAAAAATACTTTTTAAACATTTGTGTCACAATACGTAATTTTAAATATTCAAAGGCTTCATTGAAAAATATTTTGTTACACTTGAATGTTTATAAAAATTTTAAATAAAAATTTTTTATTATTAAATATGAAAATTTCTTTTGTTATCTATTTGTTTAAATTGTCCTTTTTGAGCTATAAGAAACATTTTAATATAAATTTAAATACTTCAAAAAAAAAGAACCAAAATAAAAATTTATTCCTTCAACAGTATAAAATTTTTATTTATTTTTTTTTCAAAAGAGATTTTTTGGTTTAAAAGGTTTAGACACTTATGAACTAATAAAAGATGTTTATTTTAAAATTCATCGGAATTTAATGCACAAAAATTATTATACGAAACGCTTAGCCCCATTGTGATTGATAAATTATTATGGAATTATTAATTTCGTGTATAAACAGATAATATAATGTTTGTATTCAAATCCATTAACTGTTTTTCACATTTAGTTGTTTAAAAAAAGAGACAGATAGAGAACTAAGACGACGTATTGTCTCAAAAATTATGAATGGTCACAGCATCTTCCAGAATGGATATGTGAATTACCTTCTTTAATCGTTTTTTCTTTGGGACATTTTTCTTGATAATCACAGCACCTACCAGAATGTGTATGCAAATTACCCTCTTTAATCATTTTATCTTTATTATTTTTTTTTTGATGAAAACTAGCAAGATCCCTTTTCATTGCATAAGCATCTTCACCATCTGCATAATATTTTGGTTCAACTTCAGAGACTTCAAATTGTAAACTACTTGTATATAAATTTAATGCAGCACGATTACTTCTGCGTACGTGAAGTGAAACGTATTTCGCTCCAAAACATTCGACCATTGCTCTTGATGCTTGATTCATGAGTTTTTGAGCAATTCCAAGTCGTCGATGAGATCGTTTCACAGCTAAACTTGTAATATGACCATGTGGATTATCTTCACAATCCTCTTCCATTTTGGCAAGTACATAACCAACTATTCTTCCTTTTTCATCTTCAGCAACATAACTCAATTGTGGCCATGACAATGCATGATACAAATAGTATTTCATTTGATAATTTTCTGGTAAGCATTGTAAATTACAATGTTGTATATTTAATAAGTCATTTGTATTAGCACAACGTATTTGTATAGACATGTTTGATGTTTTTTTTTTTCAACCAGATTCAATCTCAATTTTTTCTTTGTACAATATTACAATTAGCTGTTAGTCACGTCGAACTTTCTTGATGCGAGATCGACCGTTTTTTAAATCATTAACTGATGAAGATTCGCTCATTCCACCAAGAAGTTCACGCACAAAACGAAATCGTGACAGAAAGAACCACCAGACCATAAACCATCCTGTAAATAAATTCCCATTTACTCTTTAATGTTAATGTAAAATTGTTATTTATTGATTTACTATTTTAATCTTAAAACTTGACAAATATCATGACATTAATTCTTACCCGTAAATATAAGACCGCAAACTATAATAATGCTTGAAATTACATAAAAAATTGCTAAAGCTATTTCCCTCATTATTATTCTACTTTTTCTAATTTGAGCAAATGATTCAAGTAAATAACAATAAAAACTTGTGTTACGTTATGTAATGTAGTCATGACACAATTACTTCAAAAACTTGACAAAGCTTATTGCGCTCTTAAAGAATAAAATAATTAATACAACACTTTATAATTTTAGTAAAAACGCCATTTTGAATTCAATCATGGAACAAAGATAAATGGCGTTATTTATTAAAGGTTAGGTGGGTAAATTTTAATCTATCTTTTAACAAATTGTTTTTTTATAGTGAATTTTTCTAATAATTTATTTATGAAAAACTCACCAAATTTATGAAGGTTAATTTATAATCTATTGTTATAATCCTTGTTGTAGTTTTTAAGTTTTTATAGTTATAATAAAACTGTTCTAATACAGGATAAAACCAGTAAACATAGAATTATACAGAATGGAATAGTAAAATATTTCCAAAATGTAAACTGTAAGATAGAAAAGGATAAAAAAAATTTTTTCCTTTGAGTCCTGAAACTGTAGTCATAGAGGTCGATACTGTTTTTAAGGTGTTTACACAAATATTTTATATTTCGAACGTTCTACCGTATTTACGTCACTATCAAACAGCTGAGCTTTCAAGTTTCCTCTCTAGATACTTTGCCTATGCAAGTTCTATAACTATTTTAAATAAAATAATTCATTTTATTATATTTTTTCTTTCAGTGTTGTGTCAGTTGTGAAAAAATTATTTTTCCAGTGTAAGAATATTAAAAATCAAAGAAAAATTAATATATCAGTCGATAATTATTTCTTTCATTCATATATGTACATAATTTTTTCTCTTCAGGGCATAACTTAAAATGTCAGCTTTTAGAAGAGGTATTAAGTAATATGTTGTTTCTTTATTTTTGTATTAAATTACATTTTTAAAGTTTTGTTTGTGTAACAAACGAAACTAATAAAAATGTTATATAATTGTAATGTAAATAAATCATGAAACATTGGTGACACTTTACTTACAATAATTTTGTACACATTTGTTAAAAGATTTAAGAGAAATTATTTTTCTTAAAATTATATACAAATAAAAGTATTTCTTTTACAGGACAGACATTGAAAAGTTTATTCAAAGGATGGTGGAATGAGTATCCTGAAATTGTTGCATCACATGTATTATCTACCATTGGTCTTGTAGGAATTCTTGGTATTCATTTTTATTGCGAAGAAAATCAATTTATTGCCCAAACTTTTGACAAGCCATTATGTGAGTTGTTTTTTTATTGTCATTCGTAAAAAAAGCTTCAAAATTCAAAATTCCTTTTACATTTTACTTCAATTGATAAACTCTATGACAAATTTTTCATACTCTTGAATTCTTTTTTATTACCGTGTGATTAGTAATTATCAAGTTCTAATATAGAGATCGTGAAAATTACGATTTTATATGGAAAAAATTACAGAATATAAATTTTACTAAATAAAATGTATTTGAAAATTATTAAAAATATTTTCCAGTTTAGTATTTTTTGTATTGTGTCAGAAATATGAATATATACAAATGTTGTATGTATTCTTTTCAGTCTTGAGACCCGATGATCCAAGAGCGAAGAAAACAATAACATATTATGAAGATGGATGGGAGAAAAAATAAAAAAATGATTGTCTGGTATTTGTTAGTTAAAAAACAATAAAATAAACATATGTATGTAATACGCAAATTATTTTCACGATAAATACGCGGATTGCCATCGTTAATTGTTTGTAAATTTAAATTAAATTTCTTTATTAACAATTTTTCGAAATTTTTGCATATTTTAAATTAAAATAAAATTGGAAAATTGTTTAAAGGATTAAAAAAATATATTTAAATAGAGCTATTAATGACTTGCGCAGAGAATCGTCAGCGCTTCTCCAGTACTAAATTCTTTGCGAAAATGTCACACACACCTGATGCACCTTTAATCTGCAGTGTGCAGTTTGCCTTTACACTCAGTTGATCATAGTCACGGTAGATTCTTTTTTCACTTTCGTCTTGTAATTTTTTTCCTTTTTTTAAGATTCCTCAATTTTATTTTTATTTTGTGTTTGCACGACTGCTATGCAATTTACCTTTTAATTAAAATTGTAAAAGAAAATTGACATTATTTGAAAAATTTCATTTCCTTTTTTTAATTTTCTTAGAAGTATTATTATTATTATTATTATTATTTTTCTTCTTTTCTCCTGCAGCACATGGAATGATTGCAGTGACAAAAGATTATTATGTTGTCTATCTCTCTCTATCGAGAAAATAGATTTAATGCAAAAACTGATGTACTTCTTAATTTTAGGTTGTAAAATGTAGAACCATAAGATGTAAAATACATTAATTTGTATATATATAAATTTTTAACACAGATATTTAAAGGTTGCACTAAATATCGTAGTTTTCCCTATATGTTATAAAAGTACTAAATTTTTATAAAACCCTGATACAATTTGGACAAACAAAAATTAATTTTTTATCAAATAATGATAATTAAATAAATATTTAGTTACTATATCTTTTAAATTTAAATTTTGTCCTATTTGTATTCAACAAGTAATACAAAAATATTTAATTTAATTTGCATTCTAATTAGATTTTCTTACTTTTTTTTAGTACCGGCTTTATTATAAAATTTAAAAAAAAACAGAAATTTTCGAAACTACGTATAGATGAAATAGAAATTGTCATGTACAGAATATTATATACAAGCTATATGACAAAATGCTTTGAAGCATTGATATGCTCGACTAAATAACCCTCTTTCCTCTCCCCCCTCTCTCTCTCTCTCTCTCTCTCTCTCTCTCTCTCTCTCTCTCTCTCTCTCTCTCTCTCTCTCTCTCTCTCTTTGAAAATTTAAGCTAAAGTGTGTGCAAGCAAAGTGCAGTACCTATAAATAACATGGACTAGGATATGTCATATTGATTTTTTTATTCTCTCAAGTGGTTTATATTTTATAACAATAACACATTCGTATATATATACATTCATAATGAATAATTATTTTGTCATAATTTTTGATGAAATTTTTTTTAATTAACTAGAAAAAATATTTTCTGTATTTTAAATATTTTTAAAAAATTACAAGGTTACATGAAGTATTTTATTTTTTTTAATACCCCTTTATTCAGGGTGTTTAGTCATCTGGAAACTTTCAGACAAAAAAAAAAAATAATAATAAAGCCGAGATTTTCCCATAGATTAATTAAATGTAGGTAGATCCTTTTTTATATTGTATATATTTAGCTGGAGGGACTATTTTGCTGCCGAAGACGAAGTGCCTGTCAGGATAACGTACCTGTCAGGGTACGAAGAGGTGCTCATGCAGGTCATGTACTTGGAGGGAATTCAGACGTTGATAATAATGGAATATTGGGACCAATATCAACAAATCCAAGTCCACCTTCAACATCGTCGCAAGAGGAATCTTGCAAACCATCACCACGAAATTGTTACCGGCTTGTTATACTAGGAAGTGCCCGGGTTGGCAAAACTTCAATTGTAGCAAGGCAAGTGTATTTTTTTTATAAAAATTTAGAAGAAAAATATTTTTTCTTTATTTGGTTGAATTATTTACACTGCGCTACAAATTTTATTATTAAGGGAAAAATTGCTAACAAATGTATTTTTTTATTCTTTTATTTTGGTTAAATTTTTTTGGTTTTATAATATTTATATTTATAATTAATAATTTATAATAATATATTATTATTTAACGATTTAGGTTCCTGTCTAATAAATTTGAAGAAAGTTATACTCCAACAATTGAAGATTTCCATCGTAAATTGTACAGAATTAAGGGAGAAGTGTATCAATTGGATATTTTGGATACTAGCGGTAATCATCCTTTTCCAGCTATGCGAAGACTTTCTTTCTTAACTGGTAAGTCTTTTTTTTCTAAGCCCTAACAATTTAAGTTAGATTTCTGAATTATCGGTCGAGGAAAGGAAAGTTTAAATAAATAAAAAGAAAATTATTTCAAATATTTAATATTACAGGAGATTTGTTTGTGGTCGTCTTTAGTATGGATAGTCCAGAAACTTTTGAAGAGGCAACAAGATTAAGAGAAGCAATTATTGAAACAAAAAAAAGTGCAATACAAGGATCGGGAAAAAATAAATTAACCAGTTCTTTAAAAGTTCCCATGGTTATTGCAGGCAATAAATGTGATAGAGATATTAAGTACGTATTATGTTTTTATTTGCATGAATTAAAATATTAATTTTATTAATTGATTAATAATATTAATTTTAATTTTTTTATTCATTTTTTTTACAGAAAAGTGACAGTCGAAGAAGCCCAACAATATTGTGGAAATCAGGATGATTGTTGCATTTTTGTTGAAGTATCAGCCAAAAGAAATTATCATGTAGATGATCTTTTTTATCATTTATTTATAGTAGCTGGTTTACCATTGGAAATGGCACCCAATCATCATAGAAGAGTTCCTTTAAATTTTGGTTCTCCTACGATGCTACCACCTTCTCAGGTAAATTATCTTTCAAATATTTACTAATTTTTAAGTTATTTTTCACAGGCCTCGGATTATACGACGTTTTTTTCGAAAATACGATTTTTTCGACTTTTTTAAACAAAATACGTCTTTTTAATATGCAATGCAAATCTTCTTTATTTCAATTATTTAATAAATTTTCAACTAAAATTTTTCTAAAAATTAATTATTTTTAATAATTTTAATAAAAATTCTTCACAAATTCAATTATCTTAAATTATTTTCCAATTAAAAATTTTATGAAATTTAACAACTGTTTACAATTTAAAAAAAAGTCAAATAAAATTTCAAAAAATTTCAATTTAATACCTTTTAAAGTTTTCCATCTGAAACTTTTTGAAATATATTAATTTCAATTATAACTCTTTTTAAATTCAATTATTTGTAATGATTTTTATAATATTCTTCAAAAATTAAATTATTTGAAAGCATTTTTTAATTAAAAACTTTTGAAAATGAATTTTTGTCTGTAATTTCTAATACAAATTCACAAACAACTGAAATGAAAAAAAATTCAGTTAAAAATCACTTGCCATTCAATTATTTTCAAACATTTGGAGGGTAAATCTTTGAAAATTCAATTACTTTTTAAAAAATGTCATCTAAAATTATTTGATAAATTGAACCGCCGGCGACCAAAAGGGCTTATACGAGGTTTTCATTGGCTCCTGGAATAGCTGGAAACTCACTGAACGGGGGGCCAACGCAAGTCACGCGTAAGCCCTTTTGGTCGCCAGCGGTTCAATTATTTTCAATTCAATTAGTTTTAATGACTTTTATAATTATTGTCTGAAATTTAACACAATCTTTTAAAATTCAATTATTTTTAAAATTTCAATTTAAAAGCTTCTAAAATTTAATTATTGCTAAAAATTTTTGAAATTTAATAATTTCAATTATAACTCTCCTGAAATTCAATTAGTTTTAATGACTTTTATAATATTTTTCTAAAATTCAATTATTTGAAAGCATTTTTCAATTAAAAAATTTTAAAGTTCAATCATTTTTGTCTGTTAATTTTTAATAAATTCTTCATCAACAGAAATTACTAAAAATTTCAATAAAAAATCATTTGAATTTTCATTATTTTCAAAACTCTGAATTCTAAATCTTTGAAAATTCAATTACTTTTAAAAAAATGTCATCTAAAATTATTTGATAAATTATTTTCAATTCAGTAAAATTTAATTATTGTCTAGAATTAAACAAAATCTTATGAAATTAAATTATTTTTAACATTTTCAATTACAACTCTTCCAAAGTTCAATTATTTTTAATAACTTTAATATTTCTTTAAAAATTCAATTATTTAAAAAAAAAATTCAAATAAAAACACTAAAATTGAATTGAATTGTAAATTTCAAAAAGGGCTCAACTCCAAAAATCTTAAGAATTAAAATTTAAAAAATCGACTTTTTCGATTCTTTTTTAAATGTAAATCGACTAAAACCACTTTTTTTGCTCCTTAAGATCGATCCGAGGCTTAAAACTTGAGTAAAAAAAATCGTATAGTAATATTTGTACTATAAATATAAATTCTTTAGCGCGTCAAAAAAGAAAAAAAGAATAAAAAAGTAGTTAACGAATTATCGGTTTATATTTAGCCAAAACACAAAACTACCCTCAGTATTAAACGGCGACTAAGTGATGCTTGTGGAGTAGTTGCACCTGTTCGTCGGCCAAGTTTAAGGACAGATTTAATGATAATGAGAACTAAAACTTGTTCTACTGGAGCTGAAAATAATATTCCAGGATCACGTATTACATTGTGGTCTGTTGATTCGAAAAAAATGTGTTGTATTCAGTAAATAATAATAATAATAATAATAATAATAATATTAAACTAGTATTTACATGTAATCAATAGTTGATAGCATTAAATACAATTGTACAAAAAAACAAATTTAAACAAGAACATTTGTATTGACCGCCTAAAATTCAAATTCGAAGAGTCGATTCCGGAATCGAGTTCTTGAGGGTCGATAATCGATTCTTGTTTATTTTGACGTTAGCAGAAACAATAATATTTGTCCACGTCTAACAAAACTCGTTTTTTATGTTGTTATTAAAAAAAATTATTTTTTACGTACAATTAATAAATTATTTTAAATAATGTTACGAAGAAGAAAAATCAATTTTACTAATGTTAAAAGTTTGGATGCATTTCCAAAAATTGCCGAACATTATACTAAACAATCGGCAGTGGGTGGTACTTGTAAGTGAATTTTTAAACAAAATACTACTGTTTTCTATTAACTAGAGAGTATTATAAATTTTTAAAAATTTCAGTTTCAGTGATAACATTTTGCATAATTGTATATTTAATTACTGCAGAAACATGGTATTTTCTTGATAGTAAACTTAAATTCAAATTTGTACCTGATACAGAAATAAATACAAAATTAAAGATAAATATTGATATAACGGTTGCAATGCCATGTGATCGTATTGGTGCCGATATATTGGATTCGACAAATCAAAATTTTCATCACTTTGAAAAACTTAAAGAAGAAGATACATGGTGGGATTTATCTCATGAGCAACGCTCTCATTTTGATGCGTTAAAAACAATGAATTTATATTTTCGTGAAGAATATCATGCAATACACGATCTTCTATGGAAATCTAATCAAATTGCATTGCTTAGCGAAATGCCAAAACGGTAAATAAAAATGTGAGCTGAGATTTTTACTCTTGTGATAACTTTTCATATTATTTTATTATAGATCACACGAACCTAATTATCCTCCAGATGCTTGTCGAATTCATGGAAGTTTAAGTATTAATAAAGTATCAGGAAATTTTCACATAACATCTGGAAAATCATTATCATTACCGGGTGGTCATATACATATTTCAGCATTTGTCAGCGAGAATGAATATAATTTTACTCATAGAATTAATAGATTTTCATTTGGTGAACCAAGTCCTGGTATTATTCATCCATTGGAGGGAGAAGAAAAAGTAACTAATGAAAGTGAGTTTATTATTTTCTCAGGGTGTCTAGCCACCTGGAATTTCTTGAATACCTGGAAAAGTTCTTGAATTTTTTTTGGGTCCTGGAATTTCCTATTTCGTGTTAGAATTTTTTCCAACCGCGTTTATAAACACAAAATTTGGTAACATTTTTTAAGCAAAATACGACTTTTTTTAGTATAAAATTTACATCTTCCAAAACTGAATTATTAAATGAATATTAACTAGAATTCTTCGTAAAATTAATTATATACAATAATTTTAATCAAGTTCTTTAAAACCTCTTTTATCTAAAAAAATTTTTCAAATGAAAGTTCTTTCAAATTCAATTATCGTCTAAATTTTGTAAAAAAAAATCATCAATTAAAAATGAAAGTTTCGATTTAATATCTGAAATTCAATTATTTCTAAAAACTTTAACTTTAAATCTTCAAGAATTTAATTACTTCTAAAATTCTTCGGAAAATGAATTATTTTTAATAAATTTAATCAACATTTTCAAAAATTTAATTTTTTTAAAAACATTTTTCAATTCAAAATTCTCTAAAATTCAATTATTATTATCAATAGCTTGTAAAAGAAATCTTCAGCAATTTAAATTTACAAAAATATTATTTACAAATCTCCAAAAATTCATTTACTTTTGTAAATGTTAACTGCAGCTTTTTTAAATTTTAATTATTTTTTCTAAATTCATTTTTTTTCAATAATACTTTATTTGAGTTCTTCGAAAATTTAATTATTTAAAACATTTTCTAAATTTTTGAATACGAATAATTTGCATAAATCAGATCAGAAAATTAATAAAACTTATTTAATTTCTAATAACAATTGTTTGATAATAATAATATATTTATTATCTAATTGTATTTATTAAAAATCGACTTTTTCGACTTTTTTTGTAATTTTATGTTTTTCTTCCCTTAAATTCGATCCGAGGCCTAAAAATACCAAAAATTAAATTAATAGTTTATAATGAAAAAAGATTAAAAATTATTCAATCTTGTGCATTTAATGTATTTTTGTCATTAAAATTTATTAAAATAGTATACCTGGAAAAAAATTTTTTACCTGGAAAAGTCATGGAATTTTATTTGGAAAAAGTGCTAGACACTCTGTTTTCTCTACATTTGATAGAATTTTAATTGCATTAATTTTCTTTCTAGGTTCAATATTGTTTCAATATTTCATAGATGTTGTACCAACTGATATTGATATATTATTACGAAAAACAAAAACATTTCAATATAGTGTAAAAGATCATGAAAGACCAATTAATCATAATAAAGGACAACATGGAATTCCTGGAATATTTTTTAAATATGACACAAGTGCTTTGAAAGTAAAAGTTTTTCAACAAAGAGATTCATTATATCAATTTTTTATAAAATTGTGCGCTACTGTAGGTGGAATTTATGTAACAAGTGGTGTGTACCATAAAACTATTTATTACTTTTTTTTTTTGTTTTTGAAACAGCAAAATCGTCAATTATTGCACGAAATCATAAAAATTGATATTTTTTTATTATTATTGCAGGTCTAATTAATAATTTAGTGCAATTATTTTGGAAAACCATTTTTTGCCATCAAGAAGCGGAGCCAAAAGCTGTTAAAACAACAACAACAGCAACAAATTCAAAATCTCCGGTGAGTATCGACAAAGGAATATCCAATTCTATCAATTTATTAAATGTTACAACACCTGAAATAGCCAATGATGTTGTATTTAAACCACAATGAAAAATAAATTGAGCAATAAAATGAAGAATTTCAGATATGAATCGAAATCATTAAGAAGTTAAATTTTTTTTTAATATTATATACGTTTATACATCAAAAATAGAGTTATCAAACATTTTAAAATACATTCTTTCGTTTATAGATAGAGTATTACATAAAGTTTTTTTAAAAAATATTTTCATAAATAAATAATTTCTTGTAGACAATATCTCTTAAATATAATAATATTGTAAATAATTGTACATTCTAACATTTTGTGCGTTTATGTAAATGGCACTTGAGGAAAAATTGGAAATTATTTTTTACATTATTAATGGGTCAAACCATTATATTTCAACTAAAGTGGTCGCTGACTAATTTTTAAAAATTATAATACTTTGCAGGAATGATTTTGAAGTTATCAAGATCACGAAATGAAAAGAATTTTATTAAAAATTTAAATATTTATTGTAAAATATGAATTTAAAGTATATGAGGTGCTAAAAACTGTCAATTTTTTAGCCATTAGAAAATATGCAAAAAAACATAGAATTTACCATAAAAATAAAAAAAAATTATTGGAATTTACTAAGAATGAATAAATTTATCATTATCAATTGATATAATTATTTAAAGATGTGAAGTAATATATAAAATATGATTTCCAAGTGCACCTGTCAAATAACCTAATTTTGCGATTTTTATTCATTAATTATAAAAAATAGAAAACATTAAATTAAATAAAAACTTACCAAATATGAAGTTCTTGCCATAAACTTTTAGAATTTCTTTGCACTTTTCTTCTTTTCTATTCATAAGTATGAAAAATTTAAAAAATAAAATAGCTACTTTGTCTATTTTCACTATTTTTGAAAGTCAATAACTTTCTTGGAGAAAAATGAAAAAATATGGGGTTTCGAAAATTATTTAAATACACACTACATATACATTCACTGAAAATTTCGCATTGGTCCCGAAGCTATTTTCGAAGATAAAGTAAATTAAAAATTTCGTATTTTTTAGGCTATATGGACATGGATTTTAAATCAATGTGAAGGTGGTTCACTGGTGACGACAAACTTCACATTGATTTAATACCTTTAAAACCCATGTCAATATAGCCTAAAAAATACGAAATTTTTAATTTACTTTATCTTCGAAAATAGCTTCGGGACCAATGCGAAATTTTCAGTGAATGTATATGTAGTGTGTATTTAAATAATTTTCGAAACCCCATATTTTTTCATTTTTCTCCAAGAAAGTTATTGACTTTCAAAAATAGTGAAAATAGACAAAGTAGCTATTTTATTTTTTAAATTTTTCATACTTATGAATAGAAAAGAAGAAAAGTGCAAAGAAATTCTAAAAGTTTATGGCAAGAACTTCATATTTGGTAAGTTTTTATTTAATTTAATGTTTTCTATTTTTTATAATTAATGAATAAAAATCGCAAAATTAGGTTATTTGACAGGTGCACTTGGAAATCATATTTTATATATTACTTCACATCTTTAAATAATTATATCAATTGATAATGATAAATTTATTCATTCTTAGTAAATTCCAATAATTTTTTTTTATTTTTATGGTAAATTCTATGTTTTTTTGCATATTTTCTAATGGCTAAAAAATTGACAGTTTTTAGCACCTCGTATACTTTAAATTCATATTTTACAATAAATATTTAAATTTTTAATAAAATTCTTTTCATTTCGTGATCTTGATAACTTCAAAATCATTCCTGCAAAGTATTATAATTTTTAAAAATTAGTCAGCGACCACTTTAGTTGAAATATAATGGTTTGACCCTAATAGACAGTTAATACAAAAATTTGCAAATTTTTTCTTTTTGCAAAGTTAAAAAATATAGATCTAAATAAATTATTAAATACATTCACGATATAAAAATAATGTTATTAAATCGCTTTTTCTCCAAAATGAGATTCAACTAATTTTTTTTTTTTTTTTGCTGATTATAAAAAGCAGGATTAATTTTTTTTTATTATGCTCAGATCTCAAAATATAAAATTTAATCAGTTCAAGTTTAAGTTGGTGTGGCACTTCTGGAAAATAAAAGAAATTTTTTTTAAATAGGGGAAAAAAGGATTTGAAATAATTTTTACAAAATGTAAACAAACCTTGCATTTTTGAAAATACAATTAGGGGCGCTGATAATTGTAAGGTTTTCCGTATGGTCCTATTTTGGTACTCATTTTTTCAATTTTTAATTGATTATAATAACTATTTACCACAAGCCAAGCATAAGCGCAGAGAACTGAAAATTTTAAAAACGAATCTAAAGAATCCTTTAAAAAAGAATCGATGAGTTTTAATAAAAAAAATAATTTTTTTTTAATTAAATAATATAAATCTTACCATTAAATATTAGACCAAGAATTAAACAAATAACTCCTTCCAGTATGTGTTTTTGAAGAAAAAACATAATTGAGGTATAAAGAACACTTATGAATATTCCAGGAATGGCAACCATTGTCAATGTAACCCATGGTAGCATAAATAAAGTTTTCCGCTGAAAATAGAAAATAATATTTGAAAATTTATTCAAGTTTTTTCAAATTTCAATTTTTTTTATTTCTTTTTTTTAACACTCACCTTTAGTGCACCGATAATTAAAAGTGTTGAATATAATATTGTCATACACAAAAATATGGTAAAAATTATACGAGCTATATTTTTATCTACATTGATAATTATAGTTTTCCAATCAGCATTCACAGTGAAAAGAACAATAATTGTTAAAATTGTTAATACCTAAAAAGAAGAAAAAAGTGTATTGAGTTACGAATTAATTTTTTTTTTATTTATTTGTAAAAATACTTACTATACTGCATACTCCACTAAACAATGTGCCTGTCTTTAAGGACCAAATCCCAAGAAATGATTTAACCTTCAACATCTTGAAATAATTAAAAATTAAATTGTAATTTAATTAATTTAAAAATATTTGATTAATCGGACTCAAAAAACGCTGATTTTATGTAAATATTTATTTATTCATATTTATGTAAAAAAATCATCCCTTTAGCTTTTATAAACTTATTGTAAATGCATATATACTTATTGAATGAGAGAGCGACTTTATGAATTAAAATAAGTGAATTCTCTCACACATTCAGATTTAGAATTTGATATATAGCATTCACTGTTAAATTGTAAGTCACTGAAAAACCATACGTAACTTCTAAATATAGATAATCTGATGTTAAAAAATATTCCTAAAATCTACATTTACATTTATGAATAAATATAATTTTTTTTAATTATTTTTAAAAGAAAAATAAAAAAAAATTTATATTTATATTTAATTATGCTGAATACTAAAAAAAAATTAAATAAAATATTACAACATATTAAAAATTTTACTTTACATATCAATTGTATATATAACATACATGTAAACATTAGCATAACGTTACAGCGCAATTTGATGCATTAAATGTGTCAAGTTCAGTATATAACTTATATTACTACTACTATTACCTACTTTTCAAATTATTTCAATATTTTTACTTTTTTATAAAGTAAAAATAAAACACACACAATGCTGGATAATTAAATTAATAATTATATGTATTAAAATAAAAAAAAGACGAATTTAAAACTGAGAAAGAAAGCAATATATACTTTTTGTTTCACAAGATGAAAAGAAACTGTGCCAAGAACAGCAGTGCACACTCATACACTTTCAGACTCATACGGTTATAAATACACCTACGTAAACCTCCCACACTTGCAATAAGCACACCTTTTCCCCATGCTTATGTTATTGCTGATGAGAAAGTTATTAAACATATGTTATTTTTATCATATTTATAATATTATTGTTTACTAACATATGTTTGTATATACGTATTTTTAAATTTGATTTTGAAAATTAATTTAAAAATTCAAATCAGAGAAATATTTAGCTCTTTCAATTTTTAAATTTTCAAATTTTGATATTGTTTTTAATAAAAATGAATAATCGCTGTTTTCTTCTTTAGCATTATAATAATGAAATTTATATTAACAAATGTAGGTTATAAATTAGAAAAGGTCGTATAATCATTTAAAAAATCAAAATTTAAATAGTCATTACTTTTTCAGGATTTAAAAAAAAATTTACAAGACCCATATTAAGGCATGCGCGCGTAGATATCCATGCCCTTAATATTGATCTATATTGTCCAAGCGCATCGTGTGCCAGTAGGACATAACAAACGATGTTGAGAGGTGTGGCATAATTATTTTAAAAAACTTGTACTTATTTAATAATAATAATAAAGTAGATATCGAAAACGTATTGAAAATGTCTGTCAAGAAGAAAGAGTTTCAAAAATTGCCCGTGGATATTTGTCCGTTCCATTATGAAATCTCATTGGAACCCGATTTAACCAAATTTACTTGTGAAGGAGAAGTAAATATACATGTTGATGTAAGTTTTTTTGAAAATAATTTCATTCTTTTTTATATTTTATTTTTTATAAAAATAATTTGCATAAAAATAATAATTCAAACTAAACTTGTATTATTTGTTGTAAATTGACAAAGACATACATATGGTAAATGCTGACTTGCATAGTTTCAAAATAAAACATTTTTTTTCGTAGTAAATCAAAAATGAAATTAAGTATTCTTTTTGTAAAGAAGGAATTAATTTAAATAAGAACATTTAAAAAAAAACAATTAAATTTGAAGTAGATGAGAAAAAGTGGAAAACTAACCTCAAAATCAAATATGTCACGTGTATATATTGTTAATTTTTTATTATTTATTTTTTCTTTATAAAATAGGTGAAGAATTCGACAAATGTTGTTGTTTTAAATTCAGTTGATATTGAGTTTAAATCGATTAATTTTCATACACTTGAAGGAAAATTAATTTCCTCAAAGAACATATCAGTTGACAATGAAGAAGAAACGGTTACAATTGAATTTATGGAAAAACTTGCACCGGGACGTTCAGGTTATTTAGGTATCAAATATCAAGGAATAATTAAAGATAATATGAAAGGACTATACCGAAGTAAATATACTGGGTAAGTTATAAAAATCTTTATTTGGGACATTCTTCGTCAGATTTTCATTCAACATTTTTTTTTGTATTGAAACAATTTTTTTCGAATTCTATATTGGAAAAAAAGAAATACTTGTTTTTTTATTTTTTTATTTGATGAAAATTACAAAAGTTACGATTTTTTTAAAATTTCGCCACTTCAGAAGTAGACGACTTTTGAAACACATTTTTGTCTGTTATAATTGAGGATAAATAATAAAATAATATATGAAAATTATTCGTTTTTTTTTTTAATATTTCAAATATATAATAAAAAAATAACGTTTATAAAACGAAAACGTTAAAAAAAATTGTCTAAAAGGTGACTTTTCTCAAAACCGAAGTAATCGATTTTCGATTTTCTTTTTTTATTACAATCATTGACAAATAAGAAAATTTTTCTCTCTTATGACAAAGTGGTGTTCTTTAGGGTTTAAATGATATTCAAAATTATTTCAGTCGTTGCACAAAATTTATATAATGAAATTAAGAAATGAAAACATTTCAAAACTTCATTTCATTAGTATGTCATTTGTTCTGTTCTGTAATTGAAGGTTAATTTTTAACAAGTGTAAAAGTCAAATAAAAATTAGCTAATTTTTTATTATTTGTACGTGATGACAAGTATGGATGTTGCAATCCTTTTAAATTGGAAGTATATTTTTAATTAAATTAGTTTATTATATTTACTTGCATTAAAAATTATTTATATTTGTTATTAAATAAATAAACAGCTCTAAAATTTAATCCGATTTATTAATTATAAAATTGATTAAAATTAAATTATACGATTGTAAGCTAAAAGTACTTAAATTTTATTTCTTGAATGAATTATTAAATAGTTGGTCATTTATCGCACATCAATTTTTTGTAACATAATTTAAAAGGATTGCAACAGCAACAGAAAAATTGTATTGAAGTCATCGAATTTAAATAATAAAAAAATTGCGAATTTTCATTTTAATTTTATACTTGTTAAAAAATTAACATTTAATTACAAAACAAAACAAATGCCATACGAATGAAATGGAGTTTTGAAGTGCTTTTAATTCTTAATTTCATTATGTAAATTATGTGCAACGACTGAAATAATTTTCAACATCATTTGAAGGGTAGAATGACAAAAGGGGACAAGCGCCAATTCACTGTTTTTACAGGAAGTGAAAAAAAACATATTTAAAAATTCTGCAGGTAATTTAAAAAGAAACAAATAAAACCGTTTCGAGATATTAATTATGTTTTCATAAATAAACAACAATTTGTTCAAATAAACCTACATATTAACGAGAAAAATAAAAAGAAAATGTGGTGCTTTAAGGTTATATCGACTGCGCACATTTTCTTTAAACATTAATTGTGAAAAAATATACAATTTAAAGAAAAACTGGAAAATTTTTTTTTTCTATTCAATTGTCGAGTTGAATGAAAAAAAAATTTGCTGGAAAAAAATTGTTGGTTTTCGAAAAAACTATGAATTAAGTTCTTGCTTTGCAATCGAACAAGATGTCATTTTTAAATTTAATTGTTAAGAATTATTATAATTATGAAAATAGTTAAAAACTAATAACAAAATGATATTAAAACAATATTAATCAAATTAATAATTTATTATTAATATTATTATTATTTTGATTAATATTGTTTTTTTATTTATTTTAATTTCGTTAAAAGCAATGTTTTTAACCTTATTAAATTATTCATTTTGTTTTTCAATCAAATTGTAATGAATTAAATTTGAGGCTATTTTATGATTTTAATATTATTTATTAAAAACTCATTTAAAAACGCAATTAAAAAAAATCCTTTTACAGAAGGATAAGCATAAGCGAGAAAAGTTTCCTTATTTGTCAATGAATGTAATAAAAGAAAAAAATCAAAAATCGATTACTACGGTTTTAAGAAAAGTCACTTTTTAGACTTAATTTTAATTTTTTAAGCGTTATTTTTTTATTATATATTTGAAATATTAAAAAAAACGAATAATTTTCATATATTATTTTATTATTTATCCTCAATTGAACCGACGGATCGTAGAAGGGCATATAGGCCATGCTAAATACATTGCGTATATGCCCTTCTACGATCCGTTGGTTCAATTATAACAGACAAATATGCGTTTCAAAAGTCGTCTACTTCTGAAGTGGCGAAATTTAAAAAAATCATAACTTTTGTAATTTTCATAAAAAAAATAAAAAAACAAGTATGTATTTTTTTTCCCATATAGAATTCGAAAAAAATTGTTTCAATCCAAAAAAAATTTTGAATGAAAATCTCACGAAAAATGCCCCATTTGCCAAATTGATGAAAATTATTCTGTTATTGTTACAAATAATATTGTTTCATAGAATTAATGGTGAAAGTAAATATGCAGCAGTTACACAATTTGAATCATCAGATGCAAGACGTTGCTTTCCTTGTTGGGATGAACCAGCGCATAAATGTACTTTTGATATAACATTAAAAGTGTCTATTGGTCTCACAGCATTGTCAAATATGGTACGTATAAATAAAACAAAAATTTGATTCAGGGCTGCAATGATTTAAATCAAAAGGTTTTTGACATTAAAATCATGATTTAAATCAAAAAGATTCTTGAATTAAATTTTTTAAAAATATTTATTTGTAAATAAAAATCATTGTTCTTATTAATAAAGCCTTTTAAAATAAGCGCGCTTTTTATATCGAATGAGGTTTATGGAATCGTGGAAAAGAAGCATTTAAATATATTGAATAGATTATTATCAGTTTCTGCTAGTTCAGCTGACATTGAGCGTTATATTTTTCACTTTCAATTTGGTACATTCAAAACTTAGGAATGCATTAGGAACCGAGAAGGCTGAAATATTAGTATTTTTATTTAAAGTATTAAATTTAAAAAAATAAAAAAGATATTGTTACAATTAATGTCAAAAATATCAGAGTATATAGATTATGAGTTTTTATTAGTTAGATAGAAGATGTTTAATGATTAAAAATAAGTATTTTATTTTTGAGCTAAAAAAAAAATAAAATATAAGTATTCTGTAACAGCGTCATAAGTTTTTAAAAAAGATATTTTTATTATTAAAGTTTATGTACGTAGTATATGTATAAAAAATTTTCAAAATAAAAACGATATAAAAAATTGAAATTATTTTATACACTTATTTTATAATAATTTAATAATAAACATTTAAAAAGTAGCATTAAAAAAATTTTGATTTAAATAAAAAAAATTATGATTTTTATCAGCCCTAATTTGATTAAAGTATTTAATTAAATTAAATTTACCTTTTTCAGCCCATTAAGTCGAGAACAAATATTAATTCATCATTGGAAAAATTGGAATTCGAAACAACGCCAAAAATGTCAACTTATCTTGTAGCTGTTGTAATTGGAGAATTTGATTATGTGGAAAATAAAACTAGTGATGGAGTTGTTGTTAGAGTTTACACGCCAATAGGAAAGAAAGAACAAGGTGAATTTGCTCTTGAAGTTGCGACAAAAGTTCTTCCCTACTATCATAATTACTTTGGAATATCGTATCCACTGCCAAAAATGGATTTAATAGCTATTGCTGATTTCTCATCGGGCGCCATGGAAAATTGGGGACTGGTAACTTATAGAGAAACATGTTTATTAGTCGATCCACAAAATACATCAACTGTGAGAAAACAATACATAGCTTTGGTCGTTGGTCATGAATTGGCTCATCAATGGTTTGGTAATCTTGTAACAATGGAATGGTGGGATGATTTATGGTTAAATGAAGGTTATGCATCATTTGTTGAATTTCTATGTACCGAATTTCTATTTCCTGAATATGACATTTGGACACAATTTGTAACTGATATTCACACTAGAGCCTTAGAATTAGATGCTCTCAGAAATAGTCATCCAATTCAAGTTCCAGTTGGTCATCCATCCGAAATTGATGAAATATTCGATGATATTTCTTACTGTAAAGGCGCAAGTGTTATAAGAATGTTACATTCATATATTGGCGATGATGATTTTAGAAAAGGTATGAAATCATATTTGACGAAATATTCTTACGCTAATGCAAAAACAGATGATTTGTGGTCATCATTAGAAGAAGTTGCCAATAAACCAGTTCGTTCTGTTATGCCAACATGGACTAAACAACAAGGTTTTCCTCTAGTTCAAGTTGAACAACGTCGAGAAGAAAATAATGTTATTGTGACATTCCGACAAAAAAGATTTCTCCCTGATAATTTAATGGGAGATGATGCGGAAAATTATTTATGGAGTATTCCATTGAGAGTGAGTACTGCTCAAAATCCTGATAAATTATTAGATAATATATTATTAAGTGAAGAGACACAACAACTTGTAATTAAAGATGTGCCAAAAGAAACGTGGATTAAAATAAATACAGGAACAATAGGTTTTTACAGAACTGTTTATAGTTCCGATATGCTTCAACTTTTTCAACCGGCAATTAAAAATCGTACATTACAACCACTCGATAGGTTAGGTCTTCTTGATGATTTATTTGCTATTACACAAGCTGGCCATAATGAAATATCCACAACCAATGTACTTGAACTTATGCAAGCTTTTCAATTTGAAGATAATTATACCGTTTGGTGTACAATTCTCAATTGTTTGACTAAAATAGGTCAATTAATTTCGCATTTAAATAATCTTGACAGTGCATTTAAAGCCTTTGGTCGTTCTTTATTACGAGATATTAGCGCGAAATTAGGATGGGAGGCAAAAACAAATAATGAAAGTCATTTGGATACACTGTTGAGACCGCGCATTTTGGGAAAATTAGTTTCATTAGGAGATGAAGATACAATTTGTGAGGCGAAAAAAAGATTTGCTTTACATATTACGGGGGAAAAAATTGTACCAGCCGATTTACGTAGTGTTGTTTATCGAGCTGTTTTGTCAACATGCACATCAGTTGATGGTGATAATGAAATTTTTGAAACAATGCTTAAATTATATCGCGAAAGTGATTTACATGAAGAGAAAGATAGAATATTGGCAGCACTTGGTGCAGTGAAAGATGAAAAATTATTGGCTAGAGTATTAAAATTTTCAATGGGCGATGAGGTACGTGCACAGGATTCTGTATTTGGAATTACATCAGTAACAATGACTTATCAAGGTCGTATGTTGGCTTGGGAATTTTTAAAAGAAAAATGGGATATATTATTGGATCGTTATAAAGGTAGTTATTTATTAACACGTTTAGTGAAATCAATTACGGAAAATTTTGTAACCAATGAAAAAGCAGAAGAAATTGAACAATTTTTTGATAAACAACAAAAAACTGCCGTTGAGCGTACCGTTCAACAAAGTGTCGAAAGTATTCGTTTAAATGCTGCCTGGCTAACACGCGACATGGAAAAAATACAAGAATTTTTAAAATCTAATGCAGCATGAAAAATCTAACATTTGTACCATATCCGCATAATATATACCAATGTACTTTGCAAAATGTTTACACAAAAAAAATGGGCCACGGATAAAATAAATAAAAAAAAAAATTAGAACAAAGTTTTTTTATTCAGCATTTAAAAAATGTCCCACGCGCATCTTTTTTTCATGTATTTATTGATGCGCAGAACTCAATAAGAATTGCATTTTATTTAATTATTATAATAATAAAAAACATTACTAATAAATAAAAACTATACTATAGAAAATAATATAATAAAAATTAAGAACAAAAATTTCGAAAATTATATGAATATTATGAGAGAAAAAAAATACATGGTTCTTCTGATTCAATACAATTGCGCATTGGATCAATATATGATGTTTACAAATTTAATATCGAAAAAAATGACACATTTGAAGGAAATAATATAAAACTTTAGATGACATTTTTTTTTAGATATATTTTTATTCTATAAGAATTTTTGCGACATATATACAGTGTAAAAATATTTTTCAAAATATTAAAAAAAAACAATTATAATAATACAACAAGATTCTCAAGTATATATCCAACTTATTTACAACAATTAATGATTTAAAGATACAAATATTTTATCCATTTCTATTCCAAACTAACTTGAAATAATGAAAGAAAACGCAATTTTACGTCTACTACATATTTTACACAAAAGTGTATGTTATTAATTTAAAAATGCTCTAAATTTTATTGTACATATTATCATATGTAAATAATAATACACCATTCAAAATTAAAAGGTTACACACATACCTACATACATTTATGAATGTCAATAAATAGTAATATATGTAGATTAATTCAACAAAATATCACAAAAGCTTCATTATTGTTTTTTTTCATGAAAAAAAAACTGCACAAATGTTTTTTTTTTGACAAAAATTGTCAAATTTTCACTGATGGTCCATAATGGAATGAAGACATTCCTGTTTGTGAACATTACTTGTTTCTTCTAATGTTGTTTGTAAAATACAAATATATTCAATTACTCTTTGAATAACTTGTAATTTGGAGAGTTTCCGCTTTCTTGGCATATCGGGAACAAGTGATTGTAATTTTGTTAAATAAGCTGCAACTTGTTCTGCTTCGAGATCACGTCGTGTCCCATTTATTTCAAGACTATTGTGTAAAACACCTCTTGATGAAGGTGGAACACGACCTCCAGCTGATGGACTTATGACCATGGCTTTCATGATAATTTTTTATGCAAACAATTATCAAAATAAAATAACTTTTTTTTTCACTGCGACGATGACGTTTTTTTTAATAGTCAAATCAAGTTAACATAATGTTTAGTAGCATTACGCGCTAAAATTCAATTAAATAATAAACAATTAAGCTTGAAAATCCAAAATTAACCGGAGAAGATACAAGCTTAAGCAGCGAATCACTACTGATCAGTGATCACTATACACGGCATATGAAGCATACGCCCCACACCTGTACTTTTGTATAAATAAGCGACCGCATCCCCTCTATTTTCACAATCGCTATAGAACAAGAACATTCCTCTCCTAAATCGCGCGCAAACGCCGCAATATTTTTCTATAAAAACAGCCCAAAAAGTGATTTATTTCAAAAATTAACATTTTGTTTTTGAAAATTTAAATTTTTCATCTCATTTCTAATTTAAATTTTCAGTTTAAAATAAATATTTACAGATTATTAAAATTATTATTATTATTACAACATTAGAAAATAAACATTCTTTAAAATATTTTCCCTCTTGAACTCTATAAATATAAAAAAAAAATGTAAAACGACAAAAAGAAACAATGATTCTTCAATAATAATTGAGACTCTAAAATATACTTGGCAGGAATTTTTAAAAATGAAAAATTAGATTTAAAAGAAATATATGCGGCCAGACGACACGATCATAGTACATTCATGAGGTAAGAATGGTTAGAAGGCATCAAATTCAAAAGAGGAAGAAGAAGGGAAGCAGCGACACCGATACATTCCAGGGAGGCGCCTTCGAGTCTCGTGAACACCTGCACATTCAGCTGAATCACGGCGCCAACTAAAACTTGTTTCTCACATACTTAAATGTGTATACATACAATCTGCAGTACTCTCTGACTCTTTCAATTTTCGATACCTTACAAAACAGAATTTCGTTCAAAAACTCACAATTCTGTGAGTGACACGCCTTTTTCGACCTTTTAGCGTTTTTTTTATGTTAAAAATTTAAGGAACATCAAATAAATAACATTTCATTTAATATAAATGAGATTTTTTAAATTTAAAGGGAATCTCACTTAATAAAATCAATTTTTATAACGAATTTCATTTTTTTACTCCAATAATTGTAAAAGTTTAAAAAGCGGATTTCTGTGATTTTCAGATAAAACCTTAAGTTTTAGAAACTAAATTGCATTGAATAAGTAAATGTTTGTTTAAACAAATTGTCTAAACGTCCGGCTAGACGGACATCAAGAAACGTCTAAATGTCCGTCTATATCCACCCGACTTTGTCCGCAGAAAACTTTCGGGCATTTCCAACTCCCCCTTCCTCCAAGGTTTCTTTAAAATATACGTTGACGGACAAAATTGTCAAAAATTATTTTGTCCGTCTAGTCGGACGAATAGACGCAGCGTTGTTTAAAAATCAGTATTTTATCTTTGAAAACGCCTTGATAGTTGATTTCTTTAAAAAATTTTATAATAGAAAATTACATGTCCTGATAGTACGATCGGCTGAATAGTTTTTTCTTCCAGAGCAGGAAACTTAAATCAATAGAGTTTTGTAAACACTGACTGAAAAAAATGTTTTATGTAAATTAAAAAAACTGAAAAAAATACCTCGCAGTGACGTTATATCGATATCACACATTTTATGTCTTGTTCAGTTTTCTATAAGTCAATATTGATTTTCCTCCTTTTATTATCCAACTCTTGTTTATTTTTTTTCTTTTGATAATCACCTGTTCCATGATTACGTATTATTCAAGGTTATTAATGACAATAAGTACAAATTATTAATACACTTTTTTCTTTTTCATCGAGATGGCAAATTTTAACCTCCAATAAAATAATTCTTTACAAAAATTAATTATACTTGTTTTTCAATGATTTTTAATCTTTTTGCTAATTTGTTTATGTCTATTCATCATCTAGGCTGTATTCACAATGAACTATGTTTATACGGTGTATTTTAATGTAAATAGATGGAGCTATCTAGTTTAGTTTCCATGCGTTACAAAACGCATGCGTTGGCTTTATACTGGGATGCTCCCTGTATATCTCGCCATGATCCGGTAGGTAGAAAGCGGTTACTCAAACGTATAGGTATTTCCAAAATCGGACTCACGTAGAGTCATTTATATTGAAGCGGAGCGGGAAATTTAAATTAGGTTATATGCTTAAATTGGTTTCCTTTAAAAAGTCGAAGATATGTGAAATAATTGTAGGTGAGGGGTTAGAAAGAAACATGTCACTACAGAAAGGAGCGATGCACTTAAAAGTTTTTGAAAGACGTCGAATTAATTTTGGTCGAAAATTATCATATCTTGAACAGTTCCAAAGAACATGTTCGAGATCTTCATTTATTTCAGGGTTGCAGGGGCAAGCTGGGGAGTTAACGATGTTTTTTCTGAATAGGCTCTCTTTAAGAGAGTGGTGATTACTTCTCATCCGGCATATTGACACAATTTTTTGTCTTTCCGCATAAAATGTTGCGAACCATGGCTTCGTGCGAGGTTTGTAGAAACGTTCTGTATAGAAGTTTCCAAAATATCTACCTCTTGTTGTAAAATAATCGTGACATTTATCATTCAATTGTTCCCTGAAACAGCTTACGAAATCCGAAGGAGGAAGACCGAAATTCAAAAGAGGAGAATTGCTCGATGCCAGCTTAGCAGCTTCATCTGCTATCTCATTTCCCTCCAAACCTTTGTGGCCTGGGATCCAGGCTAAGATTATATCAAAATGTAGAAGAGTTAAAGAAGCTAATCTGTTTCTAATGAGAAATATTATGTGTGATTTTATGTTATTTGGGTTAGGACATGAAATACTTTTCAGGACACTTAAAGAATCGGAAAAAATGACAACCTTTTTTAAGTTATTTTCTCTGACGTAATCTAAGGTTATTAAAATTGCAAAGGCCTCGATAGTGAAAATAGATGCATAAGCATTCACTTTCCAACTTTGCGTGAGTTGTTCTGATGGGCAAACAGAAGCACATCCTGCCTTGTTTCCATTCTCTGATTTCGATCCATCAGTATAGAAGCACGTATAGTTTCTAAAATTATTGTCTAAAATGTCTTTGAAAAGAAGAGGGGGATTAACTGAATTTTGGATCGAAAAGCCGATATCTGTTACTATTTGAGGTTCGAAAATATGGTCGCTATATGGGAAATCATAGTACGAATAACGAAAGGATTTATTAATGAGATGGCTGAATTCTTTGGCTCTACGATATGCTATTAGGAGGGTGAAGGTGTTTAGGATTCCAAAAGTGTTTCTTTGAGAAGTAATTTCTAATAGATTTTGGATTTTACTAATTAATGGATGATTAGAATTCGACAAAATTTTGATAATGTATTTTTTGGCTAGAAAATCAAACCTGAATTTAAGAGGAGGATCACAAGCTTCCGCCAACATGACGTTAATAGGTGTGGACATTCTATAGCCAAGTGCTAATCTGATGGCTTGGTTTCTAATCTTTTCGAGTTTACTAAATAATGTGTGATTTTTAAAATTGAAAATGTGAGAACCGTATTCCATGCAGCTTCGTATTAGCGCTCTATAAATTGTAAGCAGAATAAAAGGATGAGCTCCCCACCAAATTCCTCGCAGGACCTTTATGATGTTCAGTAATTTTGAGAGCTTTTCAATAAGGAACTTAAAGTGACTATCAAAGGTGAGTTTATAGTCGAGAATAATTCCCAAAAATTTAACTTCAGTGGAGGGAAATATGTGAGCATCGCCTATTGAAAGACAGTAGTTAGGATCTTCTAAATTGATTTTAAGTCTGTTGAAAAGGATTAATTTCGTTTTGTCTGGGCATATTTCCAAACCTCTATCAAAAAGAAATCTCGAGAAAATATTCAAGCAGTTCTGAAGGACTCTTATACAATGAAGGGGATCCCTCGATCTTGCCAAAATGGCAATGTCATCCGCAAACTCAACCAAGGTACATTCAGGTGGAAGAAGGCTGTAAAGTTTACGAGTATAAATGGAGTATAGAATCGGGCTCAAAATACATCCTTGGGGGAGTCCCACTGTGCTAATTCTAGGATCTGTTAGTTCCCCGTTAATGTTAAAATACATATTTTTACACGCAACAGCATTGTAAATAAATTTTGCTATATGTTTCGGTATTCCTAAATCTTTCAGGTCTTTCATTAATATCTGTGGGACAACACTGGGGAAGGCTCCCTTGAGATCAAGAAAAAGACCCGCAGTGACCTCACCCTGTGTGAACCCTGTAAAAATTTCGGTTGAAATAATGGCTAGGTTGTCCGCGCAAGACTTACTTTTGCGAAAACCAAACTGAGAGGGTGATAAATGTAAATGATGTTCCAAGAACCAACTAAGTCTATTAAATATTAATTTTTCCATCAATTTAAGCATACAAGAGGCAAGCGCGATTGGCCGAAATTTGCCTGGAGCAGATTTTGGAATAAAGAAAATTAAGAAATTGTTCCAGGAAGAGGGGAAAGTGCCTGAAGAGAGGATATTGTTGAAAATATCCAACAAAACTAATCTGGATTCCGTAGGGAGTTCAAGGATAATCTTGTTATTTATTTTATCCAATCCTGGAGACGATTTTAGTTTCAGAGATGAGATAGCCATGTTAAATTCCGAAATGTTGAAAGGAGCTTCTAGAAAGTTATTTGAATTAAAATTTTCAGGGAAAGAGTCATGGAAAGTCGTAGGTGGGCACATCTCAATTGTTAATTCTTGTAATTTCTTGATTGTTTCAGTATCTGCTGAGCAAGAAGCAGTAACAGGTTGCGAGAATCTATTTTTGAAGGATCTTATTACTCTCCAGACTTTAGAAATAGATGTGTTCCTATTAAGCGAGTTACAGAAGTTACGGAACGATTTTCTTCTTGACTCGTTTAAAGTTCTTTTAGCTTTTGCTTCACATTTTTTATATTCGAGATAATTTACATAATTGGAAGTTTTCCTAAACTTAATGGAGGCCTCGCGTCTATCCTGAATTGCCTTGTCACAGTCCTCATTCCACCAGGGAGCCGGAATAAACTGTTTGGATTTAGACTTTCCTTTGTTGCTTCCAATTAGATTCGATTGAGATGCCTTTGGTGAAGCGGACAAAACTGCATGATCAACACATTGAACAAATGTATTATAACTCTTAATGGGATCTGTGGAAGGGGATATATCCTCTGCTCTAGAATTTAAAGAATTTTTTAAATTAGTAGAAAACAGATGCCAGTCAGTTTTTTTCAAGTTATATTTGTGGGAATAAAATTTTGATATGGGAATTTGAACATCTAATTTAGTGATCACTGGATAGTGATCACTACCCATGGAGTCATCCCAGACATCCTGCGAAGAACAAATAAAGAGTTGGGAACTAACAAAAGTAAGATCCAGAATTGATTGAGAGTCATTTGGTCTACTCACAAATGTGGTTTTGCCATTATTTAAACAAATAAGATCCGTGTTTTCTAGAGAAGAATATAAGGCCTCACCATTCTGACAAGACCGAGAGCTACCCCACAAGTAATTATGGGAGTTAAAATCTCCTCCTATGAAAATGCGATATGGGTTTTCAGCAAAAGCGGATTGGAAAAAGCGATTCCATGTATTTTCTGAAACCTTTTTACCATCAGAGGGAACTCTGTAAACATTTATAATCAATAATTTTCCTACCGATGTATCAATTGAAATAGATAACGTTTCTAAATTGTTCTCAATATTGAGAATAGTTGAAATTCTAGTAAAATTAATGTTTTTTTTAATTGCAATTGCTAGACCGCCCTTATTAAAGTTCAGTCTATCTGCTCTAACCAGGTTAAAATTCGGGTTTAATGAAAATAGTTTATTTGGCTTTAGAAAAGTCTCGCAGAGAAGTAGGATATCGTAATCTTTAGAAACAGATAAAATGTCGCTTTTTTTGTTTGTGATGCCGCAGCAATTCCATTGCATTATTCGCAAGTTATTCAGATTGTCCATTATTGGGTTTAGAGAATGAGTTGAGGAGGGATGTAAATTCAGCAGAAATATTTTTTAGCAAGATAAATTCCTCTGTATTGGGTGAGAAATCAGTAGAGTAATTCAAAAGTTTAGAGAGATTGGTCATCAAATTATTTATTATTTTAGCCGCAGTGAGATTTTTTGAAGATAAGTTTTTGGAAGAGGGACTCAAGGAGACGGATTGCAATGAATTGTCATTGAGTGATTGGAGTTGACTGCCAGAGAACAAGATATTTGTTGAATTCTTTCTTCCTTCATGAGGATGAAGAGCGAATCCATTCGGGAGAGAACTAGGAAGTCTTGTAGCGTAAAGATGAGAAAATTTTGTATTGTTTTTCGTGTTTTTATGACTTGGAAGATTCTGTTTCGTATTAGAAAAGGTTTGTTTTGTCATGGCAGGATGAGAACTTTTAATCGGAAAGCTAGTAATTCTTTCCGAATAGGAAGTTTGCGATGGAGAAGCTGTGGGAGCAAGAGTGGACGAACATTCTCCCAATTCGGGAAAATTGCTAAAATTAAAGTCAACTAAAGACGCAGAAGAGGAATTCTGCAATGTTTTTTTTGATTTTTTGGGGCGAAGAACAGCCTTAGCTTCTACAAATGTCAAGGAATGATTCACGGCATACGCTCGAAAATCCTTCTGGAAATTGAATTCAGGGCAATCAGATGAATGTGGCAAGTGAGGTCCACTGCAATGCACACATACCGGATCTTTGTCATCCAAAGGACAAGTAACATTTTCTTCATGAGCAGATTCCCCACACTTTCTACATTTTTTTTCAGATTTACAATATTTACTGATATGACCGTACCTGAGGCATTTCCAGCACGCTTTGACTGGTGGAGTGTATTTTTCAACATTAAGAGAAGCGTTGAATATTGAAACTTTCGAGGGAAGAGATTTATTATTAAATGTCAATAAGACAGTATTTGAAGGCACATATTCAGCCTTTTTGGTTTCATTATTAATCGTCTTTCTTGAAAGACGGCGAACATTGATAACAGCGGAATTATTGTGATGATAGCCCAGAATTTCAAGATTTTCTATTATTTCTTTTTCAGAAATATCAAGCGGAATATTTCTGATAACACCTTGGGATGTGACGAAATAAGAAGGAATGAAGGCTTTTAAACCTTTACTTTCCAGAGATTTGTCATCTAGAATTATGTTGGCTGCACAAGCCGACTTAGTGAAGACTGCTAGTTTACCAAAACCAGAACTCTTAACATCAACGATGCAATTTTTGTATTTAGAATTGAGGATTTTTGCGTACGTTAAACGATTGAAATCTTTAGCTGGAGTATTAGGCAAGGAACTTTCGATCATAATTTTACACTCTCCCTTCAAGGACTCGTCGTAGCGAAATCCGTTTGGAGGTTGTTGACGGTTAATGATTTTTTCACTAGAAGCATTCCGAGTTTGATTTTTGTCACAATAATCAGAGGTGCTTGTATCATCTACGATCATTTTGTCATTTACAGGATTCGTTAGTGTTTTGGGATTTTCACTTTGGTCAGACATTTTTCTTTTCTTATTAAAGACACCCGACTGAAGTTTTAAAAGAATGTCTGCACTTTGAAAAACATCAAGAGGAAGTTGCGTAATTGCTGAAGAATCACTTGGTAGAGAAGTATTAGTTACTTCTCTGCTATCAGAGGACATGGTTCTACGGAAATGGGATCCCGCTTAGGCACGCGGGCCCCTGGCGTCTAGACGCCGTTTTGAGGTTACGAAGTTCAGAACAAAATTTTTTATAATTGCACTCAAATAAAACAAATTTTATAACAAATAACTGTAACTAAACACACTAGAGAAAACGAACGACACAATGCGAATACCGAACTCACGCCAAAAGTATTATTTTAATATAATAATCACCCAGAAGACAGAAAACCAATAGATGGAGCGTAACTACACAACCCTGACTGGATGCGTGCGCAATATTTTTTTTGTAGGTTAGGTTAGATTATAAAGGTGCGTTTTCAATACCACATACACACAACAACTGTCAACTTGATTTAGTGACTACAAAGTGTTAAAAATTATCGAATTTAATAATTAATGTTCAAGGAAATATTATACGAATTAATATTTATTTAGAATGTCTTCCCTTCAGAAATCAATGCTAAAATCAAAATTACCACCTACAGGTTTAAAATTAGGATTTACATCAGGGTTAGTATTTTTTTTCTTTGTAAAAAAAATATTAAAAACGAAAATATTGTCTTTAATTTCTAAATTTTGACTGAAAATAAATGTTTTACATGTTAATTTAACAATGATTTGGAAAATTATTTAAATCTTTTTCTTTTGAAGGGTAATTAGATGTAATCAATAATTTTAGTTTTGAACATTTTTAGAGGATGCAGATCCAGAGCTTTACAGCGTAAAAGAGATTATGAGCCTGTACAATGGTCAACGTATTTTAGTGATTCGAAAAAAATTAAAATTGGTGACAATTCATTTCATATTTATACTCAAGGAGAAGATGGACCACTTTTAGTTTTATTACACGGTGGAGGTTATAGCGCCTTAACATGGGCTGAATTTACGGTTAGAAAAATTCTTTTATAATATTTATTTTGATCTTTATTATTATTTATTATTATAAATTAGTTATTGTTATAAAATTACTAAAACAATTGAGGTTTATTGTGCAACATTAACAATGAGAATAGAAAAACAAATGAATTTTTTTCTCAGAAATCTATAATTGGAATGGTTGTCTGTCGAATATTGGCGATAGATTTAAGGGGTCATGGAAATACACAAACAACTGATGATGAAAATTTAAGTGCTGAAACATTGGCACAGTGAGTAAAAATTATTTTTGTGTAAATAGGTAGAAATTGAAATGATTTTTCAATAATGGAATGTTAATTTCTTTTTTCAGTGATGTAGCAGCTGTGATACATGAATATGATGATAATGCTCCTATTGTATTAATAGGTCACAGTATGGGAGGTGCTGTTGCTGTTCGAGCAGCACCATTACTTACAAATTTAGCAGGAGTTACAGTGATAGACGTTGTTGAAGGAACGGCTATGGATGCTTTGGCATCAATGCAAAGTTTTCTTCGATCACGACCAAAAGGTTTTGATTCGATACCTCAAGCTATTGAATGGTGGTTAGTTTTTATTTATTTATTATTAATCCCACCTTAAAAACTTCAATTATTGTTTAATATATTCATTACCATCACTAGAAAATAATTCTTGATTTATTTCAGTGTTCGAAGTGGTCAAATTCGTAATGTTCAATCAGCCAAGGTATCAGTTCCCGGACAAATTACAAAGTAAAAATTTTGACTATATACTTCTTTGTTTTACTATTATAATGAAAATTATTTGTTCATTTTCGTATTATTAAATTATTCTTTAGTATGGTGAGTGGAATGTTGGCGACTGATGATATTGACGCAGTTTTAACTTCGACTCATCCGGAAAGTAGTGTAAATTTAACTGTTCAAAGAGGTGATACTATTCAAGAGGAGGAAACTCTAACAATGCCAACGCCAGAAATTCTCAATTCACTTTTAGAAAAGAAATATAAATGGCGAATAGATTTAGCAAAGACTGAGGAACATTGGGTTGGATGGTTCAAAGGATTGTCAGCTGCGTTTTTAAGTATACCTGCTCCAAAAATGTTACTTTTAGCTGGTATCGATAGATTAGATAAAGAACTCACCGTTGGACAAATGCAAGGTTTTTATCAAATTATATATATAAATTACAGACCTCGGATTATACGACTTTTTCCGACTTTTTTCGACATATTTTTAAAACAAAAAACGTTTTTTAGTATACAATGCAGATCTTCTTTATGTCAATTATTTAACAAAGTTTTAACTAAAATTCTTCACTAAATTAATTATTTTTAATAATTTTAATGAAATTCTTCATAAATTCAATTATCTTAAACTATTTTTTAATTAAAATTTTTTGAAATTTAATCATTTTAATTATAAGTTTTCTGAAATTCAATTATTTTTAATAAATTTAATAATATTCTTCGAAAATTCAACTATCTGAAATCATTTGTGACGCGATCTGAAGAAAGAGACCTTAGAATCAAATCACTTTAAGGTTATGTTTGTGTTAGTTTTTTCTTGATTGAAAGTTTCTTTTTAATTTATTGTAAATTAAAATCAGTGTTTATTAAATATTTTAGTTGAAAAGACGACTTAAACATCAATGATTTATATTATTAACAGTTGATCCTTTTTTTGTATTTTCATTTCAAAAATTGCAAACATAACCTATAATTTTTTGCTTCTAAGGTCTGTTTCTTTAGATCGCGTCACATTTTTCAGGTTGAGTCCACAATAGACAGCGTTAAAGAGATTTGAACTACTTAAGGAGATAAAACCCATGCCAAATTCTGCTTAAGAGCTCCTTAAGTAGTCCAAATCTATTTAACGCTGTCTATTGTGGACTCAACCTCACTTAAAAAGTTTTTAAATTATTCTATTTTTGTCTGCAATTTCTAATAAATTTTTTAGTGAAATCATCAAAAATTTTAAATTAAAAATCACTCGAAGTTCAATTAATTTCAAAAATCTAAATTCTAAATCTTTGAAAATTCAATTACTTTTAAAAAAGTACTTTTACTTACTTGTACTAAAAAGTACTTTTACTTTTTTTATTATTTGATAAATTATTTTTAGTTCTGTAAAATTTAATTATTGTCTGAAAATTAACAAAATATTTTGAAATTCAATTATTTCAAAAAATTTCAACTTTAACTCTTCCAAAATTATTATTATTATTTAAAAAAAAATTTTATTTAAAAATCTGTAAAACTTAATTAAGTTTCTTGATAATATTTTTATAGAATTATTCTCATTACAGAATTAATAAAATGAATTTAATATCTAATAACATTAGTTATTTGAAGTAAAATAGGTACTTATTAACTAATTAAATTTAATTAAAATAAGAAAATCGACTTTGTCGACTTTGTTTGTGCCTTAAAGTCGATCCGAGGCCTGAAATTATATAAAAAAAATTGTACTAATAGTTAAATTAATGATTAGGAAAGTTCCAAATGCAAGTTTTGCCAGCTTGTGGACATGCGGTTCATGAGGACGTTCCAGATAAAGTTGCCGAAGCAATTGCAACATTTATGGTGAGACATAAATTTGCAGAACCTGCCTCGGATTTTCCTCGGTAAGTTTTATTATTATCTATCAAATGATTTTAAAGATTTCTTTTTGTCATTAAAAATAATATTCTAATACAAAAATAGTACTCTTCTCTTAATTAAATAGATATTTTTTTACAGAACATTCCCCGCCTGTTAACGGAATAAAATAGTTATGGATGAACAATAAATAATTTCAAAGAAAACTTATTCTCGTATATTGTAAAGAAAACTAAAGGCTGCTTAAAGCAATGAAAACAAAAAAAAAATAATAAGTTAAGTGTGAAAATGTAGCATCATTGTCGATATAACTGTGCTTTGGAGCCTCTACAGTATTTTCAATACACTTTTTGCTTCGTTAAATTCCAAAGCTCAGCTGGAAAAGAAAAATATCTTAATTTACGAGTGGTGTTTTTTTTTTTTTGTTGAACAAATTATCTTAATTACTAGGAACGTATAGATATAATCGCTGGATTTAAAAATATTGCAATGTGAGATATATATTGAAAAAAGGATTATATTAAAATCCTTCTTAAATTATTCTTTATAATCGAATTTTTGTAATTTATTTTGGGAAATCTTCAATAATGATAATGTTTCATGTGTATATAATAAATAATCACATTTCTGAGAAAATTGACCCATTTCTTTTTTTTAATTTTCCAATTCTTTTTTTTTATCAAATTTTTTAAAAATAAATTTCCATTTAATGAAGGATATCGAGGTTAGAATATTTGAGGAAATTACTGAAATGTTTTAGAATCGATTGCAAAAAGATCGTTTTAATAAAATTAAAAATACAAAAGTTGCAAAATATTCGTCTGATAGTATAAAAACTATTAATAGTACATTATTATACTTATTAAAATAGTAATTTTGTAATATATATTCGTTAAAGTGATATCACTAATTATTATGCGCCATTATTAATTATCAGGTGACATAATTAATTAATACAACGAAAATGTTTTATTTGAATTAATAATACTTTTTTGTTAAGCCTTTCTAAAAATTATTAAAATTAAAATTGGTAAAAATTGTCAATAAAATAATAATTTCTAAAAGAGATAATAAATTTTCCTAAATAAAAATGAGAGTGATAAAATGTTTCACTGGGTGGAAGAATATAATTCTTAAAAATAAACACTAGGAACACAATCAAATCACCAATACAATAGATATAAAAAACGAGAAAATTGATTAAAAGTGCTGTAATTCGTTTTTTATAACGACACAAGGACCTGCACGACCTGTTTTTAAAGATGCGACCTATAATTAATAAATTAATAATAAGTTTTTTTTAATCAGTAGATAGTGTAATAATATAGATAATTAAATTTTGATATCCGATTTACCTGATGCCATTCATTTAAATGGGGATCGTATGCCTCGACTAATGTGAGATATTGTTGACCATCGTAGCCTCCCACTGCCAAAAGACGATCCCCGAGAACACAAACGCCAACAGCATCTCTGGGAACGCTCATTGGTGCCACCATTGTCCATGTATCAGTCTTAGGATCATATCTGTTTGAAATTTTTTTAAATTAATTAATTAATTGCTATTTAAAAAATTAAAATTATTTTATACCTTTCAACGCAATCAAATCTGCTAGTATTGGGATTAGTTATTGGTGCGTCATGGCCACCAAGTACATAAAGATAGCCATTTACAACGCCAACACCAACGCCTCCTCTTCTTTTTGACATTGGAGCGCAAGATGTCCATTTATTTGTATGAGGATCGTAACACTCGACTGTACTCAAACATGAACTGTTATCTCTTCCTCCAACTGCATACAATCTGAATAAAGAAAAAAAAAATGTCAGAACGAAAATTTGTCATCAAAAAACGACAAGCTCTAAATAAAATTAATTTTCTATACTTGTCGTTTAATACTGCTACACCAACTGTAGAACGTGGCGATGACATTTGTGAAACATAACTCCATTGTCGAGTAGTTGGATCCCATCTTTCTACAGTTGACAAAAAACTCCATCCATCGTGTCCACCCACTGCATATAAAGGTCCTCCCAAAACGGCAACACCTAATAAAAATAATTTTTTTTTAATAATTCTTATACAAAATAATAACATTTATAATTGCTTTTATTTTTAAAATTGTTCGTAAATAAAGAAACGTACCAAGTCCATGTCTATGAATTGTCATCGCAGGTAAAACGCTCCAAGTTTGTGTGGCAAAATCAAAACACTCGACAGTATTTAATGTTTTCAGTCCATCACGACCACCGGCGACAATTAATTTTTTATCGATTATCGCAGCGCCAAATTGAAGACGTCTTCCTCCCATACTTGCTAAACATCTCCACGCATTGTCACGTAATGAAAATGCATCTATTGTTGTAGATCCTAAAAAAATAATATATATTATAGTTAAATATTGCTTCTTCCCCTCCAAGGAAGCTTTGTATTCGTGACGATTTTTTAAAAATGTGTTATTTGGACTCATTTTTATCTAGAATGCATATATTGGAAGATTTAAATAAATGTCCAGATGTGTGTGTGTCACAAAATCTTGTCGAAAAGTCGATTTTTTTATTTTAATTAAATTTAATTAGTTAATAAGTATTTTACTTTAAATAACTAATGTTATTAGATATTAAATCAATGTTATTAACATTATTATATTATATAATTATTATATTGTAGGACAAATTTCTAAAAAAATTCTGAAACCAATTCAATTTTAGAGTTTTTATTTGAAACTTTTTTAAATAATTAAATTTTTAAACAAATATTAAAATTATTAAACATAATTGAAATTTAGAAGAGTTATACTTTGAAATTTTTAGAAATAATTAAATATCAAAAAATTTTGTAAAAATTTCATACAATAATCAATTTTTACAGAATTGAAAATAATTTATCAAGTAATTTTAGATAACATTTTTTAAAAGTAATTGGATTCAGGGTGTCTAATAAGGATTAATAAAAAAATTCTCTGATTTTTCCCTGACTTTTTAATAACCTTACTTCTGCTTTCTTTGGACAAAAATATGATTACTGACATATTTAACAATAAATTAATTTCTAATGGTAGTAACAAATGGTAAAAAAAACCATTCAAGTTTTTTTAGATTAAAAAATTTTTAAATTCACAAAAAATTTTAATTTTTGTAGAAATTTACAGAAATTTCCCTGACTTTTCACTGATATTTCTCTGACCAACAAAATTCCTTGACTTTTCCCTGACTGTTAGACACCCTAGGATTTAATCAGGGCGGTCGCAAGTCAGGGAAAAACTGGAAATCAGAGAATTTTGTTAGTCAGGGAGAAGTCAGGGAATTTTGATTAAAAGAAACTACAAATTAAAAAACTTTGATACATAAATGTTAATTCAGTTTTTTTTATTTAAATGTTTTTGTAATATAGCTCATTATAATGGTGCCGTCAGATTTTTCATTTTTCAAAGTATTTACTTTTTTTATAATAAAAGTTTTAAATATAATAAAATTTTATTATCAAACAATTTTTAATTATCTTATCTTTTCCTTTATGAATAAAATTGTTACTTAAAAAGCATTATAAAAATTTCAATCAGCAATGCAGAATATTAAATAATTCAAAAGTTTTTTAGTCAGGAAAAATAAAAAATTAGTCAGGGAAAAGTCAGGGTATTTTGAAAATAAAATTTTGCGGCATCTTGATAATTTTTGAAGATTTAAAATTCAGATTTTTGAAATTAATTGTACATCAAGTGATTTTTAAATGAAATTTTTTGTGATTTCTATTGATAAAGAATTAATTAGAAATTACAGACAAAAATTGAATTTTTAAAGTTTTTAACTGAAAAATGCTTTAAAATATGTAATTGAATTTTTGAAGAATATTATAAAAATCATTTAAAATCATTAAATTTCGGAAGAGTTATAGTTGAAATTATTAAATTTCAAAAAGTTTTATATGGAAAATTTTAGAAGATTTTAAATTGAATTTTTTTAAATTAATTTAATTCAAATGATTTTGAATTGAAATTTTTTAGTGATTCCTGTTGTTGAAAAATTTATTTAAATTTAAAGACAAAAATTGAACTTTAAAATTTTCTAATTGAAAAATGCTTGGAGATAATTGTTTTTTTTGAAGAATATTATAAAAATCATTAAAAATCATTAAATTTTGAAAGAGTTATAATTGAAATTATTAAATTTCAGAAAGTTTTAGATGGATAATTTTAAAAGGTTTTAAATTGAAATTTTTGGTGATTTTATTTGAGTTTTTTTAAAATTGTAAATAATTGTTGAATTTCATAAAATTTTTAATTAAAGAATAGTTTAAAATAATTGAATTTGTGAAGAATTTCAGTTAAAAATTTGTTAAATAATTAAAATAAAGAAGATTTTAAGAAGATCTGCATTGTATACTTAAAAAAGACGTATTTTGTTTGAAAATTTTGTAGAAAAATGTAGAAAAAATTGCATTTTATTAAAATAAGTCGAATAAAGTAGTATTTTCGAAAAAAAGTCAGAAAGAATCGTATAATCCGAGGCTTGTGATTATTATAATAAAAATTCATTAATATTAGTGATAAAAATTTCAAAATACAAAATTTGTTTTTTTACGAACCTTTATTGGCATCCATGCCACCAACTGCTAATAATAAACCAACAGTCGCTTTTCTGGGTCTAGTTCGTCCAGATTGAAGTAATGGTCTTCGTTCTGGTAAAAGATGATATTTTAAAGCTTCCATTATCAAATCCTGAGAACGTTGATCTCTAAATACTTCACTGCTCTCTATATTATCTGCAATAAACTAATAAAAAAGGATACAAATTAGGAATAATTAAATTACAAAAAAATAGTTGATTAATAAAATTTACTCACAGCTGGTGATAATAGTGGTAATTTCACTAAAGCCAATAATCTACTCGCATCTTTTTTTCTCTCAATTGGATCGTGATCGAGCCAAGTCATAAGAGCATGAAAAATCGTCTCTTCCGATGGTACATTCAAATCATCGGATTCAAATAATTTTGCCACTTCATTGACAGATAACATGAGAAATTCTTGATTTCTCATTACTTCCATAAAATGTTCAGTTGTATAGGCGTGAGCAACATTTAAAAGATGTGTGCAACCTTGAGTTTCGGCAAAAACGCGAATTCCCAAACAATTACTTGGATGAAGTTGTTTTATTAAAAATTGACAACAAGCCTCGACTACTGGACTTAATTGAAGTAAACAAGCGGTCGCTAAAAGAGTTTCAACGCTATCTTCTCGCAATTCTATACAACCTGTGAAAAAAAATTAATTCTAATTCTTTTCTATTTTGGAAAACAGCAAATTATAATTACCAGTATAACAATAGCGAACTAAAGCCCATAAAGCATTTCCGTCAACTCCTTTCAGCTCAATTTCATTATGCGTCGATTCTCTCATTGAACTTGTAAACATAGCTGCAAAATATTCTGAACCTGCACTCAAAACTAAACGATGTGCATTAAAACGCTTTTCACCTTAAAAGCAAAAATACCATTTTATTATTCCTTAAAATAAAATTTATTAAAAATTCCTAATTTAAGAGTTGAGAAAATAAATACCAGCTATGAGTGTAACATCACAAAGTTGTTGTTTCTGAAGATATTCTTCCATAATTTTGAGACTATTTTCAGCATGCTTTGACACGCGAAAATTTTCATCTTGCGATACTGATATTGTTGAGGCAATACTAGAAATACTGTATTCACTTGCAGATGCATCTTTTTGAGAAAAACGCAATTCAGACTCTCCTTTAATTGAGCTCATTGTCAAAGAAGAAGGCTTCCCTGACATCGTGATTTTAAAAAAGAAAAAAAGACAACTCCAATTCCACTTGACAACAGCTTTAATTATTCGAAATGAATGTAAAAACTTGTAAGCACTCAATTATCATTTTCATTTGAAGTGTTGAATTATTGAAATAATGACTAAACACAGTGTTCTTTGTTCACTGTCCAAAAATTGCCTTCCTTTCATTTTGACAGTTTTCGATGTAAACAAAAGAAGCAGACAAGTGTCAATGACCGATCACCGATGTTTTAATTGGACAACAATTTACACCAGACAACTTACATCCAATCAAAATTCTCATGTAAATTGTACTACCCATTGTAAAAACATTCATCTTTTTGTAGTTTCTTGTGGACTTTTATCAATGCAATTATGAACTCCACATAATGCCGCTCACCAACATAAGTGTCATTTGCTTGATATTTAAGCGTTAAATTTCTATCAAAAAATTTAATTAAAAAGACAATTGTGCTTAGATATACTTTACTAAAAAGTGGCTTTACATTCTTTGTGAGTATTATTTTTGTAAACAAATTCTCGTTTTAACAAATACTTAGTTTATTAGCGACAAAAATCATTAACCCGCCCTACTGTCTATAGGCTATGTCCCGACGCTTTAAAAAAAATACTAAAATTACGTGATATAAGTTTCCTCTATAGAATGTCAAATATTTAATTGTTTTTTTAAATGAAAACCCACATAATTTTAAAATATCGGAAACTATATTGTTTTCTAAAATGAAAAATTCACTCTAACCTGAATTAGGCCTAACCTGAATATTCCGCTATACGAAGTACAGTACAGATTACAAATACGTAACGAAATAAAATTTTAATTTAAAATAATTACAACTAATAATTTTAAATTTTAGTTTTACTAATTACTGTTGCAGGTATTGATGTTAATGATATAATTAGACTGAAAAGTACGAGTAACTTTTCATAATGGCACTACCAGCAAATTATAAACAAGTGTCAATGTCGACGCCTACCATTGTTACAACAAATCGTATGTACATTCTTTACATTTCAAAAATTATACAGTAGAACTTATTTCCTTGAACTAACTTATGAAGGTTCTACTGCATCTAATTTAATAATACATTTTAATTTACCAGGTTGTAATAAATTTTGGATTATCGTTTTAATGAAAATATTTCTCTACTTACAGAACGTGTTCGTGCTTCTGGCGGAACAAGCGGTAGTTCAAATTCAAGTGTAAGATTCTCAATTACTATTTTATAAATTGTATCATTTATTTAAAAAAATTATATGTAACAAAAATTACATTCTAACAAAATTTTTGTTCCTTAGAAAGATGCACAGAGCCCTTTTATTCAAACACCTCATGGACATCCAGGATTTACTCCGCAGAAGGTCGGAAAAAATACAGCTGTAAGTATTAAAAAAAAGAAAAAAAGAAAAAAAATTATAAAGAGCGATTTAAGAAAAGCATTTTAATATAATATTTTAAAATAGGCTGACTCAAGGACTCCTAAACCACCGAAGCCTCCCGAAAAGCCACTTATGCCCTATATGAGATACAGCAGAAAAGTTTGGGACACAGTCAAAGCTCAACATCCTGAATTGAAATTATGGGAAATAGGAAAGATTATTGGTCAAATGTGGAGAGAATTACCCGAAGTTGGAAAGACAGAATTCATTGAAGAATATGAGACAGAAAAAGTTGAATACGAAAAAGGCTTGAAGACCTATCACAATTCTCCAGCTTATTTAGCTTATATTGCTGCTAAAAATCGTGGAAAATCTGGTATAATATTATTTAAAATATTAATAACGCTTAGAAGAATTAAAGATGATTAAATTATTTTTTTTATAATTGTAGCACTGTGTGCAGCACAACAAAACAATGATGATCGTGAAAGTCATGAACGTTCTTCTGGAAGTAGCAAAAGTCAAGCAGCTCAGGATAGACGTATTGATATTTTACCAGCTGAAGATGAAGATGGTGAGTATTTGTTTCGAAAATTAAAAAATTTTTTTTAACACAGATTTAAAACATATTTTTTTACAGATCAAGATGATGGTTATACAGTAAAGCATGTTGCTTACTCTCGTTACACACGCAATCATCGACTCATTAATGAAATATTTAGTGACACGGTTGTTCCCGATGTTCGATCAGTTGTTACAACTCATCGAATGCAAGTTCTTCGTCGACAAGTTCAATCGCTTACAATGCATCAGGTATTTAATCTTCTCAAAAAATAACTTTCATAGACTAATTACTAATTACTTTTATAAAACTAATTTTATTTTTTAGAAAAAATTGGAAGCTGAACTTCAACAAATCGAAGAAAAATACGAAGCAAAGAAGAGAAAGTTCATTGAAGCAAGTGAAGTGTTTCAAGAGGAATTGAAAAAGGTAATATATTTTTGATAATACTAAATTTTGAAATTAATCTCTAATTAGAATTTTAAATTTTGAATTTTTATTTTGTCAGCATTGTAAACCTGCTGTAGATGAGGATGCGTTTAACAAAATGGTGGAACGACAATACGATCTTCTCCGACGTGATCGACTAAAAGGTACCGAAGAAAATCGATCCGGTGATCCAGCATCTAGTGAATCAACACCAACATCAACGCCTACACCAACTCCAGCTTCGGTAAATGAAGAAGCCACAGTGGATGTAAGTTTGTTCCTTTTTTTTCATTTTCTCTTACCAGAATATATTTCATTAAATATTCTTGTATATGAGTATATAAATTTATACACGCTGGATATGTTTTATATTAATTAGTAAAGTTTTGACTAAATTAAAAAGCCACCAAATACTAAAAGAATTATAAATAATCTTCATTGCGTATGTATAAAATTATATACATTATACAAAGATAGAAACGATACTAAATATAAATTCAAGAACAAAGCAAAAATTATTCCAGCAAACTGAAAATGAATCAACGGAGAAGAAGAATAATATCGAACCTGAAAAATCAGAACGAAAGAAAGGCACTCCATCACCACCGTATATGGAAGTGAAGAATGAAATAAATTCACAACCAAATTTTGGAATTGCTCCTATGGTTCAAACACTTCAGCAACCATCGCATATGACACATTCTACTTCACATCCACAAATTCCACAATCACAAGGTCATGTGTCGCCACAAAATCAGCAAATGATTCCGCCGCATCAGCAACCGCATCAATTGCAGCCACCTCAAGCGATGCAGCAGCAGCAGCAATCGCAACCGCCGCCGCAGATACAACAGCAACCGCCACCTCAGCAAATGCAACAGCAACAACAACCACCACCTCAGCAAATGCAGCAGCAGCAACCACCACCACCGCAGCAAATGCAACAACAATCCCAGCAGGTTCAACAACCGCCACAGCAAATGCAGCAACAAATGCAACAACAACCGCCGCCTCAACAGATGCAGCAACAACAGCAGATTCAACAATCACAGCAAATGCAACAGCAACAACCGCAGCAGGTTCCACAATCACAGCAAATGCCGCAACAGGCGCAGCAAATGCAACAACAACAACAAGCGCCGCAACAAATACAACAAATGCCGCAAGCAGCTCAGCAGATGCAACAGCCACCGGCATCTCAACAGATGCAGCAGACTCCGCAACAACCGGCACAGCAACCGCAGTCGCAGCAATTACCACCGCAACAGCTACAACAACAGCAGCAACAACAACAGCAGCAACAACAACAGCTTCCGTTGCAATCCCCACAAGCATCCCAGCAGGTTCCTCCTCAACCACCACAACAATCTCTACCACCGCAACCACCTCCGCAGCAACAAATGCAACCATTACCACCGCCGCCGCAGCAACAACAACAACAACAACAACCAGTCACAACAACTACAGCACCAGCTCCTCCAACACCAACTCCACCACCTCCGCCATCATCAATGCAACATCCCCCACATCAGCCACCAGGATTGATTCCAAATCATTCAATGCCACCGCATCCAGGTCCTCAAGGTGCACCGCCTGTTATTCCCACTCCAGGAACACCGGCCGCGCCTCACGCTGGTCCAATGATTCCGACGAATCAACCATACGGCCAACAATATCCACCCACTGGACAGCAACAGGCGCAAAATGTTCCACTTGCACCAAGACCACCGCATCCTTCCTACGGCTATACACAACAGCAACCATACCATCAACCCTATCCACAATATCCTCATCCCTATTATCATCAACCATATTCTCAATATCCATCACATGCAATGGGACGTCCACATCATCCATCTCACAGTCCTTATCATCCTCAATCGTCGCACGGTGTCGCCGACAGCAGTGCTGCTAATAATCCATCTGGACCAAATGCCGAGGGTGGAAATCCCAATTATTCGGGACCAATGCACAATGATAACGATCGACCAATTCCACCTGATGGTCAAGGTGATGGACAATCGGACGGTAAATCCAATTCTTGAATTATGTCTTCAAGAAATTTTTTATAATTCATTTTTGTGAAACCTTTTTTTTTCACTGACTGAAATTAATAATTTCCCATTAAAATCATTAGAATTTTTATTTCCAACAATTTTATTAGTTATTTTTTAGACGAATTTTCATTTTTCGAATTAATATTTGACAGAATTTCTTTTTTAACAAATTTTTACTAAACAGAATTCGAATTTTTATTTTACAGAATTCTTAAAAAATTCTTCTTTATTTGTTCAAAATTACAAATGGCCGAATAAACAATCGATTTTTAAAATCCACCAATCAAAAGTTGTCGATTGTTCGGTCATTTGTAATTTCGGAAAAATAAAAATTCGGCGTTTTAAGAATTCTACCAAATAAAAATAACTTAAAAATTCTGTTAATTAAAAATTTATCAAAAAATAAATTCTGATAAATGTTAATTCGAAAAATGAAAATTCTTCTAAAAAATAACTGATAAAATTGTTGAAAATGAAAATTCTAATGATTTTTATAGGATAATCATGCGCTCCAATAATTTTACACTTGGAATCATTTAATTTGAATGAAAATATTTAAAATAATTGAATTATTGAAAAAAATTAAATTCGAATGGGCATCCAGAGGAATTCGGAAATTGGAAAAATAGAAACAATATTTCTATGTCAAAATATTCTAATTTCAATAATTTCGTTTATAAAATCAAAAATTAATGTAACCAAGTGTTTTTTTTACAAAAAATTTACGATTTTCACAATTTGAATTATGAAAATATCTAAAGATTCTAATCTCGAAGATTAAGATAAATGTATAGGTTTAAAAAAAGCTATAGTTTCAGATTTACTTTCAAAACTTCCATTAATTTTAATTTAATAATTTACGATAATGTTTCTTGATTTATCACTTTGTTCATTGCAACATTTTTTTCTTGAAAGAAATTGTGACGATCTTGATATTTAAAAACGATAAATAGTAATATGACTATTATATTTCTCTGAATGTGAGAAATATGAAATGAAACTTAGTTTTTCTAAGAAAACTAAATTCGAATACTATATGTGTAATCTATTTACATAAAAATTGATGTAATACAAAAAAGTAAGAAATAACGAGGATACAATTTCAAAATAAAAAAATTTTATTAATCTTCTGAAATTTCGATAGTACAATTCATTCACTTCACAGCCTTCATTTGCCAAAGTCCATCGTTTAGATAATGGCAATTTTCAACACCTACTCCTTTATTGACTTTGGCTCTAAAAAATTTATTATTCATTAATTAATTATCTAATAATTCGGGACGCATGATTATGTTCTAAAAATCATTAGTTAGAATTTTCATTTTATGAAATTTCATTTGTCATAATTATTTTTGAGCCGAATTTTTATTTATTCGAATTAGTATTTTGCAGAATTTTCATCAAAACGAATTTTTGATTATATCAAAATTCACTTTACAGAATTTTTATTTGTTCGAATTTTTACTTGTCAGAATTTTTATTTGCTCGAATTTCCATTTAACATAATTGGCATTTTAAAGAATTTTTATTGGGTAGAATTTAATTGCATACAATTTTCTTTCAAATGAATTTTCATTTGTTCGAATTATTATTTGATATAATTTCCATATAACCGATTTTTCATACTACAGAATTTTTACTTAACCAAAAATCATTTAACAGAATTTTTAATTGATAGAATTTTCATTTCATTTCATTTTAAAAATCGTGTTGAAATCTTTTTGTCGATTGTTTGTTCTGACATTTGCAATTTCGGACAAATGAAAATTCTATCAATTAGAAATTATTTTAAATGATTTTTCGGTTAAATAAAAATTCTGTAGTATGAAAAATCGGTTATATGGAAATTTTATCTAATAATAATTCGAAGAAATGAAAATTCTATGCAATGAATTTCTACCCAATAAAAATTCTTTAAAATGCCAATTATGTCAAATAATTCGAGCAAATAAAAATTCTGTGAAGTGAATTTTCGGTTGTATAAAAATTGTGTAATATAGAAAATCGTTTTGATGAAAATTCTTGCAAAATACTAATTCGAAAAAATGAAAATTCGGCTCAAAAATAATTATGACAAATAAAATTCCATAAAATGATTTTTAGAACATAATCATGCGTCCCAATAATTCGTTATTTTAGTTTATGAAAAAATTGTTTTATCTTACATATCTTCAGTCGAGAGTGTAGTAATTCCAACAGCAAGAGCGTGTTGTTTTCCTTCAGCCATTACTGCCTATTATTTTTATAATTAAGGTGAATATAAACAAATTTTTTTGGAATTAGAATTTTAAAAAAATATTCAGTTGTCAATAATCACTTTTTAGAAAACTAAGTAAAAAAAATTAATTAATTAATTTATTAATTCAAAGGATACAACAACAGTTCCTTTTGGAACAGGCGTCATTTGTGCACCTTTTGATGTTAAACCCGGACACATAATGTTTGCTCCACTGAGAACAAAACGAATTGCTCCCTTATCCACTTGTTGCTTCGGCAAAAAGAAAGGATCTAAAATTTTTTTTTAAAATCATTTTCTTCAATAAATTTAAAATCAATCTAAACTGTACCTAGAAATATAAAAATTGAATTTTCCATGTTAACTTACATTTATGCAAAAGTCTTAACGTTGGCAACCAAGGTCCTTCTCGTTGACGAAAGAATAATAATTCTCCTGAACCATTTATCATTATTTCTATATGATCATGGCTAAAATAAAAAAAAACAATCAGTTTTCAATTTTAAGAAACAAAAATTTTTTAATTTAAAAATTTTGTACCATTTTACAATTCTGAATGCATCCTTTTTGGGAATAATTTGATCTGAAAAACCTTCTAAATGAGGATAAAGTTCCAATAATTTAGAACGAATTCCTTTCTGAACAGAAGATTTTAATTGTTGTACTCCAGAAACACTGTCTTTTTCATCAAATCTAGAAAAAAATAACAAAATAATGAAAACAAATTAACTTCAAATAAATAGATTATATAAAAAAAGTAAAGTAAAACATACTTTTTAAACATTTTTCTTTCAATAAAATTATAGTCAAAAATACTACTTAAATATTAAAATACTTTAGAAAACCGATTTATATGAAAATATTGCCAGAAAAAACACTTTTAACAATATTTCCTTTTTATTGACAAAGTTGTGCTTTATAGGTTATGTTTTTATTTGCCGAACGAAGAATTAAAGTTAAGTACACACATTCATTGTCTCATTATGAAACGTTCACACTGCGAAATTGTCGGGTAAATATTTGAATTTAATAACAATTTTCCCGCCTTTTTCATAATTTAACAAATAATTAATTATTTTAAATAATTAATTTTATTTTCTAATTCATTAATTTTTAGAACAATTTTCAAATAATGAATATATTGTTACGGGATTATATTAAAAAATTTTATTTACAGAATTTGTACAAATAACATTTTAAAAATATATGTAAATATTTAAATTACATTCATTATATTAGTAATTTAATTTTTATTAATTAATAAATAGGAAATCGCTGATCGATTTTCTTTGTCCATGCATGAAGACCTCCGACAATATCTTTAATTTCTAATTTACAATCTGGAAGCTTATTTTGCAAAATTCTCACTGCTTTTTGTGAATCGTTTCCTCTTCTACATAAAACGAAAACTGCAAAAAATTCATTAACAATTTTTTTTTACAAAAATGTATTTTTTTAAAAGAGTAAAATAAAAAAATACTAACCTCCTAGAGCATTAGAATCAATTTTATCGATTTCATTTTTAATTAAATTCAAACTATTTTCTTTATTAATATCATTAATTGGAATATTAATTGATTTCTCTAATCGACAAATTTCAAATTCCTCCGGTGAACGAACATCAATTAACACATGTGACTTTGAAAATAATATCTCACGATATTCCTCAACTGTAATTCTTTCGTTTTTCTTCAAAACATTTAAATTAGGATTTTTATCAATTGCTTTTGAACCACAAAATTCCTCATAATCGATTAATTCACAATTTCCAATAATTTCACCACAATAAATGCAATCAGGATTTTTTTGTCGTAAGCGAACATTTCGAAATGTCGATTCCAATCCATCGTACAATAAAAGTCGACCAGAAAGAATTCCTGATAGATTTAAAATTATTTTTACAGCCTCCTGAGCTTGTAGCACTCCTATTACTCCCACAACTGATGATAAATTAAAAAAAGCACAAAAATTAAATTACAATTAATTAAAAATATATATATGAAAAATATACCAACCTGAACCAAGAATTCCTCCATCGCTACAATTTGTTACAGATTCAGGTGGCGGAGGTTTTGGAAAAATACATCTGTAGCATGGTCCATTGTAATTATAAACTGTAAGTTGTCCTTCAAATTTTAAAGCAGATCCAGAAATTAAAGGCTTTTTGCTAATGACACAAGCATCGTTTAACAAATATCTCGTTGCAACATTATCAGTTGCATCCAAAATCACATCGTAATTGCCAATAATTTCTAAAGCATTTTCGCTAGTAAACTGAACTTTGTATGTTGTAACTTTTACATTACTGTTTAGCCTGAAGCATATAATTTTTTTTTTAAATTTAATTTTCCTAAAGATTAAGGAGAGAGACCGCTGAAATTTCTACCTTTCGAAATTAAGACTCTTTAAGGTTGTCAATTTTTTTTCTGACAATATTGAGTATTTAAAACTGTAATATAATATGGGAAACTGTAACTTGAAATCTCCAACAACTAAACATTTAAACCTAGCGCAACTTTCATTATTTTTCATTGTTGATTTTTTTTATACACCTTTTTCATGATTCTGAACAATCAATCGTATGGATTTTGAAAAAATTGAAATCAAATTTCTGAAAAATAAAAAAAAATTGTTAACAATTACTTTTTTTTTTATTTTCCATAGTGAAATATGATTTCAGGTTCTAAAAAAATTAAAAAAAAAATTCTTACCTTTAAGCCAAACAATTGGTTTAAATTTTATGAATTATTCCTTAAAAATTCAATTTCTTCTAAAATTTTTATTATTTTTTATCGGTAATTTTTTCGTAGGTTTTTTCATGATTCTGAACAATTTTGAACAATGGTATGGATTTTTAAAAATTTTAGTATTCTCAAAAAATAAAATTTCTAAATTTTTTTTTCTTTTTGATAATTCACAATTATTTTAGATCCCAAATAATGTCAGAAAAAAAAATTGGCATCCCTTAACAATATTAATTTCGATGAATTGAAATTTCACCGGTCTCTCCCCTTAAAGATTAAAAATAATTTCAGTCAAATTCTACCTGTTCAGAACAGTTTTAACTGATTCGACTTTTGAACTACCGACATCTAATTGGGAAAATAAAACTTGTCTGTGAAGATTACTAATTTCAATTTCATCATAATCAACTATTCCAATGTGTCCAATTCCAGCACTTGCTAAATATAAAGCTGAAGGACAACCAAGACCACCAGCTCCCACAATTAAAACCGATGAATTTTTCAAAAGTACTTGTCCTAAAAATATAATTCTAATTATTTTTCTAGATTTCGAAAATATTTTCAAAAATAATATAAACCTTTTACTCCAATTTCTGGTAAAAGAATTTGTCTACTGTATCGAGCAATTTCTTCATTATTCAATCCATTATTTTGTAAAATTTCTTTTTCACGTCTAATCTCAGCAAGACGAATTTCCTTCTCCTTTAAAATAGTTTTCAAAGACTTGATTTCTTTCAATAAATTCTCCTCTTCCATTTTCAGGATTTTCAGTAATAATTATAATTTTCTAATTTCTTTTAGAAACACTTTTTAAAAACAAGAGAAATAACCTGAAATAATTTAAACACGTTTTTAGAAACGTGTTTCAAAGGCCACAAACTATTGTGTTATTTACCATAAATGAAAATCTGTGACAAAATTTACTAACAGAGCAAAACATTAATATTAATTTTTAAAGTTAGGAAAATCACTACAATAAATAGAAACGACTTTGAGAATTTTATTAAAAAGAAATTTTTAATTTAAAAAAAAATTCAAGGTAAATTAACTTACAGAAGAAGAGAAAATAAATGTAAAATTGTAGACACTGTTTGAGAAATGACAACAATAAACAGCATGTAGTGTAAACAAACAGCTGACTGTCAAATTTGTCGTCTGCCAGATGCGCAGCAAAATGCGCGTATGAATACACCATAATTTTTCCTGTGTGGCGTTTTTCATTCTCATCCTTCTGCTGGGGCAACTAAAAGTTGATCTTTGTCACTGCTTTTTGTATAGTTTATTTACCATTATTTACGTCTGTGTTGGCGTGGATGTAAATTAATAATGTACTATGTACGCATATACACGGTCAGCTGAGATCATTCGAAATCTCGCGATTGAGAATTACGCATTCGAAAATGTCTTATTGCTAAAGTTAAAGGCGTGCAATTAATAACAATTTTTTTTTTAATAATAGTAATATCTGTCAAAATGGTGGAACCAATCTTTGATTATCAATTTCGTTTGATTTTAATTGGCGACAGTACAGTTGGTAAAAGCTCTCTACTTAAATATTTCACCGATGGCAAATTCGCTGAGGTATGTACGCAGTGCTTTTTTTTGTCTTCTGCTTTAATTTACAAAACATTTCAAAATGTCCTTGAGTTTTATTTTTTTTTTTTTGGCAAGAGTTTAAGATTTGATTATAAAAAAAAAATATACTCATTTTCAAAATTTTTACTAGTTGCATGATTCATATTTAAACATAGTTTCATTTGATATCAAATGACGCACTTTATATGTCAATTCAAAAATACTGTTTTCTTTTCATGTTATCACAATGGATTTTAATTTAAAAATTGCCTTACTTTCATTTCTCTAGTTATCTTTTGTTAATTACATCAACGTCATATAAAAGATTAATTTTACAAAAGAATTAGATTATAATTACATATCAGAATTTTTTACTCGAATAAATTGTTCTTAATGGTTCCCAAACAATAGAAAATAATATTTAAATAATTGCTTTAAAAGAATAATTATTTTAAGTAGTTTAAAAGATTCCATTATTATATTCCATTTTTGTTAATATTCTAATCATATAAAAGAGAAAGTTCTGTGAATATCTAATTTCTTTTTTATGTAAACATCCAATTTTTCAAGAATATAATTATTTTTTGACTCAGCGATTTTTTGAATTTATGTAATTGAATAGAAAATCTTTTTTTTTTTCTAATTATTTCAGCTGTCGGATCCAACTGTTGGTGTCGATTTTTTTGCACGATTAATTGAAGTGAAAGATGGAACAAGAATTAAATTACAATTATGGGATACTGCTGGACAGGAAAGATTTAGGTGATTAGATAATCGAAAAATAATAGTGATTCGGAAAAAATGAATTTACTTAATTTATCTAAAAATATATTTCAGATCAATTACAAAATCATATTATAGAAATTCAGTGGGAGCTTTGCTTGTTTACGATGTTTGTAATCGGGCGAGTTTTGAACATATACCCCAATGGATGATGGAAGCACGTCGACATATTGAACCAAATCGTCCAGTTTTTGCTCTCGTTGGTTGTAAACTTGATTTAGTAACAAATGGTGCACAACGCGAAGTATCAAAAGAGGAAGCAAGAGCTTTTGCTGATCAACATGGAATTCATCACATCGAAACAAGTGCAAAAAGTGGAGTTAATGTTGAAGATGCTTTTCGTTCTGTCACTCAAGAAGTCTTTAATAGAATACAAACTGGTGAATATAAAATTGAAGATGGTTGGGACGGTATTAAAACTGGATATGCAAGACCAAGTGGTTTAGATTTTAATCTAGTCGAAGCTGAACCTGCAAAAAGTTCTTGTTGCTAAGTCAATTTCTATCATAACGAAAAAGAAAGAAAACGAATCAAGTAAAAAAAAAAGAAGAAAATTTTGACTTATCGCAAATTATTTCTATTTTGCGATTAAACACAATGACTGATCACAAGCCATACAAATTTTTTTTTTGTAGACCTTAATTTGAAATTCTTTTTCCTCAGTTTTATGAAGAAACACTAAAATTTCTTTCTCTATAAATTTTATATTCAGTTTTATTGAACAACATTTTTTTTGTGTCCCGATTCTATTTCTTCTTTTTGAGAAAAATTGGATAAAACAAAAATCACACACACATATTAAAATGTCGATCATTGTGTATAAAAATAGATATTGATTTTTGTATATAGTTTGTACAAATAATCTAAGATAGTTACATGATTTCTAAGAATAATTGGATATTCTTTTACAAAAACAAAAAAAAAAAAACAAGTTCCGTTATTTTGATTAATCTATAAATCAATTTTGAAAGACTATTTTCATTAATCGTAGAGAAAATAATTTAAGTCTACAATATTATATATTTAAAAAGAAAATGCAAATGGTCATTTCTAATTTTTTATCATAATTCTAAACACTTTTGAAAAACTTGATTGAATTCAATAAATCAAGGCATGTATGACATTATTTGTAACAAATATTTTATACTTGGAAAATCTTTGTAATATTTAACAATTTTTAGAATAGGAAGAATATGCGCTTCACAAATATATATTGTTACCAGGACTTGACATTGAAAATTGGAAAAGTTTACTGAGAGAAATAAAAAGAACATTTAATGAAAAATATAAATGAAATATTGAAGAAAAAAAATGACAAAAAAATTAGAAAAATCGACAGAAAGTTTATTGTGATAAATAACGGAAAGTTAAAAAAAAACATTTATAAAAGACTCTTCTCTCAGAATATTTTTCTCTTAACAAAAAAATTGATCTACATAAAAATGATATAATACAAATTGATGTAGAATTAAATGTAGCACTCTGTAATATTTAATCGATCATTGTCGAATGTTCAAAAAGGAAGGATTGTTCATATTATGTCAGACTGAGAAGAAGATATAATCTTCTTGTAAAAAAACAAAGTAACAAAAAAGTTGAAGACTTGAAAATTTCTATAGTTGAAACTGAAACTCCTAATTATTTCTGTATGAAGACAATCTGCTTCGTGAAAAATGCCAAAAAAAAGAAATATACATAATAATAATTTTAAGTGAAAATGTTAAAAAAAACCTAGATTTTATTTTTTCGACAAAAAATAAATATTTAATAAAACTAAAAGAAATTTTCAGTTCAAAAATAAGAAATCGCGCAGCTTTTAAATTAAAATAATTAAATTATAAAAAAGAAAGTTGAAGTATTATTTATTTTAAAAAAACTAACAAATTTAAGTTATTCATCTGCGATAGTCTCTAACAAAAATTAAGAAAGATTTTATAATTTTAATTTACATTTTTTTGCAAAAAAAAAAAATTATATTTCTCTTTTTAATTGGTTTTTTTTATTATTATTTTTACGACTATCGTGCATAAATGAGCTTAATTAGAATTAAAAAATAATTTTGAGTTCCTTAATTAAGGAAAAGTGTTAAAATAATGAAACTAGTGTCATGATCAAGGTCTTAATTTAATCGTCCAAGCATTGATACATTACACACCTTATCTAGATTACATTACAAATTATTATCGTCGTAAGATATACGATTGAAATACTTGCATGACATTATAAATTTCCTAAGGAGCTCTCACTCTAGAATTACCAAACGAACATTAATTAGCTCGCAGCTTGGCGGGATCTTCGATGATCACATTGTACAGTAACATTTATTGATGATTTTTGTAAAATTAAAAAGTAGAGATTCACAATTTCTACAACTACCTAATAATAATATATTATTACAAATAGCTAATTGAACGAATAAATTATCTTGGAAGTAAGCTCTCTTACGACTAAATCGTTATTTCCGTGACTAGAAATTTCTCTATTATATCCATCATCTTTCTTTTTTTCACTCACAATTCACAAAATTAATGTTTTGGCAAATTTCATTCCAATATATATATAAATATACGAAATAGCAAACAACTTCATTATTTAGAAATACAACGATCGTCATCGTATAATACTTAATCCATTTCAATTCAAACGTTTTTTTTCTACTTCTCTTTTTTTTGTATATTTACAAACAATGTATAATACACATTTAATAAAATCCGACGTTCATTTATCACGTCAATTACCAATTCGAATCTAATTCGTAAATTGTAATTTTCAAATTCTACACAAAAAATCTCTTCTCAAAACTCTTTTTATAACACATTTTTTTTGCCTTCATTTTAATAAATTTATAACAGTTTCAAACTGTACATAACAGGCAGTTTTTTTTGACATTAAATTAATAATAAAGAAAAAATAACAATTACCACGATATATTTTTTTTAAAACTCCATATAAAAAAATAAAATACATCAAAAAGAAAACTACTCTCTAAGTAGTTTTAAAAAAGAATAAAAAATTTTTAAAAATAAAATCTTTTAATTACTTAACAATGTTTTGAACACATTTTTCTCAACGTAAAAACGTAATACGATTTAAAAATTCAATTAAATTTTTTTTAATTTAAAAAACAATGTTTAAAAAAATAAATCAATACTTAAAAAAAAATGAAAATAAAATGTTGTTTGAATTAAGGAAGTTCTCTCCCTCCAACGTCAGTCAAATCAATCCCCATTTAAGTTTTCATTTGTATCACGTAGTACTAGCTCAACGCTTGGCAACGTTGGATTATATTTCCCCCGTTCCGTTTCGTGTCGTCTGCTATTGTTTGATTTATTTTCGTTAAATAATAATAATAATAATTTATTATTTTAAAAATCTTAATTTTTTATAAGCAAATTCAAATTATTATTCATTATTATGAATCTTTGAAGAATATACTATTATATGTATATACTACTTATATTACTTTCAAATTTCGCGCTTTTTCTATACCTAACCTACAAGACGCAACGTTGCCAAGCGTTGTGCTAAGTAATTTCTGATTGTCAAAATACGGTGTTTTTTTAGACAAAATAATTAATTGTGAGTCTCCTAAGCCAGGTCTGATCAATTTTATTAAAAGTAAGTGAACATTGGCTATTAAACTTTATGTATATAAAGTTCCAGTAATATCTTTTCGTCAGATTTTTCACAATTTGAGATTTCAGACCAAAAAATTCAATTTCCCATAAGAACCCGTGTTAAATGTGAAAAGAGAAAATTATTTATATCTTTTGTCAAAATCCACCTAGACCTCTAAAAATTTAACTACATCTTCTTTAAACCATTATCTATCAGTTTATCAAGTTTGATAATTAACTCTTCGTCATTTCTGTTTGCGAGAGAACTTCCTTAAGTCATTTGCCAAAAACGATTACGTTCATTTTCACGTTAAGTAATTTTTTTTTCTCCTTCTAAATTTAATCTTGCTTAGAGCAAGAAGATATTAAATATTATATGAACAAATAAGAATCACTAGAAAGATTATCTTTCTCAGAGTTTTTTTTTCTTTTCAAACTTGAAGCGCAGCTCCAGCCAATTTTTTTTTTTATAAATAAAAAGAAAATAAAACATCAAACTACATCTCATATAAAAATTGAAAAGAAATTCATTAAAATTACACACTAATGATGCATTTTTAGAAAAATTTGAATTCATTTTGTAAAACGGCTAAGTGCAGTAAATTAGCCTCTAGATTTTAATATAAATGCAATTTTGAATTACTCTCATTTTTGTACAGATTCAATTTTATAGATTTTTTCAATATTATAGATATGCGTTGAAAAAAATCAATTTTTTCGCGAAACATCGTTTCGATAATGAAAGATTACTGCCTTCAAATTCAAATTTGTAAGTTCATAGACAACATGGGATAAAATATATTACATAATGGTAACATTTACTTTCTTGATATTATGCGATATTATATAAGGGGAGAGGGGGGGATACTTTTGAGTATGATTTTTGCTCAATATTTTTGTTTTTCTGTTTTTAATCAAAACTAGCAACTTTACCTCTTCTATGCTGTTCTAGGGATTCACATCCAAAAAGCACGTATTCTTCACGCGAAAGCCAGAATGGATATCCTTCAACATATTCCGGTGGTGTTTTATCTGTGATTAAAAAAAAAATTTATTGTCCTGAAAGTAAAAAATTGAGAAAGGAGAAAAAAGAAGAAAAAATTTACCAGGATGAACTTCCAAGGAAACGTACGTTGATCCCATGGCAGCGTTCCAACTGTGCGTACCAGGGCAGCTTCTAACTTCAAGGATATGACTATATTCCGGAAGTAATTCACGTAAATCTTTCGATAATCGAAGATTAAATCCTGATAAATCGGTATTACCGCCTGTCAAAAGAATATGCGAGAGACAATCTTGTAAAACCTCTTCCGAAAGTCCTGACGTTACTTCCTTTATCACTTGAGGCAAATTTAAACTCACATACATCATCTCAGGAGCAACAAATAATTCCTCACCCAAAGAAACTCTCTGAAGAAGTAAAAAATATATATATATATAAATAAATAGTTCAATTTTTCATTTTAGATAAAACCAGTCTTCACAGCATAAAATTTGTTTAAAAAAAGGGGAATAGGGGAAATTTTGTTTGAAAAAAGGGGAAAAATAGAGTAAAGTCTAAATGTATATTTTTCTTAACCAAAATGCTTTAAAGTTGTGTTAAATTACACTACCGATGAAAATTCTGCGACCATCCATTTTCTTGATGAGTATTTTTATTTTTTAAACTTATTTTAAAATTAATTTTCCACAGAATGAAAATTACTTCTAAACTTTTTTTTTTATTTAAAAATGCAAGTAATTTGTTATTTTTTTAAAACGAAAACAGTCTTGTAAAATATACAAATCTTGATTTTATTCATATTTTTCAAAGAAACTGAAATATTTTAAATTTATTTAAATTAAATTTAAAAAAAAATTTTAATTAATTTTCTGATAAAAAAAATTTCCAATTTTCCTAATTCAGTCCTCGGATTGACTTTAGAAAGAGAAAGAAGTCGTTTTAGTTGATTTTCATTACAACAAAAATCAAAAAATTCGATATTTTTTATTTTTAATAAATTTTATATTAGTTAATAAATATTTCACTATTATTAACATTAATTGTTAGAAATTAAATAATTTTAAAAATAAAAAATTCTATAGTAAAAAATGTTTTACAGAAACATTTCCAAGAAATTTTTTTTTAAACTTCAAAATTAAACCATGACCAATTTTCAAGATTTCAATTCAGTAGGACAAATTTTCAAAAACAATAATTTAAAGTTACTTTAAAGAAAGAAAAAATTCCAAGTCATTGTACAAATTATTCGAACTCAGAATTTTGGAAAATGTTTTAAATAATTAAATTTTCAAGAACTTGATTAAAATATTATTGAAAAAAATTAATTTATTAATTGAAATTGTTGTAAATTTGAATTGCTGAAAAGTATTGACACAATTTTAAACAGTAATTGAATTTTAAAGAATTTTTAATAAAAGAATTTGAATTTTTGAAAAATTGAATTAAAATAATTAAAATAATTAATTTAGCGAAGAATTTTAGATTAAAATTTTGGAAGTAATTGAATTTGGAAGAGTTATATTTAAGTTTTTCAAAAATAATTAAAATTTCAGGAGATATACAAAAAGAATTTTGGTAAATTTGATTTGAGGAAAATTTTTTACAAAGTTCAGAAGATAGTTGAATTTAAAAAAATGTGTTAATTAATGAAGAGTTAGAATTTTTTTAAATAATTGATTTTCAGGAGATTTTAAATTAAAATTTTTATAAATTATGATTTAAAATCAAATGATAACATTTTTTTACAAACTTTAAACAATATTTGAAATTTAAAGAATTTTTAGGTAATTAGAACATGTTTTAAATTATGTATGATTTTTGAAGAATTTGAATTACATTATTGAAAGTAATTAATTTTGCAGATAATTATAGTTATTTTTTTATCATTCTTTAATAAATAGACTTAGTAGAGAATGTAACTCTATCGGAGCATGCCAATTTCTTTGACAGCAGTGTAACAAGATTCACCTCATCGTTGAAAAGAAATACACTAAAATTTAATTAATTTAATTTAGGGTCGACCTAGCTAAGTTAGGTTTTTTATATAAATATAAGTTGTATTTAACAGCTTTTAGTATTTGTATGAAAGGGCTTTAGCCCGTTTATTATTAAATAAATAAATAAATACGTTTTTATATAATTCAATTTTGGAAGAAGTATATTTTATACTAAAATAGTTAAAACTTACCCAAAGTTGTTTATAATCCGCATAAGTATCAACCTTGAATTTAATATTCTCCTTTTTCATTTTTCTATCACTATCCTTCATTTTCTTATCATCTTTAAATTTTCTCTCCTCGGTTTCATTTCGATAATTTAATTTGCATTTCTCTTTAACAGCCATATAATCAAGGAAAGATATTGGAATTTGATGATATTCCTTTGCTTGCCAGTAAAGTGCATTTTTTAAATTACAAGCAACATGCCAACCACCAATTGGAAGTAATTTCCATCGATGTGGAATAACTCGTCCGCCAATAACAACAGCGACTGTTGTACTCAATGCACCGCTATCAACCACAACACAAGTTTCAATATCCAACATTGCACACGCTGCCAATGGTTTTGGCACCAAGCAAACCCTGTTAATTAAATTTAAATTAGAAAAACAAATACACTTAATATTGAATTAAAAATGATTTCTAACCTTGCAACTTTCACTTCTTGAAACAAATAATGCAGCAATTGTTTTCGAAGCGAGGGATGTATGGCCAATGGTTCACAAAACATTAAAACAGCATTTGGTTTTCTCAACGTTGTTGTCAATCTCATTTGATGAAATAAATGATCGATATATACTTTCAAAACGGAGAATGATCCATCGTAAAGTAATGCTTCAGCTGGACAAACAACATCAACATTTGGTATTCCCAATACATCAACAGCATCCGAACAATAACCATTGACTAATCTCTGATCAACTGGATTGGAATGCGTATAAAAGGCATCATTTGGGTGATTTGCCAATCTTCTTTTTTCACGATAGAGTTTCAATGAATTGCAAAATACACAAAATGGACCACTCGGTCTTGTTATTTTTGTTGTTGGCGTTAATTCGGTAAGCTTTAATAATTTGAGCGTTTTTGCCAACGATTTACTATCTTTCGGTCGACTACTACAACTTGGATTATTATTTCGTAATTGTGTTTGTTCAGCGTGCATTTCATCATTATATTTTGGAATGCCAAACATTGAAAAATGCCTCTTTAAACCAATTTGTGGCGTTATCACCCATGTAAATTTATTACCAATTTCTAAAACTACTTTAGCACTAGAACTTTCCACACAATTACGTTGACATGTGTAGCCACTACAATGACAACATTTTGGAAATGGAAAAGCTTCACCTAATGTGAGAACCATATGAAGTCTATAGCATGTGGCTTTAAAACTCACGCCAAGTAATTGCAAACATTTTATATCTGGAAATCTGAATTGTACTTTGGAGAGCAGATGCAACCATTTCATCTTCCTGCGAAAAGAATATGCGTGCTAAATTTACAGGAGAAACAAACAAATTTTCATCTTCGTAGATTAAAATAATTCAACTTTTTCAATTATTTAAATCAAGTGATTATAGAAAAAAAATTATTTTACGCAAATTAAAGAAAAAAATAATTAAGACATAACCTCTACACACCATAAATAATCATTATCCGAGGTCTTTCGCAGGTATTTACAGGTACTTCCAAAAGCAATAATATCAGGTACATCACAGTATAGCAATATTTCAATCCAAATTTCCTCAGGGAAGACGGCGGGATCCATTATTACAATAAAAACGTTTACAAAATGTACAATGATATAATTCTAAGCTGCCAAAAACCTGGCACTCCCCATTTTTGACAAGTTCAAGGTCATACTGCTACGTTCATATGTGCTTAATTTTTTTTCCATTTTGTTAATTAATTTTAAATCCGATTGGTTAGTTATTTCTATTTGGACAAGTTACAAAATAACCCCTCAAAAAATTTCAAATTGCTTCTGTATTAAAAAAATGAAGTAAATATAATTTGGACTAAACAACATAATAAAAACTATCAATATTCGTGAAACTTGTTAAAACAATCGATGGTTTGTTTGTAAATAAAAATTACATTCTTCTTAGTTCACATTCCTTCACAGATGGCGCAAATAGTATATTCTTGTTTCCGCAATGTGAATAAAGCTTAAATTTTTAGAAAAATATTTTAAAAAATAGTGTTATTAAATAATAAATTTGTTGAAATAAACACGATAATATAATTAAAATCACTTATTTTAATAATAAACAATCAAAATTTAATATTTTTTTTACCCAAACGGAAGTGTGGTGGGACACGCCGGAAGCCATATTGGCCTGTAATGGCGGCGATCACATCATTCGTGTATCGTGAAAGTTTTGCTGATTACGTTTGTCAATTGATTGATGGTGAAAAACGCGATAGAATTATTTCTCAATAACATTGACACATTTAGAGAAAACTATTAATGATGATCAATAGTTTGTGATTAATTTTATTGGTTCTAAACCAATTTTGATTGTGTCTGAAAAAAAAGTTTACAACACGCCAAGGGAGTGTATTCAGTAAGTATAATAACTACATATATAATAATACAGAATTGTTTTCAGTTGTTATTTTCACTTCATTTTTTTTTTGAGAATAAAAATTACTGATTGCACTTATAATTAGAAATTTGTATAAAATTTTACGATCATGAACAAAGTGATAAATCCAATTTGTCTTAATGCAATTATTCTTTTTTTCTAATGTAAATGACTAAATTTAAGTATTTGAAAACATTAATAACACTGTAACTTTATTTTCAGCGAATTCAGTCCTGACAATGGAAGATTTATTTTTAATTTAGTGTTTTTAGGGGAAAAAAAATGCATGAACAACGTGCATTATATAAACAAATTTTATTTCATATTTAAATTTTTTTGTGCATAATAACTTTGCGGCCGAAAAATGGCAACAAACGCTCAATTTCTAACTCCCCCGCCCCCTATTAACCTTCCAAATATGTCGGTACCTCCACCTCCGACACCAAATTTATCAGCACCACCACCAACATTAACGACAATCAACACATCGGCAAATTATCAACATCGTTACAATAATCATCGAGATGCAAATCGAGGTTTCTTTAAACCCTTCAGACCCTATCATGCACCTAAAGTCATATCAGGTGGTCAAGATGCATTACAAGATGAATTTGATGGCAAAAGACTTCGAAAATCTGTTATGCGAAAAACAGTCGATTACAATTCGGCAATTATCAAATGTCTCGAGGTAATTTAAAAAGAAATTAATTATGAAAATAAATAAATAAATTTTCTATATCGTTTTTTTTTTAAATTGTAAAATAGAATCGTGTCTGGCAAAGAGATTATCGTGATAGACGTGCACTTCAACCGGATGTGATTTATTATCCAGATTTACTTCCCCCACCGAGTTATGTAGACAATCCGATAAATGCAGTTACAACAAGATTTGTAAAAACAGCAACAAATAAAATGCGTTGTCCAATTTTTTGTATGGCCTGGACACCAGAAGGAAGACGTCTCGTTACCGGTGCATCAAGCGGTGAATTCACATTATGGAACGGTCTTACTTTTAATTTTGAAACTATTCTACAGGTACTATAAAAATTTTTATTTTTAAAGATTATATTAATACAAAAATTAGAATTAAAAAGTAATTTTTAACGAGAAATTGTCATTTTATGAAACTTTTTTTTATAAAATGTGTTTTTTTTTTTTTTTTTTTTGGAGAACAAACACAATATTTGTTTTTATTATTGTTTAGGCTCATGACAGCCCTGTGAGGACAATGGTTTGGTCGCACAATGAGAGCTGGATGGTGACCGGAGATCATGCAGGCTATGTCAAATACTGGCAGAGTAACATGAACAACGTCAAGATGTTTCAAGCACACAAAGAAGCGATTAGAGGACTCAGGTATAGCATCAACCACACTAGTCCTTACGTCTCTTGCGGCACTTTAAACGACAATACGTCCATTCTTATTGTAGTTATGACATATAACGTGACTTTCACTCTCTTCTGTTTTTGGGTTTTCTCTATTAAATTCGCGGTAGTTTCCATTTTTGTCTGGGTAAATAGGTGATATTATTATTCTTAAAAAAAACGAAGAAGCATGCATTAAAATGAATTTTCCGTATTTAGTTAAATCTTGGATTTAAAGGAGATAATTTTGTGGCAGAAATAATTAAAATCATTTAATGAATAAAAATTCATTAAAATAAAAAGAAAAAAGTAAGAAGAAAAATTAAGTTAAATGGTCATTGCTTAATTTTTGTAAATGTGAAATAAAAATATTTTGCACAAAGTACATAAAAGTGCTTTTAAAATTCGGTCCTTTATTTTGCGTCTGGTTTTTTTGTGTGAAATCAATTTTTTTTCTAATTAGAGAAAGACCCATACTTGTAATTTATAATAAATACAGCAACACCCAGTCGTGATTCCCTCTGAATAAATAAAATAAAAATGAAATCCTGTCTCCTTACCCAGTTGACAATTATAAATAAATAAATAAAAAATAGAAATATCAATAATAAAATACTTTTTTTCAATGTGATGATTCAAATTGGATGAATAAAGGATTTTTTTTATTTGTCACTCGTTGCAGAGTGAAAAAATTACAATTCATGTACACCTTTATTAATAATAATAATAATAATTGTGCAATAAATGCTAAATTTACAAAAAAAAAGAAATAAAGTTGGAGCATCATCCGGTGGTCATGTGGCATCAAAAAAAAATCATTTTTTTTTTGCATGACTCGCTGATATAAATTTCAATTCGCTAAAATAGATGTAAATTTTTTTCGTTTGAGTGCCAGATATGACTATCGGAGATGATTTTTGTTTATTTACATTTAGACGCTCCTCTTTTTCGGTTCGCTCCTTAGAAGTTTATTTTATTTTATTTTTTTTTTTTAAATGTAAAAAAAAAAATTTTATCGTGTTTTTTTTATTCATTCAAGCTTCTTGAAAATGGAAATCTCAAATTTTAGTGCATGTGAGACTTTCTGCTTCTTGAAGAATATCTTTGAAATATTTGGCATGCAAATATTTTTAATATATAACGGTTTAAGAAATGTTTCCCCTCTCAAGACAATATTCTATTAAAATAAATTTTTCATATATGTATACGTGATAAATGGTTTATTAGCAGGATTTCACCAATCTTTTGGATCGAAACAATCGCCCAGAGATTCTTTACAATAGCAATGATCAATAAAAATGACTTGAAAAATAAATGACTCCTTGAAATCAGAAATAAAATTGAAATATATTTTTAATTGTGCACTGTTTAAATACATTTTTAACCAAAAAAAAATAAAATAAATAAAAATGCTTTTTTTCAATCTACAATTTCTGTGATAATTAAAAAAAAATCTAACAGTGCTGTCTAGTTTATAACTTGTTTTTTTGACCGGGTAGTTTCAGTCCAACGGATCACAAATTGGCAACATGCAGTGACGACGGAACAGTCAGAATCTGGGATTTTCTTCGCTGCCACGAAGAACGAATTCTCAGGGGTATAAATTATATTTTTTCTTCCTTTTATTAATAGGATTTATTTTCTTTATTATAAAATTTCTCCTAAATTGTTGCTTAAAAAAATTTTAATTGTTTATTTTTTTATTGAAATGTTTTTTAGATGAGTTTTTCATTCAAAATGTTTTAAATTATTTTATTTTTGTGACTAAAAAAATCTCTAAATAAGAGTAGGAAAACGAAAGTATTAATTTACACTATTTTTTTTTCTTTTTATTAATTAATTTTTGGTTTCATAATATTTTTTTTGTGTGTAGGTCATGGTGCTGATGTAAAATGCGTTCACTGGCATCCACAAAAAAGTCTTGTTGTCTCTGGAAGTAAAGATAATCAACAACCAGTGAAATTATGGGATCCAAAGACGGGACAATCATTGGCAACATTACACGCTCATAAATCAACTGTAATGGACGTTAAATGGAATGAAAATGGAAATTGGTTAGTAACAGCATCGCGTGATCATTTATTGAAATTGTTTGACATCAGAAATTTAAATCAAGAAGTACAAACATTTCGTGGCCACAAGAAAGAGGCTTCAAGTGTTGCTTGGCATCCAAGTCATGAAGGACTTTTTTGCAGTGGCGGAAGTGACGGTGCAATTTTATTTTGGCACGTTGGGTATGTAGGGAAATTTTAATTTTTTTTTAAATTAAAAATATTTTTAATTTTAATTGAATTTGCAGAGCTGATAAGGAAGTTGGAGCTATTGAACAAGCTCATGACAGTATTGTTTGGACACTTGCATGGCACCCTCTTGGTCATATTCTCTGTTCGGGAAGTAATGATCATACTTCGAAATTTTGGACAAGAAACCGACCAGGAGATCTTATGAGGGATAAATATAATTTGAATACCCTACCTGCTGGTGCAGTTGGTATAGATGATCACGAAATAGGTAAGAAAAGCAAACAAAATAAAAAAATTGAGGTGCCGAATCAAAGAAGGGCACATAACTAATCTAATTCAAATGGGTTATGTGCCCTTCTTTTATCCAGCAACTTAATTGAATTTTCTTTATATATTTTTTTAATGCTTTTTTTCAATTTTTAGCCGATGAATATGCGGTGATACCGGGAATGGGACCAGAGGATAGAATTAACGCCGAGGGTGAACCGGAAGAGAAAAACGGTGGTATACCGGGTTTGGATTTGGATCACGCGATCGATGAGGGAAAGAAGTTTACTAATAAAAAAGTTCCTTACAGTAAGCCAATTCCAAGGAATTTCCAAGCTCAATGGAATGAGATGGAAGGTGAAGATCAGGAACAAGTTGAGGCTCTTAACGCATTTGTTAATCAATTAATTGAAACAACACCTGGAGCATTACCATTGAATGAAGTTCAACCAAATGCTATTATTCTTTACGGGAAAATGATTTCTGTCGAAAGTGAGTTTTAAGTTTGCAATTTGAAGTTTTTCTTTTTGAACATCGAAATATTAATTTTGTTTTTATTACAGCTGGTAGTAAACTCGCAGAGGCAATATCAAAAGGTACAGACGCGATAAATAAACTCGTTGTTTCCGGTGAGATTGAGGAATTAAAGGAAATAATGAATCAACAAGAGAATACAGAAGAGGATGAGGATTATTTGAACGACGATGGGGAAATTGATTTCTCAAAAACTCCCGACGTTGAATTACCACCACCTTTACCGAGTTCGAAATTTGCCCAAAATCCCGAATTACTGAAATCGCTTAATCGAGGTGGTAAAAGAAAGTTTGATCAATTAATTGGTTGGAGTGATGCTGGAGCAAGTGATAGAACATCTAAAGTTCATCAACCAGTTTTTGGTGGTTCAATGAATGATGATTCTCAATCGAGCGACAATTATTTGAGAGATGGCTACAACGAGGAAGAGGAAGACGACGAGGAAGATTATAGAAGATTTATGGATGACGATGAATATCGTTTTAATACACCTGGATTGGTGGGTAGATCTGATCTTGATGTGAGAAATAAATTCATGGAGAAAGATTTTCGACTTAGACATTTTATGGACGATAGAGATAGAGATTCATTTGGTGCGGGAGATTCGTTTAGTGAAAGAGATGGAAATACGGAAAATAGATCACGTTGGGAGAGTGATAAAGAAATTGGTGAAGCTAGTAAATTTGGTAACATGTTTGAAAAACCGCCTAACATGTCAACAATGCCACCTCATTTGGGCAGTTTGCCAAATCATCACAATATGCAGAATATTAATCCCAATATGCCACCTCCAATGTCAAATATGGGACCTCATTCTAATATGCCACCACATTCGAATAAAAGTATGGGAATGGATGGACTACCGCCGCACATGATGCATCCACCGCCACCTTTTGGACCCAATGGACCACCACCGCCGCCCTTCGGACCAAACTTTCGACCTAATGGTCCTAATTTTGGTCCTAACTTTCGTCCAATGGGTCCATTTGGTACTCCGCCGTTTAGTAATTTTGGTCCACCAAACTTTCGTGGTCCAAATGGTCCTCCAAATTTTGAGAGACCAGGATTTGGACCAAATTTCAGAGGTCCACCGCCAAGACCCGGTGGTCCAAATTTCAATCCAGGCTTTGGAAGCTTTGGTCCAAATAAAAATGGTCCAAATATGGGCATAAGGGGACCAAACGACAGTGGAATGGGTATTAGAAACAACTTTAATGGTCGGGGCCGAGGTCGCGATGGAGATGGTTCTAGAGGAATGGGAAGGGACAATTACTAAAAAAAAACAATAAAATTGAATAATCAATGTGTACAAAGAAAAAAAAATTTAAACGTTAAGTGTATTAAGGATGTAAAATTTCTTTAAAATCTTCAAATAGATGAACTTTTCAACAATCAAATTATTATTTGAAGATTTAAGACTGTAATTCGTTATTAACAGATTTTTTTTAAATGTTACAAAAAATTATCTCTTGCAATAGAGTAATGTCGAAGGGGGGAAAAAAATAACGGAAACTGTAATATATTACTATTACTAATTTAAATATAATAAATGTCCATCTTCAAAAATCAGAAAAGCCTTTCTCACATGCTGCCTTGAGAAAGAATTGAATTGTATTTCTGAGATAAGGCACTAAAATGAAAGGAACTGTGGGTAAACCAACATATATGTCAGGCACAAAATTATTGTGTTTGACTAAAAAAAAAAGCAGTTTACTTATTCATTACAAAGAAAAAAATAAATTCAAATAAAAACAAATTATAATTTTCCTCCTCACCATTTGTGTCCTCGATTTTTATTTTTAGCAAACAAAATATGTGAAGAAGGAAGAATCGGATGGATCAATGACAAAAATTAATAATACTTAACATTTTTCAAGTTTTTAAATCAATTTTTAATGAAAAAGTAATTTTATTTTATTTATTTAATATTAATATTTATTGAAACTTTAGTCTATTGGTCCAAAAGTGGACTTGGTTTACACTATAATTATTGTACACACATTCATCTGTCCATACATACTTTTTATTTTATTTATTTATAAAAATATAAATCGAAAAAGCTTATTCGTACTCCAAATTAGGTATTAATTTAATAAATTTTTATATTATTTACAATTTCATGACTGAAACCATAAAAAACCGGGATCAAATCACTATATTTTAATAATTTTTATTTTTCCTTTTTAAATTGATGAATGATTTTAAAATTTTTGCACATTTTGAATGAAAGAAATAACTTGTCCAAAATTTCAATAATTCTTTATTCGTGCTACAGATGGCTAAGTGTGAAAATTCTTGTAACGAGCAATTCAGCTCGTAACATTCTTTTTAAAAAATTCATTTTAAATGCTAATCTATGTTTTCTATCGTTTTGTGTGAAGTAACTGGTGGTTTTTCTTTGTAAAAATTGCCGATAAATTGCTTTCAAAGTTTATGTGAAGTTGAAAAAAAACTGAAAAAGATAATTGTAGGAGTTAAAAATGGACTTCTTGGAGTATGCCGATATTACGTCGGAGGTTAATGGAGCAATGGTAAATAATAATTTTATTATAAATCTCGCACATTGGAATATTAATCGCTATCATAACCTATAAATTACTTTTTTTTTAGTTTCAAACAATTTCATTAAGAAACAATTTGTTAGTGTTCAAAAAGTAGTTAATTTGTTTTTAATTATTTTCAATTTGTAATTAAACTTTAAAGTACGCTTAGATAAACCTTGACATTTTAAAAATATCTCTAGCGTCCAAAATGTTAAAATGCCGCCAAAAATTTTTGGATTTGATTACTTTCATATTGTATTTTATCAAGTTTTTTGTCACTTTAATGTACTTCTATTTTTTTAATTTTTAAAAATGTTTTTTCTAATTAGCTTCTTATGATATATTTTTACAGACTCCTGGAAAGTTAAAATTAACTGATCAACATCTTATATTTAAAAATCAAAAAACTGGCAAAGTAGAGCAAATATCTTCGAGTGATATGGATATGGTCAGTTATTTAAAATTTGTAAATACTTGGGGACTTCGAATTTTCCTAAAAAATGGAAGTCTATACAGATTTAGAGGTTTCAAAGAAGGCGTAAGTTTTTATTTAATCGTAAAATAATTTTTCTTTTTTCAAATATCAATCCTCGAATTATACTTTTTTCTAGTTTTTGACTTTTTTTTACAAAATATTTAAACAAAATTCGTCTTTTATATTATACAATATAGTTCTTCTTCAGATTTTTTCATTTCAATTCTTTACCAAATTTTTAAGTAAAATTATTCTCTAAATTAATTATTTTATTATTTTTCAGTTTTGAAATATTCGAAATAAATTTTCTTGATAATATTCTTGTAGAATTATTCTTATTAAGGAATGAAAAAATAAATTAAATAATATATAATAACATTAGATATTTAAAGTAAAATATTTATTAACTAATTAAATTTAATTAAATTAAAAAATTAACTTTTTTTGCGCCTTAAAGTCGATCTAAGGTCTGAAATATTTTTAAGATTCTGAATTTGAATTTTAGGATCAAGAAAAAATGGCAAAATTTTTCAAGAGTAATTATAATAAAGATATGCTTGAAAAACAACTTAGTTTAAAAGGATGGAATTGGGGAACAGCGAGATTTGAAGGAGCAGTTTTAAGTTTTGATGTTGGTCAACATACGGCATTTGAAATTCCCTTGTGCAATGTTTCTCAATGTACAACTGGCAAAAATGAAGTTACTTTAGAATTTCATCAGGTGATATAAATTTAATGATTTATCGACCTAACAAAAATCGTTGATTAATAATTGATTTTTAAATTTACTGATGAAAATAAAATTTTTCTTATAGAATGACGACGCACCTGTTAATTTAATGGAAATGAGATATCATATTCCAACCAGTGACAGTGTTGAAGCCGATCCTGTCGATGCTTTTCATCAACAAGTTATGGATAAAGCTTCTGTTATCAGTGTCAGTGGCGATGCAATTGCTATATTTAGAGAAATTCAATGTCTCACGCCTAGGTAACTAAATTTAACATTCATAAAAAAAAATAATTGAAAATGAAAAATTAAATTAAATTTTTTTTACAGAGGTCGTTACGATATCAAAATTTTCCAATCTTTCTTCCAACTTCATGGTAAAACTTTTGATTACAAAATTCCAATGTCTACCGTTTTGAGATTATTCCTTCTTCCGCATAAGGACAGCAGGCAAATGTTTTTCGTTGTAAGTATTTTTTTTTCTCAACTACAATGGATTTAAATTAATCTAACTTTTTAAAATATTACAGGTGAGTTTAGATCCACCTATCAAACAAGGACAAACTCGTTATCATTATTTAGTTCTCTTATTCAATCAAGATGAAGAAACATCGATAGAATTGCCTTTCTCTGAGTAAGAAATCTAGTAATTATTTTAACAAGAAATGTTTATTATTCATTAAATTGAATTTACATAAAATTTACAATTTCAGGGAGGAATTAAAGAACAAATATGAGGACAAACTTACAAAAGAATTAAGTGGACCGACATACGAAATTCTAGGAAGAGTTATGAAAGTTATAATTAATAGAAAGCTCACCGGACCTGGAAATTTCAAAGGGTAAATATATATTTGTAAAAGTACAAGGACTTTTCGAAAAATGTATCTATTTTAATTTTAGGCACTCGGGTACTCCAGCAATTGGTTGTTCTTTCAAAGCAGCAGCTGGTTATTTATATCCTCTAGAAAGGGGATTTATGTACGTACACAAACCGCCAATTCACATTCGTTTTGATGAAATTGCTTCAGTGAACTTTGCACGAGGTGGTGGATCAACAAGATCTTTTGATTTTGAAATAGAATTAACGAGTGGAATTAATCATACGTTTAGTAGTATTGAAAAAGGAGAATATGGAAAGCTCTTTGATTTTATTACGTCCAAGAAACTTAGAGTGAAGAATAGAGGAAAAGGGGTATGTATTTAATCTCAATGTATTTTTCATTCGTTCGGGATTGTTTAATTTTACTGATTTTGTTTTAGGATAAAGTCAACTATGACGATGACTTTGGTGGCAGTGATCAAGAAGCTGAACCAGATGCATATTTGGCTCGCGTTAAAGCCGAAGCACAAGAGAGAGATGATGACAATCAAGATTCAGACAGTGAATCAACTGATGAGGATTTCAATCCCAATCAAGCGGAAAGTGATGTTGCTGAAGAATACGACAGTAATCCTGCCACTACGGACAGTGATGATGGATCTGATGCATCTGGCGATAGTGCGAAGGAAAAGAAAAAGGAGAAAAAGAAGAAATCGGCAAAAACAGTGGTATGTTATATCACAATTCAGAATAAACAAAAATATAAAAACAAAGATAAATTTATTAATTTCTTTTTCAAATAGTCTGAGAAGCCAAGAAAAGCGCGTAAGCCAAAGAAGGAAAAAGATTCTAATAAGCCAAAGAGGCCAGCAACTGCATTTATGTTGTGGTTAAATAACACCAGAGAGAAAATAAAATCCGATAATCCAGGCATAAGTGTCACTGAAATTGCCAAGAAAGGTGGAGAAATGTGGAAGGAGATGAAAGATAAATCGGTAAAGTTTATTTTATTTCTTCTTTTCTTTTGACAGTTTTGTTTAAAATTTTGTTTCTCCTTTGTAAAGATACATAAATTAATTCTTTAAAAAATGTTTTAATAGGAATGGGAGGAGAAAGCAGCCAAAGCGAAAAAGGAGTACGCTGAGGCAATGAAAGATTATGTTCCAAGTGAAGGAGACAAATCGAAAGACAAGAAGGAAAAGGCTTCTAAAAAGGATAAAGACGATAAAAAGAAAAAGGATAACAAAAAAGATACTTCAGCATCTAAAAACACTTCCGGTTCATTTAAGAGCAAAGAATATATCAGTGATGATGAAAGTAGCAGCGATGAAGATAGTAAGAAAAAGGTATTTGAACTTGACAAATATTAATTTAAAAAATTTTCAGTAAAATCATTAAAAATAGGTATTAAAACAACTGATTGTTTTTTAGTCCAAATCTGATAAGAGAAAACATTCCGATAGCGAAGAAGATAAGAAGCCGAAGAAAAAGGTAAGTTGTATTTTCTGTAACCAAATTATAATTAACAGTGAAATTAAAATTATAATTGTTTTTTATTTAAGGCTGATAAAAAGAAGAAAAAAGATGAATCTGAAGACGAGGCTAGTTTAGAAGAACCAGATGAAAGTACTCCACCAACTAGTGATGACGATTCCAAGGGAAGCGATTAATGTTTTTTTTATTTACATTATATTTTCATAATTCACAAAAACTAATTTCATAATTCTGTACAATTAAGTATTGTTTTGTATTTAAGAAACCATTAATAATAAGTCAGCGCATAGAATTTAAAACACTTTGAAATATAAACAGTTTTCTCCCCTTATTTTCATTAAATTATTTTTAATTTTTCTTACAAACATTGTCAGACTGTGCATATTTTTAATAATAAATAATTTAGAACAAATATTGAAACATCATAATTACAGGCCTCGGATTATACGACTTTTTTCGACTTATTTTAATAAAATGTGACTTTTTTTTACAAAATTTTTAAACAAAATACGTCTCTTTTAGTTTACAATGCAGATATTCTTCAGATCTTCTTTATTTCAATTATTTAACAAATTTTTAACAAAAATTTTTCTCTAAATTAATTATTTTTAATAATTTTAATGAAATTCTTCACAAATTCAATTATTTTAAACTATTTTTCAATTAAAATTTTTATTAAATTTAACAATTGTTTACAATTTAAAAAAAATCATCAAATATAATTACCAAAAATTTCAATTTAAAACCTTTTAAAATTTTCCATCTAAAACTTTTTGAAATTTATTAATTTCAATGATAACTCTTTTCTGAAATTCAATTATTTTTTTTATGATTTTTATAATATTCTTCTAATATTCAATTATCTAAAACCATTTTTCACTTAAAAAATTTTCTAATTTTATTTTTGTCTGCAATTTCTAATAAATTCTTCAGCAACAGAAATCACCAAAAAATTCCAATTCAAATCATTTGAATTCAAAATTAATTTAAAAATTTTGAATTGTAAATCTCTGAAAATTCAATTAATTTTAAAAAATGTTATCTAAAATTATTTGATAAATTATTTTCATTTCTGTAAAATTTAATAATGTTTTTTGAAATTTAATTATTTCTAAAAATTACAAACTATAACTCTTCTAAAGTTCAATTATTTTTAATAATTTTAATATGTATCTCTTTAAAAATTCAATTATCTATTAATTAATATATATAAATTAAAATTGAGGAATTAATAAAATTGATTTATAGTTATTTAAAGTAAAATACTTATTAACTAATTAAATTGAATAAAAATAAAAAAAAAATCGACTTTTTCGACATTTTTTGGAATGTAAATCGACTAAAACGACTTTTTTTGCGCCTTAAAGTCGATCCGAGGCCTGTAATTAAAATAATTTAATAAGTAAAATAATTATAAAAACCTAATTTTTAATTAATTTGAATTTCTTTGCCTTAAGGCTGTTTTGTACCGATGCCCAATTGGAAGGTTCATTTCCATTGAAGAGAGGATTTTGATTGGTTGGGTAATTTTCAGTCAACCACGTTGTTTTTAAAGTGTTTTGAAGGTTATGTTAGATGTCAATTCACAAAGTGGTGTTGAATCAATTAAATAAGATATTTAAAAGATATAATGGGTAAAAAGAATAAGGGAACAAATTTGGGACGATCTTTAATAAAAGATCGTTTCGCACCTACCAAAAGAAGAGATGTTGACTCATTTGTAAGTAAAATTGTGGTTCTTTGTTAAAAATTAGTATTTTGCGGTAGTTTTGCACACAGAGTGACAGCTGACTATTTAAGAAAATACAGATTTAGTTTTGAAATAAAAATAAAAAATTTCAATTGACAATTATGTAATTTTAGTTGCACACAGCTGACATAAATGACGGATACGATTGGGGTCGATTAAATCTTCAATCTGTAACTGAAGAGAGTTCATTTCAAGAATTTCTCTCAACAGCTGAACTCGCGGGAACTGAATTTCAAGCTGAGAAATTGAATATTAAATTTGTTAATCCAAAAAGTGGTGTTGGCCTTCTCTCCAAGGCGGAACAAGAAAAAGTCTTAGAATCACACAAAAAGAATAGGACACTATTGAAAATACCAAGGCGACCAAAATGGGATAAATCGACAACAGCTCAGGAATTACAGGAGAAAGAAAAAGAAGAATTTCTCGAATGGAGACGTGGTTTGGTTAGTCTACAAGAAAATGAAGAATTAATACTCACGCCATATGAGAAAAATCTTGAATTTTGGAGGCAACTTTGGCGTGTTATTGAACGAAGCGATGTTGTCGTTCAAATTGTCGATGCACGTAATCCCCTTCTTTTTCGATGTGAAGATCTTGAAAAATATGTTCACGAAGTTGATAGCGAAAAGAGGAATATCATTTTAATTAATAAAGCCGATTTTCTCACTGAAAAACAAAGACAAATATGGGCAAATTATTTCTTTGAAATTGGTATTCACGTTGCTTTTTTCTCAGCTACACTTGCGGCGGAAAAATTAACAATTAAAGAAGAATCCGAAGAAGAGGAGGAAGACGAAGACGAAGAGGAAGAAGATGATAGTGAAAGTGAAGAGGGAAATGAAAGTGAAGATGAAAATGAATCCGAATATTTGTCAGACTTTGGTTCTGAATCATTTTACGAAAGTGCTGATGATGGTTTAAAAATTGAAACCGAATCACAACCAGAAATTGATAATCTTGCATTAAATGAAGATTTTCAAAATTCGGCAGAATTACTGAGTAGAGATGATCTTATTTCGTTTTTCAAGACAATTTATAAAGGGAAACGTCACACTGAAGGTGTCACGACAATTGGTCTAGTTGGCTATCCAAACGTTGGTAAAAGTTCTACAATTAATGCATTGTTAATGAATAAAAAAGTTTCCGTTTCAGCAACACCTGGTAAAACAAAACATTATCAGACACTATTTTTGGATAAAGATTTGCTACTCTGCGATTGTCCTGGACTCGTGATGCCTAGTTTTGTTTGCACTAAAGCCGAGATGATATTAAATGGTATTTTGCCAATTGATCAAATGAGAGATCACGTGCCAGCGGTGACATTATTAGGAGCTTTAATTCCAAGACATATTATTGAGGATACTTACGGCATTATGATTCCATTGCCCATTGAAGGAGAAGATTCTGATCGACCACCAACTGCTGAGGAAATTCTCAATTCTTACGGTTGTAAGTATTTTCAATTTCTATTTCTATATTTCAATAACTATTTAATATTTTTAGTAAATATATATTTTTTTTAATAGATAATCGTGGTTTTATGACACAAAATGGACAACCTGATAATCCACGTTCGGCACGTTATGTTCTCAAAGATTTTGTAAATGGAAAATTATTATATTGTGTCGCTCCTCTTAATCAAATACAAAATGAATTTCACGAATTTCCCGAAAGAAAGAGAATATTTCCGACAAATAAACAATTACCACAAGCGACTATTCGTGCGACAAGAGGTATTAAAACAACAACTGAAGATATCGATAAAGTATTTTTCCAAAATAAATCACAAGGTGTTCACGTTCGTGGTGTACAGAAAATACTTAATACAAATTTAATTGCAGGTGCTTCTTCAATAAGGTAATTATTCCTTTAAAATGTATAATCTTTATCTTTTTATTATGAAATAACAGCTATTCTGCGCATTTACATGTTTTTTTTTCAAAATTGTATATATAGAATTTTTAATAATATATACATTACAAACGCATTTTTCTGTATGGATACACTTTCACCAATATTTTTATTTACGAAAATAATTTTTTTATTTCAGCGACCTAGGTTCTGTTCAAAGTGTTGAGAAACCTTGGAAGAAAATTAATAAACATTCTAATAAAAAGAAACGCGAAAAGGCAAGAAGATTGTACGCTCATCTTGATCAACATTGATGAAGAATGTCATAAAAATTTTACAATTGTGTTTAAACATTTTTTTTAATAGATCGCAGTCCGTGGCTTCAAAAAAAAATTTAAACAAATTATTATTTTTTTTATACATGGAAGTGACAATTGTTTTCTCGTAAAGAAATTTTTCATTATTATTATTATTATTATTAAAAACAGGATTTTCTCTATACTGCACAACAGTAAAGTTTTTATACATACATATATATAATTATTTATAAATTTGTCACAATACCTATATATATGTACATATTGTAATTATTAAAATTTGTATATTACAATTGCATGCTATTTTCTTTTCTTTTGATTACGTTTAATCTCAATATTCATTTTTTACGATATTGTTCATTGAATAATCAAGATTCTAATAATCTTATTAGTTGCGCAAAAATTACATTTTATCTCTGAGGTAATATAGTTTCAGTCATTTCTCGAACTCATCTCTTACAATATTTGTTTCCTAATTAAAAATAAAAATTGAAATATCAAAAATCATTTAATATTTCACTCTTGCAAAGAAAATATTACATATAATGCAAAATTTATTGACATATTTGAAGCTAATTTTTAAAATATATGAGACGAGTTTGAGAAAAGAAAAAAAAAGTCAATAATTTAATCCAGTCGTTGACCTTATTTTTTTTATAATAACTTAATTAGGAAGCACAGACAAAACTGCAATTTTGAAAAAAATATTCCATGATAAAATCGAGCTTTAGAATAATAAAAAAATTCAATTACAAAACTATTTTTTTTTTTTTTTAATAAAAAAGTACGGTGTGTAATATTTTTCGCGCGAATTTCGATTCGAATTCATGAAGAAATTCATCAATATCATTGTCCAAATCATCACTGCTCGCCAACTAAAATAAATTTAATTTATTAAAATCATTTTTTTAGGATTTAGATTTTTTTTTGAAATAAAATTTGAATACAATACCACAGTAACGAGTTCGCAAATGAGAAAAGATCCCACGGTGGCTTCCTCATGATTATCCTGAATATCAATATTAATTAAATGAACTGGTTGATTATCTTCGGGCGTTCTTGATTCCATGCACTCAATAACTTGATCATAAACTCTTTCCTCGCAAGTTATTAGAATATCGAATTTATCCTTGGAAGCTTGAAATCTTTCTGGCCTTGGTTTTATCCGACGATTTCTATCTAACATGTGCAGCAGACCATTTTGTGTATAACTATTATAATTTGTTAAGGATTTATCTAAATATTTATTTCCTAATAAAAACATAAAATATACAAATGTAAAATTACATTAAATGTGAATTTTACAAATATAATAAATAATGTAATGTAAAATTCTCTGAATAAAGGATATATTTGGCTTTTGCTAAAATCATTTAATATAATGAAAAGGTCTATATAATTATTATTATTTTAGGATATAGTGTGAAATAACAGAGAAAACTATTCTTTATAATATAGAAAAAGTTATAAAATGAAATTTTTTTTTAAATTTAATATTTTTTCAATTTATTACTGCAGAAAATTACGTAGACAATTTTTTAAAGTTAAGAATTTCTAATAAAAAAATTTCGTGTTTGATAAGACAAAGCACATACAAATTTAAAGTGCATAACTATTTCAAATTATGTACTAATTTCCAAATGTTTAATATTTATTTCATATGAATGTATAGAAATTGTAAAAATCCAAATTGGATATATAATGAAAATAAATATTATTATTATTATATTTATTTCATTATTATTACATTAATGTATATGAACTATAATTTCCAATAAAAATTACTATCAACTAACTTTGAAAATATCGTTAAAAATTCTTATAAAATATAAAAATATTTATTCATTAATTGATTAAAATGCATAAAAGAGAAAAAAAATGATGTTCTGATAAATAAAAAAATAACGTTAATAATTAATTCACTATCTTTTTATTAAAGAAAAAAACCGAAATCTTGATAATGCCCTAAAAATTTAAAATAATTATTAAAATAGTTATGAAAAATGCTATATCAAAAATTGTAACTAAAAAAATTTTTTCCTAAAATTCTTAAAATTTATCTAGAATTTGATTTATTGGAAACAAAAATTAAATAAAATGTAAATTATACCCAAAAGTTAAAAAATAAAATAAATTTGCAAACCCACTATACTTACGAGAATTTATATAATTTAAACTCGTTTTTTACTTTTTTCGCAATTTTATATTTTTATGAAATCGTGATATTCACCTTAAAATACAGAAGATAAAATTTTTAATTTTATTCCAAATTATTTAACTCTTAATAGAATTTTAAAAAATTTAACTAGTTATTTCAAAATTTAAATTCGTTAAAAAAAAAGTTTTTTGATTTTTTAAGAATATTCTTTAATTGTATTACTATTTTAATATTTCATAATATAAAAGAAAAAATAATTATCTCTTATTTTAGAAAATTCGAATTAAAATCTATATGTTTTCTTCAGATATACATATTTATAAGCAGATACCAATATCTGTCTCTTTAAATGAAACAATCTACCACACAAGAAAAATTTTTTTATTCCACATTTTCACGAAAAAAAAAAATTCAAAATAAATAATTAAAAAGCAAAAAAAAAAGATAATAAAAGAACTTTTCAATGTTTTATTTCTTTGAAATAAAACATTAAAGAGTTCTAGTTTGTAAATGTATTTTGGACTTTTCGTCAGGATATTAGGGACAAAGAAAAAGAGTAGAATAATAAAAGAGAAAAAGATCAATGATGGAAATAAAAAAAAGAGAGGAATTTTGGTATTAAAAAAGGTTTTTGTAGTCCAGTCAATTAGGATACTATTGCTTGTCTTTCGTGAGTAAGTCATTGTAAATTTCTTCGTAAGAAGTTCCAAAATCGTAAACATTTGGACGATCCGGAGCATTCCCTGGAAGTTTGACTTTATCTCCAGTTCCAAAGGATTGAACGTTGAAACCTTTTTTACTAAACAAGGAAATTTATATATTAAAAGTTATATAATCAACATATTATAATAATTTGCGACTCTTGAAACAATATATCCATACGTTCAATAAGAAAATTTATACTTTCATAATTACCTGAGAAAAGCATGCGCTTCCATGCTTCTGTTCATATTACTTGAACAAATAACTGCAATGTTGATGGAATTAGATGCAGGCATTATTTTCAACTTTTTAATGTCAAAAATAATAATAAAAACTTCGCGCTTTGAATTTCTTTTTTTATTAAAAAAAAAACTATTCTAGAGACTATTAATAAGATTTTCTAAAGACCTATATGAAATACATATATATATATACGTGAATTCGACTATTGAAAAGAGGAAAATCTAGTCACAAATCCGTCGTTTATAAAATATAAATTATTTTTGACTAAACAGGTCGTGAGGGAGAAAAAAAAATCTTTTTCTGCTACCGTAATTTTCTTAAAGAAAAATAATTCCACACTCTATTCCCGTTTGAGTTGTATTCTTGGTGTCAGAACAGTTAAATAATTAACGGTGTCCACTAATTTCGAGGATGGGATGTCTGACAGAGAAATGACGACGAGAGAAGAGCAGAAAAGACCAAACCTGACCAAACGCAGACAAAAAAATGAGGAACGAAGCAAGTTTGCCCAGTTTATGGTTAGTAAATTTTACGTTGGTGGCAGTGCAATCACTCTCAAAATTAGGCGGTAAAATTTAAATTTCGAATCCGTTAGTACTTTTATAAGATTTAATAACATTAAAATATTAACTAAAATCAGTGTATAATGCAAATTAAAGTCAATTGTTTCATTCAATCATATTTTCTCAAAGGAATTGAAGAATAATTGAACATATTAAATCTGTTTTAAAACCACTGATTTCATTCGCCATAAACTAGCGCCCTCTGAAAATTAGAGTTTCCTATTTTATCAGAAGAAAATAAATTTATTATTAATTTACTAATTTTTATTAATTAATAATTTTATTATTATTATTATTTTATTTTATTATATTAATTAAATTAGTATTAATTTTGCTAAATTTTTTTACAATGCAAAATAAATAATAATAATTATTATTATTATTATATTTATTTTTATTATAATTTATTTATTTATATAATTTTTTTTAAAGTACTTTTCCGGATTATGTGAAAGTACTTTTTTTCTTATATACAAAATTCTGTACAGAATATACATAAATGTATATAAAAATTTTATATGGACTGCTGTTCAGTCGATAGTAAACATGCATTCATTTTTTGTTTTGTTTTTTTTATAAAAGTGTATAACCATATTGCATGCAAAGAGTGTGATAAATTTATGTAAATATAATAATATATAAAACATTATAAATCTTAAAAAAATTTAAAATTTTTTAAATTTGAATCCATTATTTCATTTTTTATTTTTTTTTATTTTAATGAATAAATAAATAAATAAATTCTTCAAATTGGTCATATATAAATTTATTAAAATTAAAATAATATATTTTTATCAAAGCTAAATATTAATTTATTTGTTTCAAATCAAAATATTGTTTGGCATAAATAAAATATTATTTGGCGTAAATAAAATTTTGTTTCGGACAAATAAAATATTTTTTGGCGTAAATAAAACTTTGTTTGGGACAAATAAAATATTTTTTGGAGTAAATAAAATTTTGTTTGGGACAAATAAAATATTATTTGGCTCAAATAAAATTTTGTTTGTCACAAATAAAATTTTATCTTTAGGTATAATTAATAATTAAACAATTTTCGTATTGATTTGATAAAAATATGTAACTGGCAATTAAAAATAACTTTAAAAAAAAATTAATACAGGTGGAGAGTTTAAAGTTTCATATCCGCCACGAAATGAAATAGGAAAAAGAGTTTTATTTCGTAGGCTCAGTCACGAAACGAAAGTTTCGTAAAGTTTCTTGCGGAAAGTCAATATTAAATAACATGAATTTTATACAACACGATATACTTATATATTATTTTTAAACTAACGCTCTCAAAAAAAATATATATACACACACAAAAATTAATAACAAAATTTAGACATTAAAAATCAAGTGTTATATTTATTTTAATTTTCAAAACGTCAATTAGTTAAAATATATAAATTTTTCTATTTAATAAGGTAATATGTTCTTAAATTTTTTATTTTAAAATTTTTTTATATTTTTTATTTTATTTTAATTAATTTATAAAAATTATCTATTATTAATTAAAAATTTTTTTTCACAAATATCTATTTCTAGTTTAAATCAAAAAAATAAGTGTTAATATTTCGAGAAAAAAAAAGAAAAATTGTTGGTGATTATAAAGTTGGTGCAATAATAGGAGGATCACACAAAATTACCTAATTATTAATACTACAGCGTATTTCTCTTTTATTGCTAAATCTTTAGTAAATGACAATTTTCTTGACACACCGAATAAAATTATACGTTTCGCTCCAATGTCCACGTTCAAATTTCTATAATTATTTATGTATAAAAAAAAGAGGCGCGTGAAAACGTTTTTAATCTTATAAAAAATGATTAGATAATTAAAAATAGAATAAAAATAATAAATTATCTTTTATTTTATTTAATAACGATAATAATAATAATAATAACAATAATAATATAACTATATTATTTTGTTGCAAATGCATTTAATTTTAAGAAATACTACTGTAAGAATGACCTTGTTCCGTTAACTTGTTAAATAGATAAAAAACAATAATAATAATAGATTAACAACAAAATAAAATATATAATATAAATATACAGGCCTCAGATCGACTTTAATGGGCAAAAAAGTCGTTTTAGTCGGTTTACATTAAGAAAAAAGTTGAAAAAGTCGATTTTTTTATTTTAATTAAATAATTTAATTAGTTAATAAGTATTTTACTTTAAATAATTAATGTTATTAGATATTAAATACATTTTATTAATTACTTAATAAGAATAATTCTACAGAAATATTTTTAAGAACATTTTCTAAAAAGAAAAATTCTGACAACAATTCAATTTTAGAGTTTTTTTTTTAAATTTTGTTAAATAATTGAATTTTTAAAGAAATATTAAAATTATTAAAAATAATAATTGAATTTTGGAACAGTTATAGTTGAAATATTTCAGACAATAATTAAATTTTACAGAATTGAAAATAATTTATCAAATAATTTTAGATAACATTTTTTAAAAGTAATTGAATTTTCAAAGATTTACATTTCAGATTGTTGAAATTAATTGAACTTCAAGTGATCTTTAATTGAAATTTTTTGTGATTTCTGTTGATGAAGAATTTATTTGAAATTACAGACAAAAATTCAATTTCAAAAGTTTTTAATTGAAAAATACTTTCAAATATTTGTATTTTTGAAGAATACCTATTATAAAAATCATTTAAAATTATTATAAATTTTGGAAAAGTTACAGTTTAAAATTTTTAGAAATAATTAAATTTTAGAATTTTTTAAATTGAAATTTTTGAAAATAATTGAATTCAAATGATTTTGAATTGGAATTCTTTTTAGTGATTTCTGTTGCAGAAGAATATCTTAAAAATTAAAGACAAAAATTGAACTTAAAATTTTTTTTAAATTGAAAAATGCTTTCAGATAATTGAATTTTTTAAACTATTTTTAATATTTTTATTAATTTTTTTTATTTATTTTTAAAATAATTAAATTTTAAAAGGTTTTACATTGAAATTTTTGGTTATTTTATTTGATTTTTTTAAAATTGTATATAAATTGTAAACAATTTGTTGAATTTCATAAAATTTTTAATTGAAAAATAATTTAGGATAATTGAATTTGTGAAGAATTTCATTAAAATTATTAAAAATAATTAATTTAGTGAAGAATTTTGTTAAATAATTCAAATAAAGAAGATCTGATGAAGATCTTCATATACTAAAAAAGACCTATTTTGTTTAAATTTTTTTTAAAAATGTAAAAAAAAATAGAAAAAGTTCAAATAAGTCGGAAAAAGTCGTATAATCCGAAGCCTGAATATATAAATTTATATAAATATAAATTATATTATATTAGGTTTAAGAAAAAAATAATAATAATAAATAAATAAATAGTAAAATAAAATAAAAAATAAAAATATAGAATTTACTGCACTATATTAATAATTTAAAGATTCGTCTATTTAAATTAGCTATATATTATTCATACCACAAAATGTTATCTAATCTTGTTCCAAATTCAACACATTTCCTAATGCCTATGTAAATAATTTAAAAATTTGTCAAATAAAAAAAACTATATTATACGTATTCAGAAAAATTGAAAATTAGAAGTACGTGTAATTTATTATTAGAAAATTTTTTTTTATTTATTTATTTATTTATTTATTTATTTATTCTATGTATTTTATTTTAGTAAGTAACGCGGTTTATAAAACAATATAAGTAATTTTTTTTATAATTGCTTGAAGAATTGAAGTTACTTAAAATCATTTATGTCATCATCAGCGTCGTCGCCAGAGAATCACAAACATGTATAAAGATTCATCCTTCATCATTATCAATAGATATGCGATTGATATAATCTTCGATTTATAAAGAAGGATGTGAAAATGAAGGCTCACACGCATCATCATCATTATCATCATCATATTGTCATTAGAATTAGTAATTATTTGAATTTTATGACTCAGTTCGTTGCATCTAACAACAACAATAAAAAAATTTATAATCAATTCGGAAAAAATGATAATATTGGTTTAAAATTATATATTTAAAGGTTAAAACATTTGTTTTATGATTCGTGACACGATTTGTCCTCGGTTGGAATGCTAAAAAGTCCCCGCCACGAGAGATCTTATGGTAGGTCGACATTGAAAGTAATATAACGCTCGAGACGCGAAAGTGAATCTTATATACAAAAGGTCGCAACATCTCGTATAATATAAGGTTAAAATTAAAATCCAATTATTATAATTAGACTTTAAAATCATTTCAAATCTGATGAAAATTTGCATTTTTAAATTTTGTGTAGATAAGAAAAAAAATAATTACCAATACGCATTAGTTGAAATTGCGAAAATTTTTTTCTATATATTAAGAGAAGTCAATTATGGATTTTAAAATACTTTTAATGGATCTAAGTTATTATTTGCAATAAGGCCTAATAAAAGTTTCAAAATTTATAGAAAAAAAAAATTTTTAATGATTCTTTTTTCTATTATATTTTATTTAATATTTTCTAATTTGCAGTCAATTATGTTTGAAAAAAAATTCCATATAGCAATTTACGCACAAAATGGCAAGCAAATTAAAAATATATTTTTTTTTTGTTTTGGAAAAAAATAATAAAGGACAATGGAAATTTTTTTACGTGACAATATATGAATTCTACGAAAAATTCGCCATCAGGAATCATTAGATGCGATCTTGCTTGATTTATATAGGAATTTTCATTATCACATAATGATCTTAAAACACTACTGTTGCATTGTTAGTCACACATTTGCAACAAATTTTAAATTGTGATCCGAGAAAAGACGAGTTGTCGCAACTGTGTTTATTTATTGTGTAGATTTTATTTTAATTTGTTAATTACTTAAATTAAAATTAAAATCAATTAATTAGTGTTTCGCATTTTTTTTCAAACTTTGTCGTACAACTAAAAATGTAAATTAAGA